AAAAGGCCCTTATGCCAAACTCTGTCAAAAGCTTTGGATAGGTCAAAAAGAGAGCCCGGGTTTCACGAGTAGGACACGCTTCAAAAGCTTTATAAATGTTTTGAGTTATAGATCATAGTTGATTAAGGCTAGAGTTACACCGGATTGCTATCGGAGCGGAGTAGTTACACTACGACGCTTCGCTCGCTCGTAAGCCTGCATTCCTTTGCATTTCTGGTATACAAAATCCACCAGATTAAATTTTTTGATGATATTTTCGAATCTATGTGTTGTTGCAAATGAAAACTGAGAGATAAATAATGGGGTTCGTAGGACGGATAGCAAGATTGTGTTGCTATCAGATGTGTTAAAGTATCTTTTTCGTCCGAAGGCCTTTTCATTAAAATTCGGGAAGAGATGAAAGCGCCATTGTTCATTATCGATCGAATTTCTTCAAGCAGAAAGCAATAAGAAAATCCTTTGTTTCGAAATGGAGCATATCGGACTCGTGCGATTACACTACAACGCTCCGCTACGGAGTGACTCCGGAATGATTTCCCTATCATCTCCAGAGCGGAGTGATTTTCGTACTGGATTGGTGTCGCGTTGTGTAACTCAAACCCCTATCCGATATGAAAGTTACTCCGCTCCGATAGCAATCCGATAAAGTGTAACGGGCACCGAATAGTACAATCTCCTGGACTAAAGCCTGATTGCTGTTGAACTAGTAACCCATTCACACAAAGGTGTTGACAAATTTTGTCAACAGAACTTTTTTAAATATCTTTCAAAAAGTGGGTAAAAGAGAAATTGGGCTATAGTTAACCTCATTCTGCCTGTTGCCCTTCTTATGAATATGAACTATATTCGCCTCTTTCCAGGCAGAAAGATAAATGCCTGTATCTAAGGATTTTTCAAATATTAAAAATAAGGGCTCAACCATAGAGGCATCGCATACCTGAATAATATGAACAGAAATGTTATCACTGCCACCAGGCTTTTTTTATCAGAGGCACGTATTAATTGTAGAACTTTACATCTACTGATATTTGATAAATATGCCTTGCACCGTGGTATAATGCTAGGTAGTGTACTACCAGTTGACTACCAGTGTACTACCAGATCTCCATAGAATTGTCTCTTGCTCATCCATTACTCTGTTAGATTCTTGCTTCCAACGGTTCTGCAAGGGAACCTTGTTCTTATGTCAAGGAACAATATGTATGCGAGGCATGAATTTTTTGTAGTTTTTACTTTTTACCATATTTTACCAGCCTGACATGAAACCAATGTTATTTACTTCATTAAGAATAAGGTCTTTATAAAGTTTAAGAATAAGTTTAAGACATGGTAATTGCTCTTTTACCTTTTGTTCTTTTCCATGACTTCTTTTTACTGTACAAATGTTACCTGATATAGCTAATATGAGAGACCCGGGAAAATAACTTGTCTTTGTTCCTTCATTATGAGAGCATAAAAAGAGAACTGAACACGATATTTGGAATAAATGAAGTTTAGTGTATGTATAATCATCTCCAAAAGAAAAAATCCAAATATCTACACGGCCACATGATTTTTTTTTCAAGTTATTTGCGATATGGCGTAAAAGTCTCTGGGTGCATTTGTAGAGCTAGAACATTTCTTAAACTGAAAATAGTTAAAAGAAAGTGAATTCAAAATGGCCAATTTTTGTCGCCAAACATGATTTACATTAAATCTACAAAAATGCACAACTCAAGAACCGTTTGGAGTTAGATGCTCAAATTTTCAGGATTTTCTACTGTTTATGATATCTATTTCTGGTGAAAATTTCAAGAAAATCTGTTAGATAAGGGTGTCAACCTTCCAAAACTCTGGATGATTTGATATGGATTTACCAGGAGGCCAACGGGGTTACTGGAGTGCAAACGTGTAATGGATGGCATGCGAACTTTCTTATTTATTGATTACATAAACCTTTAAATCAACACACTAAATCAACATACTTAATCAGATATTTTAATATCTAAATGAATTAACACAAATAAATACAATTTACCTTGGAGCAACAGAACCCACAACTTTGCACTCCAACTTATTGAGCTGTGGTTAGACTGTGATCAGTCCAAAACATTTAACTGCTCGAGGGCTTGGAAATTAAAAACTTGTGGAATGCAAAGCTGATTAAATGAAACCAAATGTTATTAGAGTTGATTTCAAGAGGGGTGCTGAAGACATTGATTTCACCAGGGGTTCTTATTTTTCTTGAACTGTTTTATTGCGTTTTTGTGTTGAAATTCATGCTTGATTCCTGTATTAAGCCTATCTGTGATGTGTTTGAGGCTTTTTGGAATAGTAAAGAAGAAGGAATTTTGTATTTCGTAGAGGAGGAGGAAGCTCCCAGCCCTGTAGCGCCTGTGACAGTCGTGCGAGTAAAAATTGCGTAGGAGCGCGAGTTTTTTTTCGCTGAATTCTGCAGGAGTGCGCGTGATTTTTGCACATTATTTTGAGGAAGAATTTTGTGATGGCAGAAAGCGTGGTTCTCGCAGCCTCTGCGGGGGAGCACGCCACAGCCTCTTTTTGGTGGGAGCCTCTTTTGTGTGGCAGTATTAAGAGACGGGCTGAGAGAGATCCAGCACTATGGCCAAGATATAAGCAGCTTCGAAACAGAGTAACTTCTCAACTCAAAAAAGCTGCTGTTTCTTACTACAGTAACATGAAAGATGACAATTCAAATAATCCGAAGGGAATGTGGAAAATAATAAACAAGGTATTAGACAAACATTCAAATCATAGTCCTCCTTTGTCAATTATCCATGAAGGTCAACGTGTTGAGAAGCCTGATGAAATTGCAGAGGCCTTTAACAGGCACTTTATCTCCATAGGCCCAAAACTAGCCGAAAATATTGAAACCAAAGATTGCGATGATCCACTGAAGTACCTACCCAGCAAGGGACTGCTGGTTGAAACTAGTTTTGAGTTTCAAATGGTTGATCCTGAACTCTGAAAATGAGATCAATAAGTTAAAATGTACTAAAGCTGCAGGTCATGATAAGATCCCAGTAAAACTAATGAAAGGCGTTGCTGATATTTTATCTAAGCCATTAGCAGCTATTTCCAATTCCTCTCTTGAAAGCGGTGTTTTTCCGAACATATGGAAAGTAGCCAGGGTAATATCAGACCGGATCGAAAAGTGATTTGAACAACTACTGGCCAATATCCATACTCTCGGTATTCTCCAAGCTAATCGAGAAAATCGCACATGAGAAGTCTTCACCTTTCTGAGGGAAAAAAGCATGCTCTCCAAATGTCAGCATGTATTTCGAAAGCTGCACAACACGTTGACCTCATTACTCAATTTCACTGACTCATGGTTCTCAAATGCCGATAAAAATAAATATTAGCATCTTCCTTGATCTAAAGAAGGCATTTGACACTGTGGATCACAAAATTCTGCTCTCTAAACTATCAAAGTATGGAATAGGAGGAACCCCTAATCAGTGGTTTACATCATACCTAACTGATAGGATACAATACTGCCAAACCAATGGTTCCAGTTCGCAACAAAAGAAGGTTCAGTGCAGTATTCCCCAGGTTTCGTGCCTTGGGCCCCTCCTTTTCATCCTATACGTAAATGATTTTGAGCGATGCTTAGAGAAAAGCTCAACAAATATGTATGCAGACGACACTTCCATAACATGCTCTGCAAAAGACATTGAGGAACTGTGCAATGACTTAAAAACTGAGGGTAAGAACATTGCAGAGTGGATGCAGCAAAATAAGCTTAGTCTGAACACCAATAAAACTGAATACTGTCTCTGTGCACTATTCCATAACTGTGCAAACACGTAAGCCCTTCAGTGATGTCTTGTGCGATTTTCAATTGGAAGAACTCGATGCCTTGGTATTGGAATTTATTTACAAATGATAAAAATGTATTAAGCCCACTACATCTGATCGTACCGCTAAAAGGTTCAAAATCAAAACAGGCGTATTCCATCATCATTGTAAGGGGACTGTAGCTTATTGCATGGAACTCCACGATGTTTGGGGACTTATCCTTTAAATCATTCATGAGCTTTGCTTCCTTAACAAACCTTTTGATATCTGTTTCATCAGCGTAAGTACCTTAGCTCCTTAACGACAACATCACAACCTTTAAATTTTGCTTTGAAGACTACTCCAAACGAACCCCTGCCTGTTTCATCTTCTTTCTGAAGCAAATCGCAATCATACGTAGATAACGTTGGATCAACCTTGACTCTTGGAGCAGAAAGTTTCGCTAACGAAGGAATCTTGAAAGGGAGCATCTTCGCGTGAGCAGCAACAAAACCAAAAGACCCGATAAAATTCAGTCACATGGAATGTCACCAGATTGGCACAAATAGGCACCCAGGAAGTAGAACAAAAGAATAATGTCATTATGAGTAAGAAGAGAGAAGTCTTCACACGTTGATGACATGAATAATGGGCGTCCTGCTAATTTCTTTTCAGAAGTGAGTCATTGTCTGGCGCCAAAGAAAAGACATGCAGCTTTTTGTTATTGGTTCCTGCTACACTATCAAAAAACTCAAGGCCTCTTTCTAAAGCCTTTCAGTACATTTATTCAAATAAAAACTAGCATTTCGACAATGTTGGGCGATGAGTTTTTTGAAACCAAAAACCATCAAAATTATATGAGAATATACCTATGTCAGTGTTCGAAGATAACAGTACATGTGGTACTGACAAGGCTTTCCCTGTATAAATGTTTCCCTTATCATTCACTATTAAGAAATCAATACCCATTAATCACAAATGCGAAAAATCGGTATATTTAAGGAACCGTGCCATGAATGTGCTGAAGCATTTGAAACACAGACCAGTCTTCTCAACAGTGACCATATGCCGAAAGACAGTCTTCCATTTTAAGATAAGTTTTAATGGATTCAATAGATGTTTTACCAAGAGAAATATTTCAAGGCCATCTTTCTAAAAAATATGAAATATATCTAGGAAGAGAGATACTTTGATATTGATTTAATGTTGCTGCTTAACATTACCTTGACGCATTGAATTCCTCCTCGACATCTCGATCGCAGAAACCTCTTCTTCTAAGTCTGAATAAAGTAAAATTAGTGTTTATTGCACTGGATCTGTGTTCATAGTTTACATTTTTGTTTCGTTTAGGATAATCGGGTTCTATGTTAAAAGACGGAAGGGAATATATAACAATTACCTATTGTATAGTTCACCCAATTGGAACGGGGAAAGGACATAGTGCCTTTAAAACTTCCCTTATGAACAGGGAGGTGAAAGAACAGGCTAGCAAGCTACATCATTTTTTACGGAAAAGGCAAGCTTGCTTCCACTTTTATAGGATGCCCCCTCCTCCGTTGCATGTATTTCCTGAAGAAAACGGAATCCATTTTTGCATTTTCACGAAGCACAGGACAACTTACTTCAACTTTTTTAAATCATCATAGATTATTCCTCAAATCAAAAGCCATTCCTTGTTCCACAGTTTCGTTTTTTATAGATTTGCGCTTTGGGTACGAAACACTTATCGTTATTATTATCATCATAAGAATCGTAAAATTCAACAAACTACAGAGCGGTTGCTTTTGTCTATTCGGAAAAACGAACGGTTGCTTATTTCTCTCAATTAAGCTAGTTCTCTTATATCATTACATGATCATTACAAAGTTAAGAAGTTGATTTAACAATACCTTTATCAGAATGCGAATCATCTATAGACAGCGTTTCGATTTCTTCGTCATCTTCATTTCTGTTCTCTATATCTTCGGACCAGTAAGCGGCTAAAACAAAGCATGTTTACTGTGCTCTTAAATCTCCTATTAAATACCCTACTTCGAGTATAAGAAGTTCCAAAGCTGTCGCACTAGTGACAAATTACAATATATCGCCGCTAATTTATGATAAAATTATTTTCTTCCCTATACCCCCAACAACTTGATTAATTAAGAGCAAATTGTTTCCTCTGAAAAGAACAGAAAAACAGCGAGTTACCAGAGAGAGATATAATGATTTGCTTGGTACGCCTAAAAACATTCTCAGACTAGGGGTTATCATCAATGGGCCTAGTAACAGAAGGTGCCATGGTCCTAGTCTCAAGAAGTGCCCTTGCATTTTCCGCCTCAAATTTCGAAGCTTTAGTAATTATCATTTAATCTGTCATTTATTCTTATCGCGAAAGCCTTACGATTGAAGTGAAATAAAAATCCAGCAAATGTTGGTTTGGAAGTCAGCTAAGAAGCAGCGGAAGCGCAAACTTAATCAACAGCACGGCTTACACCTAATATGGCGAAATCATCTTGCACATATCAGGTACCAGATGTTCAGGCAAAATGTGCTTGCTGATTGGTAGGTTCTTGATTGACAAATTTCTTTCGACCAATAAAATTTACATCCTCAAGATTGCAAAGTTAATCAAGCATCAACAATGAACTCAAAACTCTCACTGGTTCAAAATCACGAACTACGGCTAAAAGCAAATAAATCACTTTAAAACTATGCCTGATAAATTTTTTGCCGATAAAACAGCCATATCACAAAGGCTGGTCATTTAACGGACAGCAAATGCAGTGTTTACATTTACTGCATTGATATCGCAGAGAATACTAAAAAACAAAGAATACTAACCTTCACGTTCATTATTGTCGAAGTTTTTACCTAACTCTTCAAGTGTGTTCTCTTCTAACGGAATGCCAAAGCATTGTAAGCATAAACAGGCTAAGATAGCACTGAATGCCCCCAATGGCATTTTTGTGCGCCTAAGCTGTGCCATGTTTAACACTGGACAAGCCTTGCTGCAAAATGGCGCGGCTAGCAGTGTTAACGTGTTTATAGCTTTGAACTTCGTTGGCCCTTTAGGGAAGTAGAAACAAGCACTCTTCTTATATCAAATCCCCAAGAGTCACAAAAGTATTGCATACAACTCAACTATGGTTATTGAAAACAATGAACATGGCATGCAATAACAATATCTATTTCTCTCGGGTAAACACTATTGGGACGAGAGAGCATGCTTACAGGCAATCTGTCTCCTCAATGATTGGCTAAAGTGAACAATAGCTTATCCTGCCTTAATGGATTACGCTGCTCGCTTTGGCTGGCCTAGCTGTGGTAGTGGACGACATTTCTAACTGCGAGAAAAAGGCTATCGAAAATGGAAAGAAGATTTAATTAATGGAATTGAATGATGATCATGGAAGCATTTGTTTTTCCTTTTGACATATCTGTCGCAGAAACCAAACAGGGAACCAAATTTTTCTAGCCAAAGCTTCACTACAACGGGAACACAGCAATTTGATTCAAAAGCTCTGGAATCAAAGTTGTCCCTGATTGGTTTAAATCGTTTAATTATCCATCAAGCTCAGCGGTGCGTGAACTTCACTCCCGTAAAAACAAAATTGAGCACAATAGGGGACAGACTGCCTTTAAGGAAAATCCACAATTGTTCATCTTCATGAATCTAGACATACGCAAGTAAATTACAATGCTTGCCAAAAGTCTTGTAAAACTGACGTCAGTTTGTAAGGTCAAATAGGAAGAGCCTCTCTAAGGGAATTAGGAATTACCTTTTGTGAATCTTTTATAATATTTGTCTGTTCTATAAACATTGTTCTAGGGGGCAGGGGGCAGGGGGCGGAAGTGGTAACTTTTTTTGGAAAACGAATGAGACACAAATTGCTGGGTGTTCCGAGTACTTTTTGCAGGCTTTGTAGATACTTTCACTGGTATAAGCAGACCAAATGCGTTTGTATATTTTGTGGCTGAACATATGTTGTGGCTAAAAGAGTTAAAAAAGGAAGGTTTCTCACGAAATTGATAGTTGCATGGCGTTTCAAAATTAACTCAGAGACTTCACGGAAATATGGGCTATGACCAGTGGCTTTCAAAAAATGCAGATTATGGAAGGGGGCTGGGGGGCTTGTTGTTTTGAAAGGTCACGCCAAAAGCAAGATTCACCAACAAAGACATACATGTGGACGATTTTGTTCATATACTATATATCCTCAGACAGTTTTACCCTCAGTCTTTCAGAGACTTCTCTGTCTAGTAAAGAAAAACTGGGTATTAGGTAGCAATCCCATCACAAACTACCTGACTATGAATTATCAATAGATACGATAAGACCAGGAATTGCTCTGAAATTTTTTTGATGTTGGTAGATTAATCGGAAATGTTTAAAGTGTGCTTTAGTTCAAAATTTGTCGGAAAATCTGCGAATTTAAACATCTAAGAAACATAGTGTCAATGAGCTTGAAGATAAGAAATTTTAGTGGAAAAGAAACAAACTGTCTAGGAAGATATAACTCTAGTTATATGTTCACTTTTTCATCAACTTATCGAAAAACAAAGAGATTGAATCTTAGGGGCAAGCCTGTCTGACTAAATTTACTTGCCTCCATACGTATCAATTGGTGTGTGTTACCATCAAAGTAACATAACCAGGAAATGACCAAGAATATATGCCTTCACGGCGGTTAAAGCTGTTATTAAGTGATTCCAAAACAATTCAAAATCAAAATTTTCTTGAAAGTGATATTATAGCCACTTTTCTGGCAGCATGGTATGGATAAATTGTCAGAAAAAACATGCAAAGACAACAACTGTTCAGGCCTCAAAATTCAGTTAAGCAGTAAAAAAGCATTAGCGAGCTCACAAATAATTAAAATACTAAAAAATGTTAATTAAATGCTAAAACAATTAAAAAAGATCATTTCAGTAAAAAATTTAAAAAATTGTAATGACGTCATCTGGTGCATTGTAATGACGTCATCTGGTGCATTGTAAAGTCGATTTCTTTCTCAAACGTTGCCACAAATACCCTCTCTGAAGGAAATTCTATCAATGAACAAACTACGACAGTGGCGCCGATACCCTGCCTTCATTGTTGCATGGAACTCAATCTGAAACGAAAAATAAGAGATAAATGTTGGGTAAACGTTGGTGTTTTCTTATCCCAACGATCAGGGAGCCGTTGAATACCCCATAAAATAGTTGTTTAATAAAAATTGAGTAATGTTGAAAACGATCTATGAATCACTAATGGTATTAAAGAACTGCTCATAACATAAGTAGGAACCAACAATACAACATTATTATTATTATTATTATGCATATTTTGTTGCAAAAATAAGCCATGGACAAATCCGGAATTACATCCTTTTTAACTTTAGTTGTTTTAATTTTTTTTTCTCAGTTTTTCCTTTACCTTACGACTGTTATAGTTTTTTCTTGTAAAACCAGGCTAGCCAATTGCAAATTACCTTGTAAAAGTGAGATTTGTAATTGTAGTTTAAGTTGAATTGAAAATGAAATGTTTCCATTATTATTATTATTATTATTATTATTATTCAACTCTTCTCATGGTCATGATGGTATACCAGTGTTTTGTCTATGATCAGGCCACCTCCGGTGGCTTAAGATAATAGATCTTTAGTCTTCCATGCAAACCAGTCTTTCTTTTCCAGCTCTCTATTTCGTCCTATTTGCTGTAATCCAAAACTTTTCTCATTATTCTAGCAGTGCCCAACAAACAAACTTTTTGCAGAGGATCTAAACCAGGTTTAAAGTCGATCTTTTCAAGATACTTTGCAACATTCTTCGTGACTATTTCTAGCGCACCAATGACAATTGGTATTATGTATACTTTTGTTATTTCTCTGTTCCAAACCTTCAAAAGTTCATACTTCAGATCTGTATAGTGCTCAAACTTTTCCTTCTTCTTCTTTTTAACTCTTGTGTCAAAAGGACATGCCACATCAATAATATAGCATGTTCTTCCTTTCTTATCCAGTAGGACTAGATCAGGCTTGTTATGGTCAATTCTTATTTCTGTTTGAATGGAAAAGTCCCATGTTTAAAAGTCCCATGTTTAAAAGTCCCATTATTATTATTATTATTATTATTCTCCATTCGCCCAAAAACTATATATTCTGCTGTAGAAACAAAACTTGGACTAATTCAGAACTACTCCCCTTTTAACATTTTTTTTCTTTTCTCATTACAACGATTGTAATAGTTTTTATTTTGTAAACACAGGCTAGCCAGTTACAAATTACCTTGTAATAGTGAGATTTGTAATTGTAGTTTTAACTGAAAAGTTTCCATTATTATCATTATCTATTTATTCAAAATAGGCGTATAAAAATAGCTACAAGATAAAAGCTAATTCAAGTCTAGTGGAACAACAGAATGACTTGAATGTCTCGCCATTTGAAATTATTACCAGCCCTCTCGAATTCTAAACGGATGCATGCCAAGGCGAGGTCATTCGGAAGGCATGAGAAGAACAACACACTAAGCAATAATTCCAAAGCTCAAAGACCTTCAAGTTTGAAGGCAATCTGTCCCCTATTGAGCTCAACTTTATTTTCACGGGAGCGAAATTCACGCATCGTTGAGCTTGATCGATAATTAAAAGTTTAAAGCCAATCAGAGACAACTTTGATTCCAGAGCTTTTGAATCAAATGGCTGTGTTCCCGTTGAAGTGAAGCTATGGCTTAAAAAATATTGTTCTCTGTTTGGGTTGAGCGACAGATTTGTCAACAGCGAAAGGAAATGCTTCCACTATCATTATTCAACTCCAGCAATTAAATCTTCTTGCCATTCCCCAAAGCTTTTCGATCGTAGTTTTGAAACATCGCCTATTGCCGTATCTAGTCCTTACAAAGCCAGCAGCGAGGCGGGAAGACCAATTGTCCATATTAGCCAATCATTGAGGGGATAGACTGCCTTTTATATTATAGAGTTTAGAGCTGCCTAGCCTAGTCCTGCCACAAATCCATGGCTATAAACATTTTGCTTTATAGCTGACGTGCGAGGGGCTGCAATTTCACCGGCAGGCATTAAATATGGATACAAGTAACAAATAAAGTCCACGCCCCCCCCCAATTTTTGTAAAACGTGATTATTGAACATACCATTTTCTGTGAACATCCTCCTCTTGAGGGTGGGATTGTTATGAAAGCCTTCTGAGGTTTCTCTTCCCGACTCTTGGCCTTTCTGTAGTAGATCCTTTGGTCATCATAATGCGAGCTTGAGGTCAATGTCGCTTGCAGCTCACAAACATCATTAGCACCAAGATGGAAATCGATGGTTATGCACCCACCACGTTTAGGGACACTAATATCTCTTTCTAGCAGAGCGATATATTCTTCACCGTAAAAGTCCCGTTTAGGCTTAGAGCGGCCATGGCCAAAGAAACCAACTTGACATCTATTGACATCCCAATGTAACGCTTTACCTAAAAAGTGAAAAGGTTTATTTTTCCTAATATGATATATTCGTTTAATAAATTCTGATAATAAGTCAAAATTGGAGCCTATCATAAAAATTTTTCATCTCACTATACAGGGGCTTGCAAGAGGGGGGCAGGCGGAACTGGCCCCCCAACATTAAAGAGGGACACAAAACCAAAACATTTGCAGATCGTACTGAGTGCACATGTTGCATTCCAACAATAAATTTTGAACTTTTTAAGGTTATGAATTATATGCACGATATCAACAGACACAAAGCATACATTGGAATTCAGATTGGCTGGGTCTTATAAATCTGAATACACATAAAAAACACTTACAGGAAAAGTTATTTTAATGGAAAACAACTTCATGGGTAAGAAGGAAGAAACGAAAAAGATCGAGAGAAAAATAGAAAAACTGGACGTATGCAAACGTTCAAAGCTTAGATTTCAAGGAAAATTTATAAGATTTGATCGCAAATTATACATCACAAGGCTTTCCACTATACTAGTGCACGCTACACACCTCCGTTGGCTGAGACAATGCTCCAGTCACAATCGTCGTGATCCACCTGTTTCAAGCCACAAGATCCAAAGCTGAAGTCACAGTCGAACAAATCTATAAAAATAGCAAGATATTAAAGGCAGCCCTCTGTGATTGGCTAATTCTAACTTGAAAGCCTCGCTTTAATAGGGCTTTTTTTAGCATCCGACATCAGTTATTGTGGGTGAACACGGCATAAAATGCCTAAATATTATATCATCGAAAATGACTTGGACGTTTGACACAAGCAAGTACTTCCATGCAAAAACCAAATTCTCTCTGAAACAGGACTGTAGAGCTTAAAGGTCTTGGAAGGGGGGAGGGGGGTGGTGGGTTAAAGCTTATAAATGCTAAAGAGCTTATCAATTCTTCATGTTAGGGAGATGAACGGGAGAAAGTCTTCTAATGTGTGAGGCAACTCCCTCCATGCCCTTGAAACAAAGAGTATGCATAGTTATGTCTGAGTTTCATTTGCATAATAGAAGATGGGGGGTTACCTCACACATTAAAAGCCTTTCTCATGTTGGTCTCTTTAAGAAGCATTGTTTTTTAGATGTATTGACGGGGTGGCCTTGCTGTTTCTGTTCTCTAGTTACAGCTGTATTAAAGTAAAAATATACATACATTTGCTATACAATCAAAATCATTGACGATAGAAAAAATCTATTTGCAACACTTACTCTTTGGGAAAGGGCATTTGCCAGGGCTAACGGAGATCTCATCGACTGCAATGGTGGCTCTTCTGCTTTGTTTGGCAGTTATCTCAATCTGAAATTGTTGGGAATTTGTGTGAAACATAATAGTTGGAAATATGGCTTACTTGAAGATGCTTCATTCAAATCTTACTCATTAAAATCTTACAATAGACGGCCATTTAAGATGCAAATCATGGAAACGTTCAGGTTGAAATTAGGTTTTTGCCATTACTGATATGATATCAGCTATAATTTTCTTGGGTCCAAAGATTTGGAATTCTCTTCCAAATGAAACAAAATCATCCAAAATGCAAGCCAATTCAAAGTTCTTATAAAAGATTGGTACTTCGAAGATCAATGCGCCTGTAACGCATGCAGTCGATGACTTCCATAATGCAATCTCTTAAATTGCTTCATGTTGGTGTTTATTAACGTTCACACTATTGTCAAATTATATAATAAATGTATTATTATTATTATTATTATCAGCCTGCAGTTGGTAAAAAATTTCCTTACTATACTAGAAATCGAGTTGACTTGCACTCTTTTGAGAGCACGAGCTTCAAAATTGTTAAAATTAAGAAATAATTAAGAACAAGCCGAGGCTGAGCTACTGTAAAATGCAATCTTGAACAAAGTTTCAAAATCCCCAGAAATCCTTTTGTTTTAGAGAAATCTCGTACGCTATTTGCAAGAGTGAATTGCTCCTCGGTTCAAAAAGTGGGTTATGATCTGTAAAAAGAAAGTTGTTAACGCTTTTCTCTAAAAACTTATTAGTAGTTGCTAAAAACTACTGGTACCTTGAAATTGGAGCCAGCAGGAATGTTAACTTCAGCTTCAAACCATCGATTACCCTGATTTCCTGACAACTTCAAAAGTTCTGTCTGTCCGAAAGCAGCCGTCCTTTTTACTGAGAGACTTCCAATATTTTTGCCATGCATGTGAGCAAAGAATCGCAAGCATGATGTTTCCGAAGAAGTGATTTGCTTACTTCTCAGAACGGCTGTTTCTGTGTTATATTGCCAACCACCATGGAAGAACGCGAAAAAATCTACAAAGAAAGCAACATTACCTAACAATACAGTTAAAAATGAAAAAAACTTTCAATTCTTTTTCGCTAAATCATTAATTTCTAATCACTCGCTATTAGCGTACTTATTTGCAGTTGCTATTACTTAGCTTTCGGATGTGGTTTTTTGACACTGAGAAGTTTCAGGTCCTTCCTCACGATGAGACCACAACTCGGGATTCCTACGCCTGGAATTACGGAGAGTCGGAGAACTGCTGGCTTTAACCCCCTCGTTTACGACTAGAATGGTAGACCCAGGGGTGCAAATTGAAAAAATTTATGTCAGGACCGACTCGCGCACCAAATGGACCGACTCTACAAACCAAAATAAAAATAGATGAAGACTACATTTGAGGACATGACAAGAGACCTCGCGCTGTGGTAAAATGGGTAATTCGTTTTCTTTGCATTTAGGTAAAATACGGAACTGTTGTAGGCATTTAGTATTTTGAGGGGAACAAAAGGACAATAGATGAAACATTGACCTTTTGCGTGTGCGCGAAACTTGTTTCTTTTTGAAAACATGCATGTAACAAAAGTAAAAACTACAGGTCTTTTGTATGAAGTGAAGGATACCGCACTAAAGGGCACAGGAACATGTGCTGAGGATGATTTTGTTGGGAAAGTGCACTCAACAGTTACGTAATTGCTGCTTTTGTAAGTAAACTAATGACCTTCGTAATTAGTAGCTAGTGTAGGACGCGTTGTTAGAGTAGATTGCTTGCTGCTCTATTGTCAGCTAATTAGAAGCTTCTAGAAAGTTCTAATGATCGCTGAGGTAGAACCTTTTATCACGCGTCACGTAGAGTTAAGTTAGTTGCATGTTTCGCAGTGAACACGTCGATAGAATCTCAAAAACAATAGATTTTACTAGCGGGTTCCGGGGGCATGCTCCCCTGGAAAATTTTGAATTTCAAGGCGTCTCCTTTGGCTCTGCTGGCCGCTTAGTATGCTAATAACCAGGCAATTCCGCTATTTAATTGAATCTTCCTACTTTAGCCCTTTTGTTATCTCAAGTCACTCTCACGAACGTAGGTGCATTAGACAACAAGAAATAATGCTAAAACAAAAGACATGCAAAGCTAAAACTAAATGAACCCAACTTTTATAACTAAGCCTAGTTTTGGACGGAGACGTGCCATTTTGGTTCAAAATTTAGACCCATAATTCCGCACATGTCTGGAAAAATGTGACCCATAATTCCGCAAAAATGAGTAAAAGTCTACCCAAATTCCGCAAGACACAGAACACTTTTCAAGACACAACAAAAACTTCAAACAACTTTTGAATGTCCTTTGTTCTAAAATTTTAACATTACACGCCAATCATTCAAGTCCAAGAGCATTTAGGGAACCCATTGGTGTAAGTCAGGTGTTCACAATATAGCAATCCAATTCATTATGTAATCCAAGAAAGTGCAAAAACTGTGCTGACATGCAACAATAAGGTTTCTGTTATCTCATTGGCTAATGCCTGACAGGCATCAAATCAAAGTTACTCTTGTAACCTTTTACATGATTGGTTTCCCTTAATGCAAATGGTTTATTGTGGTCCTTGTCCTTTGGAATCTACAAGTCCCATCAAAGTTGGTGCTTGGCTCTACAATTTCAAGAAATGTTCCATTAAAATAGTTATTGACACTCTCAGCCCTTTTATGTTGTGTAATCCTGGTTGTTTGCACACCATTTTTATTTGCATTTTCGGAAACTGTCTCTTTAAGAGCTTCCAGCTCTGGCTCCGGCAGTTTGAAAGTTTTTGACTCCTGATCAAACTCTAAATTAGCATGGCACATAACTTTAGATGCTGGAAAATTTTTTGGGCTGACTGCACTGCTGATCTGATAAAATCCTGGTAAAATTTATATTTTAGATGCAGTTAAAGTTGATAAGAGAGTAAAATCTAGCACCTTTTCGAAGGGCAACCTTACTTAGTCTAAAGAGTTTTTAAACTAACTAGACATTAATTTTATTACTTCTACAAATTTCTAACTGGACATTCATTTTGTTTCTTCCAAGTGTCCCTCTTGATGATTTTGCAATATTTTTCCAAAATGGCACCGATAACTCTGCATATTTCTTCAAATGGTACCCATACCTCCGCACATAACTGAAAAACTGATACCCATAATTCCGCATTGCTTGGAAAAAAGGTACCCCTAAATAATAGCACGTCCCCTTACGTCAAACCTATTAAGTTACCCCCTCCTCCCCGAGGGCCTCTCATAGGTTCAAGATAAGAAAACATTTCCAGAAAGTCGTTTCAAACCATACATCTATGTTTTGCACTAATGTGTAGAACGAATAACAAGAAAGCTCCACATATTGGCCAGGACCGACGCCCCGGAGGCCGGGCTCTCCTCTTTTTCGCAATTTCTCGTTTTATCAATGGACCAACATTCTCTCTTGTCTATAACGTTTCAATCCCAATGTCGTAGAAAGGACTGACCTTTCACAATTATTTCTATGGCTGGGACCGACTGGTTGGAAGTATTGAAGGGGGGGGTGTCACCCCCAGCCCTTCTAATTTGCACCCCTGAACAGACCCTAATCACACAGCTCCTAGTGTTATTCAAAACGAAAATGTTCGCTCTCATTTTTAGGAAATATAAGGAAAAAACATGATTCTTTTTCATACCTCCTCGGCCAGAGATAGCCTCTCTTGGTCCTCCACGACCACGTCCAATTCTACGATGGTGCGGGTCTGCCTCATATCCAGCTTCATCATCATTCTCGTTTTGGTCAACGTTGGCCTCGTCTCCACGGGGACCTCGTGCCCGTCTCAGCCGCCAATTCCCATCATCATTCGTCGGCTGAGTCCAATCGCAGAATCCTACGTTGCGCTCCAAGGGGCATGCCAAAACAGCTGACAAAAGATTTAACCTTTCTTATATTTTTCAGTGACCATATCAAAGAATTTAAATGAATACAGGATATGTTATTATCCAATAGAGTTCTTAACTGTGACGTTAGAAAAAAATTGTTTTTAGAATTTTTTAATTCTATCCATAAAGCACAAAAAAACACCATGCAAACAATACTTCCAATTATGCAAGACCAGTCAAAGATGTAAAATTGGAGTGAGATATGGCCAATGAAAGATTTGAATTCTTCTAACGAATCACTGCTATTTTGGCTCTGTTTATAAAGTTATGAACAGAGACCAAAATACAGAGGTTTGATGGGGAAGAGCCAAGTGCACATATGGCCATATCTCAGCCAATTCGAAACACATTTGACTGATTTTGGACATTTAGAGGTATTTCATGATGCTATTTTAAATTATGGGATCCTTATTCAAAAATTCTAAAAATTGAATTTTGTGACGTCATCACTTTAGAACTCTATTTGATTAAAGCGAATCAATTCCCTCCTAAATAAAATGATTTGGGAAATTATGCTCAAAACATGCTACCTATCCCCTCTATACTAATACTATCTTCCCATATACTAATACTGACGCCAAAATCATCTTCTGGATAAAAATACTGAAAATGACCTGCGTGGTGGAGATACCACCTCTAGGACATACTATCTTTCAATTTACGCGAGTCTTGAAATCTCAAGAAATATCTCGTAAAAATCTCTCGTAAAAAGTCTCTATATTTGAGTTAGGAACACGTAGAATAAGGTAATAGTGTAATGCGAATGAACAAAAATAAACAGGGATAGACACACGTAAGGGCATCCAATACCAACATTCACATACGTATATATAAACATATTTGTAATTAGAGTAGTCGATCACAGATTTCGGAGTTTAGACCTTGACTGAAATTAAATGACTGAAATCTAAGGTAGCGAAAGTAACAAGGAATTACAATGTCGGTCATCTATCATATACAGTTACGAAATCTGCGAAAAAACTCTTAAGTCAATAACAAAAAACTGGTTATTTTAACAGCAGTTTTCTTACACGGAGTAGACGCTGCTCCACTTGGGCAGGCACCTTTCCAAACTCTGACGTCATCAAGGGCAACATCTCCAGCAAAGGAATATCCTCTCAAATTTTCAAAGTGGACCTAAAAGGCAAAAACCGATTTACTGCTTAAATCATAGATGAAACAATGTGTCTTCGCTCGCCAGCTGCTGGGAGGCAAATGTGGAAACTGTGACGTCATGGTTACATGGACAGAGTAAGGAGGCAAGAGACGATGCATCATAGAATGAAAAAGTCAGATTACTTAATAGTATGCATCATGTAACTTTGGAATAGCCGCAATCCCAAATGAAATGAAGCTCAAAGACGTGACCGTGATGGCAAAACATGCCGTGGCACAAAAAGCGTATCATCCGCATGTAAGTAAAAGGGAAACATTGCTAGAAGTAATTGTATGACAAGTTCTTATGGTTTCCACTCTGATTCACAGAGGGAGCTGTTGCGTTAGTCCAAACCTTCATTGCATAATTTTTTTGGAAACGCATCAAGATCTTAAAGGTTGTAAACTGATGCCAATTCAAACCAAAAAGCGCACGACACCCCTTTTGCTGAACCTCTAAACCGCAGATAACCTATTGCCAAATCAGTAGGTGCAAATTAGAGTCTAGGCCATGAAGCCGCAAACCTAAAATAGGCCCACATGACAAAATACAGGTTTTGACTCATATCAAAGTGAACAATGCGTGAATGAGAAGTTCATAAAACCAACCTTGAATTTCTTTCCGTTGGGAATATCAATTGTGGCTAGGCCTTGATTCCAGCGATTTCCTTGATTACCGTTTTTTCTAAAAATTTCAGTCGACACACCATCAAAGTCAACTGTAACTACTAGGGAGCCGATACCAAAAGCAAACATGTGGTAATAGAAATCTATACATCTCTGTTGACCATCCCATTCCATGAGAGGCGTTGAAAGAACTGCATTGTGGTTTGGTCTTCTTGGATACAAGGCCTCAGTAAATACAAAATAACCATCTGAAAGGAAAAGTGATTTTCCAGTTTTCTTTGAATCGCATTAAAAATATGATAAGACTGTCCTGTCATAATAAAAAAAGATAAAAAATGCACCGTAATTCAACTCTAAAATAAAGCAATGCCTAGGCAGAATCCGGGCAGAGTCTAGGCAAAGCCTACGCACGGTCTGGGGAGAGCCTGAACAGAGTCTAGGCAGAGCCCGAGTAGGGTCTAGTCAGAGCACGAGCAGAGTCTGGACAGAGCTCAAGCAGGGTCTAGGCAGAGCCCAAAGCAGAGTCTGGGCAGAACATATCTAGGCAGAACCCGAGCAGAGTTTAGGCAAACCCTAAGCAGAGTCTGGGCGAAGCTTGACCAGGGTCTAGGCAGAGCTCAAGCAGAGTCTAAGGAGAGCCCAAGCATTAGGCAGAGCTCAAGCAGGGTCTATGCAGAGCCCGAACAGAGTCAGGGCAGAGCATATCTAGGCAGAACTCGAGTAGAGTTTAGGCAAAGCCTAAGCAGAGTCTGGGCGAAGCTCGACCAGGGTTTAGGCAGAGCTCATTCAGGGTCTAGGCAGAGCCCGAGCAGGGTCTGGAGAGAGTCCAAGCAGCTTCTGGGCAGAGCACATCTAGGCAGAGCCGAGTAGGCTCTAGTCAGAGCACGAGCAGAGTCTAGGAAGAGCCAGAGTTAGTCTGGGTAGAGCCCCGACTGAGCCCTAGGAGAGTCTAGACAGAATCCTAGCAGATTCTGGACAAAACCCAAGCCAATTCTGAGAGCAAGGGCTATGTAGCACTTTGAAAGATTATAAGCAAAGACTCAGCAAGGCAGAATAGCGCCAGGACAGACCCCCAGCAAGAGTAACAAGAGCTTGGATAAATTTTTGTTCCTCGCTTACCTTTGGCAGTAGTATGATCGGATGATGGCCCAGTGTAGTATGAAGGAGTTTCTCCATTTTCTCTCGTCCAATCAAACGTATCTGATTTGTTTTGCTTCAATGAGCACCATCCACACTCGAAATCGCAAGAAATCAAATCTGAAAAGAAAAATTGAGTTAACATCAGTATGGTTTATTTAGATTATCATACGTTTTGAAATCGTTGAGGCCGGTTTCTGACTTCTGTTTTCTTTAGGTTTCTAGTAATGGTATTCTAGTAAACGTAATCCAGTTGAGAACATATTTGAAAGAATTGTTTAAAAATTTCTTGGAAACATTGCCCTCCTATTATCCTTCATCGTGCAATCTGGAAAAGCTCTTCTTACGGATACTCTTATTTTACGGATACACCACTGAAGCCTTTTTTACGGATACTCCACTGAAGCCTTTTTTACGGATACTCCACTGAAGCCTTTTTTACGGATACTCCACTGAAGCCTTTTTTACGGATACTCCACTGAAGCCTTTTTTACGGATACTCCACTGAAGCCTTTTCTTACAGATACTCCACTGAAGCCTTTTCTTACAGATACTCCACTGAAGCCTTTTTTACGGATACTCCACTGAAGCCTTTTTTACGGATACTCCACTGAAGCCTTTTTTACGGATACTCCACTGAAGCCTTTTTTACGGATACTCCACTGAAGCCTTTTTTACGGATACTCCACTGAAGCCTTTTCTTACAGATACTCCACTGAAGCCTTTTCTTACAGATACTCCACTGAAGCCTTTTTTTACGTTACACCACTGAAGCCTTTTTTTACGGATACTCCACTGAAGCCTTTTTTCGGATACCCCTGAAGCCTTTTTTACGGATACCCACTGAAGCCTTTTTTACAGATACTACCACTGAAGCCTTTTTTACGAACTCCACTGAAGCATTGGTTACGGATACCCACTGAAGCCTTTTTTAACGGATACTCCACTAAGCCTTTTTTACGGATACCCACTGAAGCCTTTTTTGTACAGATTCCACTGAAGCTTTACGATACTCCAGCTGAAGCCTTTTTACGGATACTCCACTGAAGCCTTTTTTACGGATACCCCACTTGAAGCCTTTTCTTACAGATACTCCACTGACCTTTTTTACGGATACTCCACTAACCTTTTTACGGATACTCCACTGAAGCCTTTTTACGATCTCCACTGAAGCCTTTTTTACGGATACTCCACTGAAGCCTTTTTTACGGATACCCCACGAAGCTTTTCTTACAGATACCTCACTGAAGCCTTTTGTACGGTTACTACCACTGAAGCCTTTTTTACGGATACTCCACTGAAGCCTTTTTTTACGGATACTCCCACTGAAAGCCTTTTTTTACGGATACACTACTTGAAGCCTTTTTTACGGATACTCCACGTTGAAGCCCTTTTTACGGATAACTCCACTCTGAAGCCTTTTTTACGGATACTCCACTGAAGCCTTTTTTACGATACTCCACTGAGCTTTTTTCGATAACTCCACTGAAGCCTTTTTTACGGATACTCCACTAAGCCTTTTTTACGGATACTCCACTGAAGCCTTTTATTCGGATACTCCACTAAGCTTTTTTACGGATACTCCACTGAAGCCTTTTTTCTTGACGGATACTTCCACTGAAGCCTTTTTTATGGATACTCCACTGAAGCCTTTTTTTACGGATACTCCACTGAAGCTTTTTCTTAAGTACTCACGAGCCTTATTACAGATACTCCACTGAAGCCTTTTTTACGGATACTCCGAAGCTTCGGTAATAGCCTTTTTTACGGATACTCCACTGTAAGCCTTTTTTACGGATTACTCACTGAAGCCTTTTTACGATACCCCACTGAAGCCTTTTCTTACAGTACTCCACTTGAAGGGCCTTTTTTACGGATACACCACTGAAGCCTTTTTTACGGATACTCCACTGAAGCCTTTTTTACGGATACTCCACTGAAGCCTTTTCTTACAGATACTCCACTGAAGCCTTTTCTTACAGATACTCCACTGAAGCCTTTTTTACGGATACTCCACTGAAGCCTTTTTTACGGATACACCACTGAAGCCTTTTTTACGGATACTCCACTGAAGCCTTTTTTACGGATACTCCACTGAAGCCTTTTTTACGGATACTCCACTGAAGCCTTTTTTACGGATACTCCACTGAAGCCTTTTTTACGGATACTCCACTGAAGCCTTTTTTACGGATACTCCACTGAAGCCTTTTTTACGGATACTCCACTGAAGCCTTTTTTACGGATACTCCACTGAAGCCTTTTTTACGGATACTCCACTGAAGCCTTTTTTACGGATACTCCACTGAAGCCTTTTTTACGGATACTCCACTGAAGCCTTTTTTATGGATACACCACTGAAGCCTTTTTTACGGATACACCACTGAAGCCTTTTTTACGGATACCCCACTGAAGCCTTTTTTACGGATACTCCACTGAAGCCTTTTTTACGGATACTCCACTGAAGCCTTTTTTACGGATAATTCACGGAAGCCTTTTCTACGGATACGTATTAAGGTTTCATTCTGATTTCATTATTCCTTCATTAGGTCGCCTAAGTGTGACGTCATTAAACCTCTATTTTAGAGTATCTTATGTCAAAACTATAACTGGAAGAACCAAGAGCTACCTCTTATAGTGCAAAATTAAGTTAAATGTATTAGAATTTGGGCGAGACAACGAAAAGTCCCAAGTTTGCTAATGCGGTACTTTAATTTCTGCTTACATAAAATCTAAAGCTAATTTACATCAACTTTGCTTGTACAAAGTTTAAAGCTAGCGTGTTCAGACCAAAGAGGTCGTCAGAGTTATCGAAAACACTCCTGAGAGGTTGATTTCAAAGCTCATAAAAGGCTCTTGCATAGCTGGCATGCTTAGCGGCAACTGTCTTGAGAAATTGATCGTGTTTTGTATTATTATGCAGTACGAAATTACACTGGTTTTGAAAAAATAGTCGCAAAGCATGCCGGCTGCGCTAGAGCCTTTAACTCTCGATATTTCCAATGAATTTTTCATTTCCACAGTTTAATCAAGAGCATAAACAACTTAGCTTTTGTAAACAAAACATTGCGGGTGCATGGATTTTGCTGTTAACCTACCAATAAAGTTTCCCTGTAGGGGAGTGGTTGGTGCGGCAGTTGTTGGCTTCCTGGTTGTTGGTGCGGCAGTTGTTGGCTTCCTGGTTGTTGGTGCGGCAGTTGTTGGCTTCCTGGTTGTTGGTGCGGCAGTTGTTGGCTTCCTGGTTGTTGGTGCGGCAGTTGTTGGCTTCCTGGTTGTTGGTGCGGCAGTTGTTGTTGGAATAAAAACTGAAATAAATGTACAAGAATCTATGAAACATTTCAACAGGGTTTTATTTATTTCTTTAGAGATGAATATACCATTTAAGAGAGGAACTATATCTTGTCGCATTTCGATGGCCATGTAATTCTCTCATTGGTTTAACAATACAATAGACCTATTGTTACTCATCCAATCAAAACCTATTGTTAACTTTTAACGGTTGACTAATGGTGCCCCTTTTTTAAAATTGGCTTCGAAAAAAACAAAAATTTTACAACACATTGGCCAAAAGCCTCTTCGTCTAACACTCCTCAGAGCATAAAACGTCAGAATAGAGGTCCGAAAGAACACGATGAAAAAAATATACCCATTTGTGAAACTAATGTTTCATAACATATCTGCTTCAAAATAGTATTTCAATCCACAACAGGGTATATAAGTTCTATCTTACTTAATCTTGTCAACGTTTAGTACTGCGAGGAGTGTCAGACAAAAAATACTTTGTTATGTTATGTTTCCGCTTTTTCATGCAAACTTAAAAATCTTGTTGATAGTCTTGAATCGAAAAATACTGGGTTAAGTCATCTACTATAAGCAAAAAATCTGTGACATATCTTCTTTTAAGAGAATAGCAGATAAAATAAATCAAATACATGCATTTCTATCTAGAAGAAACTTTAGAAACGTTAGTACTAGGCTCAAGAAAAATAAAAAACTGTATAATTTACATTTTGAAAAAAGAGTCCAAAAATTTTTAAATTGTTGAATTTTCTTTGGTAAAGATAGCATACTTTAGATTATGATCTGCATGCGTTTTCTACGGTGGCCCACAGGTGCCACGGCAAACTTACTTTCTCACGGCAAAACTTTCTTTTTCACGGCAAAACTTTCTTTCTCACGGCAAAACTTTCTTTCTCATATCATATCGTATTACTCACAGGGTGAGTTGATGGCTAGGTACTTAATTTTTCGAATAATAGTAATAACAATGAATGAAGAAATGAAATAATAAGCATGGGCATAATATAAGGGGAGAAAAAAAATCGAAGTGGTTGCCCAACAAACAACATCCATTGTTTATGAAAATTTTGCCTGACTGAGCATGGTAGATTTCTGCCTGATTATCGCTTTTTTGGCAACTTTTCAGTGTTGAGAAACTACAGTTGCCGCTACAGCCCCCTTATCTCCCCAGACCCTTGTCTACTACGCCTATGTTAGAAAAGCAAAAGGAACAAAGCAATACGACGACGAGAATCCAATGTCACGAGATAAATTTTCAAAATAAATTAAATTTAAGGAATAAATTAAATTCAAAGAAAGTTTTGCCGTGAGAAAGAAAGTTTTGCCGTGAGAAGTAAAGTTTTGCCGTGAGAAAAAAAGTTTTACCGTGAAAAAAGAAAGTTTTGCCGTAAGAAAGTAAGTCTTGCCGTGAGAAAGTAAGTTTTGCCGTGAGAAAGAAAGTTTTGCCGTGGCACCTGTAGGCCACCGTAGTTTTCTTTTGACGATTGTTTCGAAAAATGCTCAACTTTAAATAATATGGCATGTCCCGAAATAAGAGACCAACTAAAAAACTTTAAGTGCTAAAAAACCAAAATTTGGATGCCAAATTGAAATACTTTTAGTAATTAGAGCTGGTACTAACCTCCACATCGCTTTCCGGTAAAACGAAGTGGGCAAATGCACGTAAAATCGTGAATTCCATCGATGCACGAGCCACCATTTAAGCAAGGAAGGCTAAAACATTCGTTGATGTCTTCAAAGAAATAAAAAAATCACTGCTTTCAACTTTCGAAAAAGCTGGTACGCGACTCAATTCTAAATACGTACTTTACTCTCGGCCAATACAATAAATCGCTACCCCGGGTCATCGCCGGCATTGTCGCAAGAGCAATTTCGGCAGGCATATCCAGAGGTGGCGTCAGAAATCTTCCGACAGAGGGGCTGGAGCTTTCGACAGGGGGGCTAAAATGACTAAAATAAGCAGTTTTCGTACGTTATTTTGTCAAATTTGCTCCGACAATAACCTAAAATTTCCTCTGATGGGGGGCTAGATGCTTCCGACGGAGGGGCTGTAGCCCCCCCCCCCTAGCCCTCCCCTGGCGCCACCACTGGGCATATCAAGTAGTTTTCTAAACAAAGGTGCTGGGAAACTGATGTCTTTTGGGGGTTTCAGCACAAATTGATTAAAGGCAGTACGTCGCGCCGTTCATTGGTTTATCGAAACAAAGAACAAAGTTTTATATTTCAGTAAATTTTCATTTCGCAACAAAGGACGCTTAATGATGCTAACGATGAGTTGTTCGAATTTGTCACGCTTCTCTAATTTCGAGGACCCTCGAAATTCAACAAAATGAACAGCGCGACACACTGCCTTTAATAGGAATCGTTGTCTAGAGGTAGGCAATCCAAAGCCAAGGCTCCAGCTATGTTTGATGGTGACAACAAAAGCCCACTGGGGTCGCTTTGGCTAAGAGTGTGTCTAGATTTGCTTAAAAAGAGCAAAAGGGGTATTTTTCTCTCTAAAAGACCAGAGAAATTGGTACGCCGCTTGGATAGAAACCCTCAAGGCGGTTGTTTGCTCAAAATATTTTAACTATACTGGATGGGGGATTGTTTTTCGAAACCAACAGATGTCTGGAATAACAAATAATTTGAAAAAATTAAGTTCTTAAAATAAGCAATTTTTCATCATTTTTGCATAGGCCTGTTTAGATAGACTGTTAGTGCACTCAAACTATCTTATGTTGGGTAGAATAAAAAGAACAGAAAAGCGGAGGTAAACCATTTATGCAAAGAGAGCATTAGATCAGTCTTTCGGCCATCATAGTTGCATTAGGTAAAAAAATTGGAAAACCTTTCTAGCCTAGGAATGTACATACTTATTTCGCAGTTTTTTCCAGTGAAGCCAGCAAAGCAATGGCATCGATAACTGTTAACTTCATCAATGCATAGGCCTGCATTCTGACAAGGCAGACTGGCGCATTCATCAATCCCTGTTAAAAGTTCAAGACAAAAATTTAAGTAACATTGGTAAAGATACCGTATTTCCTCGATCAAACGCCTCTCCTTGATTAAGCGCCCTTTCGAATAGGCGCACCACAGAAAGGGCCAAAGTTTCAAATAAGCTCCCACCCCCCCCCCTTTCAATAGGCAACTCATTCGAATAGGCGCCCCTGAAAAACCTGAAATTATTAACAACCGTTTGATCGAGGAAATACGGTACGGATTAAAAAAAGCATGGCATCATCATAATGGCTTCAAAACAAAAAATTCTACTTTCATAAACAACAAAAGAGGAGGTTTTGAAGTGTCCCATCAGGTCAAACAACAAAAAGGTTCAAAAATGAACAGAGAGAGCCTTTAAGAGAATGTTAGAGCCCCGCGAAGACGTGATTTGAGAAACCACCAAAGCTAAGTGTTTCTTTGCTTCAGGCTTCAAACATCACTTGAAGCTGTCTTTTTACTGCATGTTGTACTGAGAATCATTTTTTTACAAAGCGGGCATGGAGACCGAAGTTTCTTTAAACATCCCCGTACTTTGAAAAGCATATTGGCAAAGAAACTGGCATGAAAATTATCAAGTGTAGTGCAGAAGCGAGGAAACATGAAGTGGTCATCCAACCCATTTATAACGCTTTTATCCTAAACGCTTCTCCGTATCTTTCTAGTCCCTTCAAACCTTTTTCTGGCTATAAACGTCTAGAATGATTTAGTATTAATAAGCACATCATACCAACACAGCTCATTCCATTTCCTGTGAAGCCACTTTTGCAAGTGCATGTGTATGAGCCTGCGGTATTTGTGCACGTAGCATTAGTATGACAATAATGAAGTCCTGAAGAACATTCGTCGACATCTAAAAAATAAACAGGCAAATTACAGGCATGCATACAGCAACAACAAAAAGAGAAATCAAAATTAGCAACTGCAGAAGAAACAGAATATAACGATCGTTTCGATGCTAAACAAATATTACAAATAAATTGCAATATTTCGTTTTATATCCTTATCTGTTATCTGCTACTGTGACTGTTGAATACTGCGATATAAATTTTTAGCAAAGCAACTTTGGATGTAAATTGGTCAGTAAGTTGATAACAGGCTCACAGAAACAACTTTTAGTTTTCTCTTTCCAAACTTTATTCGCAAAAGCTGAGCATATAAACATTACACTTAAAATTGAGAGGCTATTTTCCTACAAATTGTGCAACTTCGATTACTTCTTTAGCCTGACAAGAAAATAATTCACTAAAAAATCGTTTGACAACAGTTTTAAAACAAGAATAAGATGTCCCTCTTAAGCTAACCCATGGGCGTGATTATTAGCAAAACCGGTCTTAGTTCTCTCGAACTACTTCTTGTCATGTGTATACTTCAACCAATTAGCATCCATCATACCATTAGCCTTATCTATTATTCGATTTTATATTCAGACCATGATTTTATATTCAGAACATAACAAACCATGACATGAAATAACATATCATATATCATATATCATATAGCAAATGTCATATTATGTCATATTATAACATATTATATTTTTTTATATTTTGTCATATTATAACATATAATATAATACAATATAATATAACATAACATAACATAACATAGGAGCATATTGGAGCGGATATAATACATAACATAATCATAAACATACATAAGCGAATAACATAACGATACGAGTAGGGACATAATCTATAGGACATAACATAACAGTAAGGACATAACATAACATAACATAACAGTATGACATAACTGACCAACCGTAACTGTAATAGTAACGTAACATAAGTATCGTACGTAACGTTATGCATTATGTAATGGTAATGTAATGTAAATATAGGATATATATCATATTCATATATCATATCAGATTTCAATCATGATTCGATATTCATATCATATCATATATCATATCATATCATATCATATCATATCATATCATATCATATCATATCATATCATATCATATCATATCATATATCATATCATATCATATCATATCATATCATATCATATCATATCATATCATACCATATCAATCATAATACATTATATGATAAAGTATTATATAATATAGTATTTTGTTTTATCTTGTTATAATCTAACGATATTTTCTTATAACAATATATTCTTGTATCATCTAGCATTATAGTACTGTAACGCAGTCACTACGTGCCATGAAGACACGTGATGCAAAGTTACATTTTCACTACTTATTGTAGAAACATAACCTGTGATTTTGTTTGGCTAAGACTTGCTTTGATTATACCCACAGACATTGCTTTATAGGAATAAATCATGGTATGATTAATATGGGTAGAAGGCTCTAAAACGTTCGATGGCAATCTCACACGTAATAGCAGTAGGTATTTTTTGAAAACAATGTATTGATAAGTAGTAGCATAGATAAAGATTGTGTGCCTATAGTAAGGGGGAGATTTGTTCTAAGTGATGGTTTGAGAGTAAAGTTGTAATGATTTTAGTGATAATTTGTCGTAGTAGAATATGAGGTCTGTTGGAATATCTGCTTACATTCGCAGCCATCTCGAGTTAGCGGCAAGAATACTATATTAAATCAGATTTAGCTTCAACCAATCTGCAACTTATTTCTTCTTACAGCCTATCAAAGACAATAACGCTTACTTGCTACCTTGGTTTTGTCTTTCCCCTAACTTCTGTAACGCTAAAAAATGCCCCGGCATCTTTTCCACCAGAATAAATTCCTTAAAAGATACCCAGCTTTTTATTTCATAGCAGCCACTAACGTTTTTAACAATTTGCAAATGTTTACCTGTTTCACAGTGTTGCCCTGTAAAAGTATTAGGGCAGTAGCAGGTGTAACTTCCACCAGAGCTGTAACAAGATCCTCCGTTCTGGCAAGGATTTGAGGCACAGGCATTAACCGCTAAAGAAAAACGATTCTAATTAGTTGAAATCAAATATTTACTAGGATCAATATCGAAAATTGGTCTGGTATTGATGAATTTGTTCAAATAACACAACTGTTATCTTTCTTTTTATCGCTTGTATGAAGTGGTCAAAAAATCCCATTTTCATGCTTTTATCCCGAAACCTTCTTCTTCAATTTTAAGGAAATTGCATAAAAGATCAGAAGAACAATTATGGTCTAAGTTGCTAAGGGAAAGTCCTAACGTGAGACAAGCCTCAATTATATGATACATGCCAGATCAATACATAATAGTACTTACAAAATACCAATACAAACCAACACAGCATTACGTTAGATGGAACTGAATAACATAATACCCTTTTATATAATATTAAACAGTATTATACACAAAAATACTGTATTTTACTATGTTATATGAAATTAAATTATATTATATTACACTATATTATGGGTTATTACAAAATATTACAATATCCTATTTTATATTATTATATTATATCAACTTTCATTAGGGAATATCATATCAGATTATATCACTTTTTATTATATTATCTAACAATATTTCATCACATCATCGAACATTATGACTTCCTCCACTTAATATTACTTAGCTTCAAACCAATTTGGATCTTATTTCTTCAAGGGCCCATCAAGAGTAATGGTGTTTACTTGCTACATTGGTTTTGCCTTTCCCCAAATTTCTGCAACACTAATACAAATGCTCTTACATCCTCTCCCAGCAGCAAAAATTACATAAAAGAGACCCAAACTCTATTGCAGAGCAACCAATATAATGTTTAATAACTTCAAACGGTTTACTTGTTTCGCAGTTCAGCCCTGTAAAACCAGAGGGACAGGAGCACATGTAGCTTCCACCAAAACTGGAACAAGATCCTCCGTTCTGGCAAGGATTTGAGGCACAGGCATCAACCGCTAAACACAAAAGGTTCAAATTAGTTCAAATCAAATATTTACTAAGATCAATATCTAAAATTGTTCTGGTATTCATGATTTTACCCAAATAACATAACTGTTATCTCTCTTTTTATCGCTTGTATGAATTGTTCAAAAAATCCCATTTTCATGCTTTTATCCCGAAATCTTCTTCTTCAATTTTAAGGTACTTGCATCAAAGATCAGAAGGGCAATTATGGTCTAAGTTGCTCGGGGAAAGTCCTAGCGTGAGTCAAACCTCAATCATATGATACATGCCAGATCAATACATAATAGTATTTAACAACAAAAAATACCAACCAAAACTGCATTACGCTAGATGCAACTGAATTAAATAATACCCTTTTATATAACATTAAGGAGTATTTTACACAAAAATACTATATTGTACTATCTGATGTGAAATTAAATTATATTATATTACATTATATTATGGGTTATTACATAATATTACACTATCCTATTTTATATTATTATATTATATCAACATTCATTAGGGAATATCATATCAGATTATATCACTTTTTATTATATTATCTAACAATATTTCATCACATCATCGAATATTATGACTTCCTCCACTTAATATTACTTAGCTTCAAAACCAATTTGGATCTTATTTCTTCAAGGGCCCATCAAGAGTAATGGTGTTTACTTGCTTCATTGGTTTTGCCTTTCCCCAAATATCTGTAACACTAATACAAATGCTCTTACATCCTCTCCCAGCAGCAAAAATTACATAAAAGAGACCCAAACTCTATTGCAGAGCAAACAATATAATTTTTAATAGCTTCAAACGGTTTACTTGTTTCGCAGTTCAGCCCTGTAAAACCAGAGGGACAGGAGCACATGTAGCTTCCACCAGAGCTGTAACAAGATCCTCCGTTCTGGCAAGGATTTGAGGCACAGGCATCAACCGCTAAAGAAAAACGATTCTAATTAGTTTAAATCAAATATTTACAAACTTCAATATCTAAAATTGGTCTGGTATTGGTCTGGTCATAACAAACATAACATAACATAACATAACATAACATAACATAACATAACATAACATAACATAACATAACATAACATAACATAACATAACATAACATAACATAACATAACACAACATCAACATAACATTAACATAACATTAACATAACATTAACATAACTTACCATAACATAACATAACATAACATAACATCTCATTAACATAACTTACTATAACTTAACATAACATTATCATAACATTATCATAACATAACATAACATAACATAACAAAACATAACATAACATAACATAACATAACATAACATAACATAACATAACATAACATAACATAACATAACATAACATAACATAACATAACATAACATGACATAACATAAAATTAACATAAAATTAACATAACAAAACATAACATTAACATAACTAAAAATAACATTAACATAACAAAACATAAAAAAGCTCTGTTTGGCTTAAGAATTGCTTTGATTATCCCCCGCAAAAAATTGCTTTGTAGGTATAAATCATGGTATGATTAATAAGGGTAGAAAGCTCTAGAACGTTCGATGGCAATCTCACACGTAATAGCAGTAGGTATTTTTTGAAAACAATGTATTGATAACTAGTAGTATAAATAAAGATTGTGTGCCCATGGTAAGAGGAGACTTGTTCTTAGTGATGGTTTGAGAGTAAAGTTGTAATGATTTTAGTGATAATTTCTCGTAGTAGAATATGATGTCTGTTGGAATATCTGCTTACATTCGAAGCCATCTCGAGTTAGCGGCAAGAATACTATATTAAATCAGATTTAGCTTCAACCAATCTGCAACTTATTTCTTCTTACAGCCTATCAAAGACAATAACGCTTACTTGCTACCTTGGTTTTGTCTTTCCCCTAACTTCTGTAACGCTAAAAAATGCCCCGGCATCTTTTCCACCAGAATAAATTCCTTAAAAGATACCCAGCTTTTTATTTCATAGCAGCCACTAATATTTTTAACAATTTGCAAATGTTTACCTGTTTCACAGTGTTGCCCTGTAAAAGCATTAGGACAGTAGCAGGTGTAACTTCCACCAGAGCTGTAACAGGATCCTCCGTTCTGACAAGGATTTGAGGCACAGGCATCAACCGCTAAAGAAAAACGATTCTAATTAGTTGAAATCAAATATTAACTAGGATCATTATCTAAAATTGGTCTCGTATTGATGGATTTGCCCAAATAACAGAACTGTTGTCTCTCTTTTTATCGCTTGTATGAAGTGGTAGAGAAACCAATTTTCATGCTTTTATCCCGAAACCTTCTTCTTCAATTTTAAGGTACTTGCATAAAAGATCAGAAGGACAATTATGGTCTAAGTTGCTCAGGGAAAGTCCTAGCGTGAGTCAAACCTCAATTATATGATACATGCAAGATCAATACATAATAGTATTAACAAAATACCAATACCAACCAACACTGCATTACGCTAGATGCAACTGAATTACATAATACCCTTTTATATAACATTAAGGAGTATTTTATACAAAAATACTATATTTTACTATCTGATGTGAAATTAAATTATATTATATTACATTATATTATGGGTTATTACATAATATTACACTATCCTATTTTATATTATTATATTATATCAACTTTCATTAGGGAATATCATATCAGATTATATCACTTTTTATTATATTATCTAACAATATTTCATCACATCATCGAATATTATGACTTCCTCCACTTAATATTACTTAGCTTCAAACCAATTTGGCTCTTATTTCTTCAAGGGCCCATCAAGAGTAATAGTGTTTACTTGCTACCTTGGTTTTGCCTTTCCCCAAATATCTGTAACACTAATACAAATGCTCTTACATCCTCTCCCAGCAGCAAAAATTACATAAAAGAGACCCAAACTCTATTGCAGAGCAACCAATATAATTTTTAATAACTTCAAACGGTTTACTTGTTTCGCAGTTCAGCCCTGTAAAACCAGAGGGACAGGAGCACATGTAGCTTCCACCAAAACTGGAACAAGATCCTCCGTTCTGGCAAGGATTTGAGGCACAGGCATCAACCGCTAAACACAATAGATTCAAATTAGTTCAAATCAAATATTTACTAAGACCAATATCTAAAATTGTTCTGGTATTGATGGATTTGTTCAAATAACACAACTGTCATCTATCTTTTTATCGCTTGTATGATTTGTTCAAAAAAACTAATTTTCATTCTTTAATCTCGAAACTATCTTCTTGAATTTTAAGGTACTTGTATAAAATGTCAGAAGAACAATAATGGTCTCAGTTGTTCAGGAATAGTCCTAACGTGAGTCAAGCCTCAATTATATGATACATGCCAGATCAATACATAATAGTACTAACAAAATACCAATATCAACCAACACCGCATTACGCTAGATGCAATTGAATTACATAATACCCTTTTATATAACATTAAACAGTATTATACACAAAAATACTATATTTTACTATGTTATATGAAATTAAATTATATTATATTACATTATATTATGGGTTATAACATAATATTACACTATCCTATTTTATATTATTATATTATATCAACTTTCATTAGGGAATATCATATCAGATTATATCACTTTTTATTATATTATCTAACAATATTTCATCACATCATCGAATATTATGACTTACTCCATTTAATATTACTTAGCTTCAAACCAATTTGGCTCTTATTTCTTCAAGGGCCCATCAAGAGTAATGGTGTTTACTTGCTTCATTGGTTTTGCCTTTCCCCAAATATCTGTAACACTAATACAAATGCTCTTACATCCTCTCTCAGCAGCAAAAATTACATAAAAGAGACCCAAACTCTATTGTAGAGCAACCAATATAATGTTTAAAAACTTCAAACAGTTTACTTGTTTCGCAGTTCAGCCCTGTAAAACCAGAGGGACAGGAGCACATGTAGCTTCCACCAGAACTGGAACAAGATCCTCCGTTCTGGCAAGGATTTGAGGCACAGGCATCAACCGCTAAAGAAAAACGATTCTAATTAGTTTAAATCAAATATTTACAAACTTCAATATCTTAAATTGGTCTGGTATTGGTCTGGTCATAACTTAACATAACATTAACATAACTTACCATAACTTAACATAACTTAACATAACATTAAAGTAACATTAACATAACATTAACATAACATTAACATAACATTAACATAACATTAACATAACATTAACATAACATTAACATAACATTAACATAACATTAACATAACATTAACATAACATTAACATAACATTAACATAACATTAACATAACATTAACATAACATTAACATAACATTAACAAAACATAAAATTAACATAACATTAACATAACAAAACATAACAAAAGCTCTGTTTGGCTTAAGACTTGCTTTGATTATCCCCCGCAAAAAATTGCTTTGTAGGTATAAATCATGGTATGATTAATATGAGTAGAAAGCTCTAGAACGTTCAATGGTAATCTCACACGTAATAGCAGTAGGTATTTTTTGAAAACAATGTATTGATAACTAGTAGTATAAATAAAGATTGTGTGCCCATGGTAAGAGGAGATTTGTTCTAAGTGATGGTTTGAGAGTTAAGTTGTAATGATTTTAGTGATAATTTGTCGTAGTAGAATGCGAGGTCTGTTGGAATATCTGCTTACGTTCGAAGCCATCTCGAGTTAGCGGCAAGAATACTATATTAAATCAGATTTAGCTTCAACCAATCTGCAACTTATTTCTTCTTACAGCCTATCAAAGACAATAACGCTTACTTGCTACCTTGGTTTTGTCTTTCCTCTAACCTCTGTAACGCTAAAAAATGCCCCGGCATCTTTTCCACCAGAATAAATTCCATAAAAGATACCCAGCTTTTTATTTCATAGCAGCCACTAACGTTTTTAACAATTTTCAAATGTTTACCTGTTTCGCAGTTCTGCCCTGTAAAAGTATTAGGGCAGTAGCAGGTGTAACTTCCACCAGAGCTGTAACAAGATCCTCCGTTCTGGCAAGGATTTGAGGCGCAGGCATCAACCGCTAAACACAAAAGATTCAAATTAGTTTAAATCAAATATTTACTAACTTCAATATCTAAAATTGTTTTGGTATTGATGAATTTGTTCAAATAACATAACTGTTATCTCTCTTTTTATCGTTTTCATGAAGTGGTCAAAAAAACCAATTTTTATGCTTTTATCTCGAAACCTTCTTCTTAAATTTTAAGGTACTTGCATAAAAGATCAGAAGGACAATTATGGTCTAATTTGCTCAGGGAAAGTCCTAGCGTGAGTCTAACCTCAATTTTATAATACATGCCAGATCAATACATAATAGTATTAACAAAATACCAATACCAACCAAGACCGCGTTACGTTAGATGGAACTGAATTACATAATACCCTTTTATATAACATTAAATAGTATATATTATACACCAAAATACTGTATTTTACTATGCTATATGAAATTAAATTATATTATATTACATTATATTATGAGTTATTACATAAAATTACACTATCCTATTTTATATTATTATATTATATCAACTTTCATTAGGGAATATCATATCAGATTATATCACTTTTTATTATATTATCTAACAATATTTAATCACATCATCGAATATTATGACTTCCTCCACTTAATATTTCTTAGCTTCAAACCAATTTGGATCTTATTTCTTCAAGGGCCCATCAAGAGTAATGGTGTTTACTTGCTTCATTGGTTTTGCCTTTCCCCAAATATCTGTAACACTAATACAAATGCTCTTACATCCTCTCCCAGCAGCAAAAATTACATAAAAGAGACCCAAACTCTATTGCAGAGCAACCAATATAATTTTTAATAGCTTCAAACGGTTTACTTGTTTCGCAGTTAAGCCCTGTAAAACCAGAGGGACAGGAACACATGTAGCTTCCACCAGAGCTGTAACAAGATCCTCCGTTCTGGCAAGGATTTGAGGCACAGGCATCAACCGCTAAAGAAAAACGATTCTAATTAGTTGAAATCAAATATTTACTAGGATCAATATCTAAAATTGGTCTCGTATTCATGGATTTGCCCAAATAACACAACTGTTATCTCTCTTTTAATCGCTTGTATGAATTGTTCAAAAAAACAAATTTTCATGCTTTTATCCCGAAACCTTCTTCTTCAATTTTAAGGTACTTGTATAAAATGTCAGAAGAACAATAATGGTCTCAGTTGTTCAGGAAAAGTCCTAACGTGAGTCAAGCCTCAATTATATGATACATGCCAGATCAATACATAATAGTATTAACAAAATACCAATACCAACCCAGACAGCGTTACGCTAGATGCAATTGAATTACATAATACCCTATTATATAACATTAAACAGTATTATACACAAAAATACTATATTTTACTATGTTATATGAAATTAAATTCTATCATATTACATTATATTATGAGTTATTACATAATAATACACTATCCTATTTTATATGGTTATATTGTATCATAATTCAATTGGCGAAAATCATATCATATTATATCACTTTTTATTATATTATCTAACAATATTTCATCACATCATCTAACATTATGACTTCCTCCACTTAATTTTACTTATCTTCAAACCAATTTGATCTTATTTCTTCAAGGGTCAATCAAGAGTAATGGTGTTTACTTGCTACCTTGGTTTTGTCTTTCCCCAAATATCTGTAACACTAATACAAATGCCCTTACAACCTCTCTCAGCAGCAAAATTACATAAAAGAGACCCAAACTCTATTGCAGAGCAACCAATATAAAATTTAATAACTTCAAATAGTTTACTTGTTTCGCAGTTCAGCCCTGTAAAACCAGAGGGACAGGAACACATGTAGCTTCCACCAAAACTGGAACAAGAACCTCCGTTCTGGCAAGGATTTGAGGCACAGGCATCAACCGCTAAACACAATAGATTCAAATTAGTTGAAATCAAATATTCACTAAGACCAATATCTAAAATTGTTCTGGTATTGATGGATTTGCCCAAATAACATAACTGTAAATTTTAAGGTACTTGTAAAAAATGTCAGAAGAACAAAAATGGTCTCAGTTGTTCAGGAAAAGTCCTAACGTGAGTCAAGCCTCAATTATATGATACATGCCAGATCAATACATAATAGTACTAACAAAATACCAATATCAACCAACACCGCATTACGCTAGATGCAATTGAATTACATAATACCCTTTTATATAACATTAAACAGTATTATACACAAAAATACTATATTTTACTATGTTATATGAAATTAAATTATATTATATTACATTATATTATGGGTTATTACATAATATTACACTATCCTATTTTATATTATTATATTATATCAACTTTCATTAGGGAATATCATATCAGATTATATCAATTTTTATTATATTATCTAACAATATTTCATCACATCATCGAATATTATGACTTCCTCCACTTAATATTACTTAGCTTCAAACCAATTTGGATCTTATTTCTTCAAGGGCCCATCAAGAGTAATGGTGTTTACTTACTTCATTGGTTTTGCCTTTCCCCAAATTTCTGTAACACTAATACAAATGCTCTTACATCCTCTCCCAGCAGCAAAAATTACATAAAAGAGACCCAAACTCTATTGCAAAGGAACCAATAACGTTTTTAATAACTTCAAACGGTTTACTTGTTTCGCAGTTCAGCCCTGTAAAACCAGAGGGACAGACACACATGTAGCTTCCACCAGAGCTGTAACAAGATCCTCCGTTCTGGCAAGGATTTGAGGCACAGGCATTAACCGCTAAAGAAAAACGATTCTAATTAGTTGAAATCAAATATTTACTAGGATCAATATCTAAAATTGGTCTGGTATTGATGGATTTGCCCAAATAACACAACTGTCATCTCTCTTTTTATCGCTTGTATGAAGTGGTAAAGAAACCCATTTTCGTGCTTTTATATCGAAACTATCTTCTTGAATTTTAAGGTACTTGTATAAAATGTCAGAAGAACAATAATGGTCTCAGTTGTTCAGGAATAGTCCTAACGTGAGTCAAGCCTCAATTATATGATACATGCCAGATCAATACATGATAGTACTAACAAAATACCAATATCAACCAACACCGCATTACGCTAGATGCAATTGAATTACATAATACCCTTTTATATAACATTAAACAGTACTATACACAAAAATACTTTATTTTACTATGTTATATGAAATTAAATTATATTATATTACATTATATTATGAGTTATTACATAATATTACACTTTCCTATTTTATATTATTATATTATCTCAACTTTTATTAGGGAATATAATATCAGATTATATCACTTTTTATTATATTATCTAACAATATTTCATCACATCATCTAACATTATGACTTCCTCCACCTAATATTACTTAGCTTCAAACCAATTTTGATCTTATTTCTTCAAGGGCCCATCAAGAGTAATGGTGTTTACTTGCTACCTTGGTTTTGCCTTTCCCCAAATTTCTGTAACACTAATACAAATGCTCTTACATCCTCTCCCAGCAGCAAAAATTACATAAAAGAGACCCAAACTCTATTGCAAAGGAACCAATAACGTTTTTAATAACTTCAAACGGTTTACTTGTTTCGCAGTTCAGCCCTGTGAAACCAGAGGGACAGACACACATGTAGCTTCCACCAGAATTGGAACAAGATCCTCCGTTCTGGCAAGGATTTGAGGCACAGGGATCAACCGCTAATGAAAAACAATTCTAATTAGCTGAAATCAAATATTTACTAAGATCGATAATGAAAATTGTTCTGGTATTGATGGATTTACCTAAATCAAAAGAAGCACATTTAACAGAACAGGTATACCAAGAACATGATAACCTTAACGTAAGAAATTGCTTGTATGATGAAATAATGAATGACTTGATTGAACAGGCAAATTTCTAAAGGCAGATTCTTTATGACGTCATAAAAAATTATTGACGTGATACAAAAATATATGTATGTTTGTAAAAGATGCAAATTAGCATTGGAGCAACTCCTTTTAAACCTCGTAAGATTATATTCTGAGCAACTCAAAGTCCGGAAATAGTGTAAGTGATTATAACTTTGCAAGTTTGCAATAATGTCAAATTTCAGGCAAAGAAAGCAATCATAAAGACAATATGTTTTACCTGAAAAGGTTATATCATCCAGAGCGATGTCCGATGTCCAATCATCGCCTCTTACTACTTCAAATATCAACTGCAATAAAGATTTGATAATTTCCTTAAAAATGATCTTGTAAATAACAAGTCACAGGAAGTGCAGGGTGAAATGTTACAAGCGTTCATTGGAGCTCTGGGCAATATAATACAAAATAGCATAAGACTGTAGGAATACTTATTGAAATTCAATAAATTACATTATAAGGTATGTTGCGATAGTGTAAATACTGTATGAAATCATATCATGCAATACAATACAATACAGTACAGTACAGTACAGTACAGTACAGTACAGTACAGTACAGTACAGTACAGTACAGTGCAGTGCAGTGCAGTACAATACAATACAATACAATATCATACAATACAATAAAATACAATACAATACAATACCATAAAACTGAGTAGCATACTGCAAAATGCAGAACAAAAAACAGACCGTGCAAGATACAATGAAATACATACAACATAAAGCAATATAATAATTGATAGTTTGGTATAATTCTCCTTAGAGCTTATATTATAAAATGATAAACTCTGATAAACGACGGTAAAGGATTTCAGTCACAAAAAGTTATAAATACAGTACGCTGAAAAGAAATGAAATCTATAAAGGCACGGTAAATGAGCTATCAACTAAGCATTGGCTAAAAAGTTTAAAGTGATGACGTCACAATAATCTGATTTTAGCATGTTTGAATTTGGATCCCGTAACCTGAAAGAGCATCATGAAATGCCTCTAAATGTCCAAAATCAGTCAAATGTGTTTTGAATTGGCTGGGATATGGCCACGTCATCACTGGCTTTTTCCCCATCAAACCTTTGTAATTTCGTTAGCAAATTTCAAAGCTGTCATTGGCCGTATCTCACGCATAATCGGAAGCATTTTTTGGATGGTGCTCTTTTATGCTATGTGGTTAGAATTCAAATATTCTAAAAATCGCTCTTTTTGACTTCCCACTTAAGACCTCTATTAAAACTAGGTGTCTTCTGTAAGAGAGCATTTGCTTCCACCTTGATTAAAAAATTTTCATTTGAACAAACCAGCCATTGTTTAGAACTGTCCATTGACGGAATCTGTATTGAAAACCCTAACGGGTACGAGGAACTTCAAGGGACAAACTGTAACGGCTCAGGGTATTTTGGCCTTTTATCCTTTTATCATGACTGAAATATATTTACATACTTAATAATATATTCCACATAAAAACTCACATTATAAGAGGAAGAGCTCTGATAAGGGACGGTTGCATTTATCCAAGCAGAGCCCTGTTTTCCTTTGATTGACCATAAAAGGGCTTCCCCGCTAGCATTCTTTAAGAAGAGATTCAAATACGTTAACGCGTTAACATTAGCATGATATTTGAAGCTGATGCTTCGAGATGCTGTAGCTGCCATCAGCTTGCTCATTACCCGAGCTTTTTGGCCATGTGTAGCAGGCGATGATGTTTCCACATAAATGTAGTACCCAGCTGCAAGAAAACAATAAATCACCATCATCAAATGACAATCTAAACTGTCCCACATGCATTAGAGTTTTCAAGTGTGAGGCCATAAAATATAATTGACTTTTTCAACTTTTGACTTTTCACCACATAATCTGAAAGAACACCACAAAATACATCTACAAGTGTAAAACCGGCTTGATATGTTTAAAATCGGGCGATATGTTGCCAAAGAAAGATACAAAGCTTGCCAACATATTGCTGTTCTTTCGGCATGGTTCATCAGGCTAAGAACTGTGACCAAATTACAGTGTCTTTGATGGAGAGATATCTTGTGCTCAGGTGGCCATGTCTCAAAGTAAACTTGAAACTTTTTATATGATCTTTCACACTTAACATAAGTTTTGAACAAACATCAGTAAGTAACATAAACCACTGAAAGGCCAAGTTTCGAATAACCGTCAATAAAACTTCAATCCATTTCTTTTACATGATATATCCGCTCGTTTTCGCACGCGATCTGGAAAAATTAATTACAATTAACTAGCGCCTTCCTTCGAGTGACCTCATTAAAAGTGTCCCTAAAATAGTGCTCCGCAGAGAAAGTCATGAGAGGCGCTCATTAAAGGAATTACGGTTACATCAGCTTTGGTTTTGATTAGTTCGCCTCTATTCATATCAAGAGGAGCCTACTGTTTAAAAACCATGGAAAATCATTGAGGCTGCAGGGGCAATTGCCCCCCCCCCCCCCCCCCCCCCCCCCCCCCCCCCCCCTCTTAGTAAGTATTCTAAAAAAGGCCCTGGGTAAGCCAAATCAAAGCTTCGCGACCGATTATGAAACAACAAGGATGACAGTAACGATGAACTAAATTAAAAAAGTACTACAATACTATTAAGTGATGCTTTGCAATATAATACAAATCCATTAAATGGTATTAGCTTACCGCCATTGAAATTTGGAGAAGCATCTCCCGTTGGCCCGGTCCCCGATGAAGGAGTTTGTCCAGTGTGAGGGATCCATTCCAGATCGTACCCAGCGCTTTTCTGGTCTTTCCAGTGGCACAGTCTGTTGGTTGCATTCTCAAATTCACAGTCATCAGGCCCTTCAAGAGAAAAACATGGGCAAAATCAAATTTTCCTTCCCTTGAAATCTGCACAGAAGACCCCAGCTCCCCATTTATATGCACGTTTTTCAATTTTTAATGTTAACTGATATACACCGCTAATTGGAATTTCTGAATGAATTTTAATATGTAGATATCACTGACCAGCATGAAAATACTTAAAGAAATGGAGAAGTAAAAGACATACCAAGGATGTTGCAACGATAACAAGGCATTGACTCTAATGACTTTCCAGAACATGTGGGTCCATTACATTTCGGTGCTGGATTTGTGCATGTTCGAGCTCTTGATCGGGATCCAAATGAGCCACATGATGTTTGACAAGACCACGAAGTCCATCTTGACCAATGCCCTTTAACTAAAAGCAAAATTAGCATTCATTTCATTTTGTTTAGAAATATTGCTGCGAATAAACAAAATACAAAAAGCCCGGCAGAGAAATATATAGCAATGTGTACTGTGTCACTCATATGACGTCACGCAAAGAAACCCAAACAAACCAGAGCTTCTAAAGGCCCTGTTGTCTCTTTATCCCATCATACAGTTCAGGTCCCGTGATGCGCAGAGAAAACAAATTCTTAAGAACCCCATATGTTTGTAAAAACCCTTTGATTGGCCGCGCCTGAAATTCTCACTACAACTTTCTGCCGTTTTCCTAACATGATAGTACAATGATACACAACCATGTATTACAAAAAAATCATGTTGGCCTTAGCATTCTAGCCACTGTTACAAAGTTGCAAAGTTTCACCATTCAAACATCACAAAAACCATTTCAAATTTTTGTTTCGGCAATCCTCACCAGCGTTAAACGAGCCTTGCAAATATTAAACAGTGAATTTATACATCATAATTAATACCTTTACCTATGGTTAATCAAGAACAACAATCCTAGGTAATGATAAAAGAACTTATTGTTAGCTATTTTACCTATACAGCAATTTTTTATTTGTCGCAATTTGATTAGTTCAAACTGATGGGGGCTCCCGCTTTGGCGATTCCTTTTGCAGCCAATCAAGATAGGGACTCCCGCGTTGGCGATTTGTTTTGCAGCCAATCAAGATTTGACGCCTATGCTCCTATGACTAATCAAGATCGACAATCCTAGGTAATGATAAAACAACTCATTGTTAGCTATTTTACCTATACAGGCAGGGTCACTACAACTTGTTGCTTTTCTTTCAAACATCAAGCCTCTGGAGTCTGCCCCAGGGCACAAGGATCGATCTGTCTCAAAACAGTACTTCTGTCTTTGCCTGAAAATACTTGAAGATGTATGAATGCAAGGACTCCATTCAGACCAATCAGACCAGCCACTGCCCGCCTCTGCAAAGAAAAAAGGCTGTGCTAGAACCATAGAATGAAGATATAAATGCAGAAACATTGTTTTATTTAAAAAGACAACAAAGTCGAAGCTCCTGCAGACGTCCTTTCATAACTGCACTTCGCTCTAATTGAAAAATTTCATTACCTTATCGAAAACTTTTCTTGACATTGCTGGCCCCTTCATTTTGGGATCAGTTGCGTGGGTTCTGATAAGAGTTCTATGATTACCTCTATATCATGGTGTATTAAAAGAAAATTTAGGTCTAGATTATGTTGTATTCCTCAACTGGTGCATAAATCTTTTTCTCAACAACGGAAACAACAACAACAAAAAAGCTCTCGTCTAACTTGTGACTGAAACCTTTTTGCTTTAAATTTGTAACCACACAGATTGTGGTTTGTATGAACAACCTTCTCTCCAGACTCTTGGAAATTAGCCGATTATGTGCAATTTCACTTACTTGTGCATTGATAAAGAGCATTAAGCTCCTGTATATCAAGAGTACTGAAGCCAGCTCTCTGTCCAAAAGATCTGCTCGGATCAGTAATTGATTGTATAGTATTCTTTCCATTCTTTGAAAAGGCCGTTTTTCCGTAATGCATCACACTGTCGAAATCATACGCAGTTTGAAATACTTGGACGGCTTCTGCAGTCTGTTTTGCAAAGTTGCCTTCCCTCTCTGTAAAAAACAAAAAATAATCATAAAATTTTCTAGCTCTTTTTTCAACATTTTTGAACTGTGGAATGTTTGAAGTATTGGTAGGACACTGTCCTGGGATTTAATTCATTTTTTGAAGCAAACATAGAATCAAGATATTGCTTATTGCTTTTTTTACTTCATTTTTACGACATTACCTTATCAATATTTGAAAATTTCTTAAAATCTTTACAATGGAACCTTCGCTCCGAAACCACAATACAACCTTTCAAAAAGTACTTGCCAATGGCGCCCGTAGAAAAACGTTTATAACGTATTCATCGTGTATGGAAGATATGACTGATTTCTTCTGATGGTTTCCAAACAAAATTGGACGGTAAATATTTTCAGCAATTCTTGAGACCGAAAATTGTATCATCTATTCGAAATTCTTATAGTCCAATTAATAGCCTTTGTGTTTATGGTTCTTATAGACGACAGGGGGGGGGGGCTCTCATCTCGTTAGTTTACCTACTTTGAGAGCTCCTCCTTAGGAATTCTACTACACCTAGCTGCATTGTGTTGTTGTTTTATTTTTCTAAATTATTATCATCAGTACTTTATTAACAATTATTATTGTAATAGATTTTGAACAATAAATCAAATCAAATCAAATCAAATCAAACCAAATTAAATCAAATCAAATCAAATCAAATCAAATCAAATCAAATCAAATCAAATCAAATAGCCTGAACAATTTACAGCTGCAAATTTTACTTTTTAAAGTTCCTACTTTGTGACTATATTTTCAAATTCAGCCTAGTAATGTTCTGCATGAAAATAAAAAACACAGCCTATTTCTCATCATGTAACAGAAACAGCTCCTGCAAAGCATTTCAGATTCTTTCTGAGGCTTTTTATTTGTCCATTCATCACATCTAACAAGCATGGTTCACAGGAATGCTTTCCTGCTCATTTGATCATTCTTGACATCATAATTATCACCTCCATTGTCCGTAATGTTGATCTCTGATTTTTCAATGTCCGTAATGTTGATCTCGGGTTTTTCAATGTCCGTAATGTTGATCTCTGATTTTTCAATGTCCGTAATGCTGATCTCTGATTTTTCAATGTCCGTAATGTTGATCTCTGATTTTTCAATGTTCGTAATGTTGATCTCCGGTTTTTTTTAATGTCCGAAATATTAAACTCTGATTTTTCAATGTCCGAAATGTTAAACTTTATTTTTGCAATGACCGAAATGTTTATATCTATTTTTACAACATTCTACACTTAGTGAGATTCCTGTTGGATTTTGCAAACAAAGGATTGGAAAGAAATAAATTTGTATCTCATAACTGTCGGTTTTATCTAACATTATTAAGATCTTTTTACACCGCAATAGATCATATATAAGCTACTCACTATCTTGGATATTTTCCCATAGAATTTCTATGAAGTCGTCCCTGTCATATCGCGATTGCTCGTGGTAGAAGCCAGCAGCATGCATAAGTTCATGGATAACAATCCCAACAGAGCCACAGCCTGATCCAATGGAAAGCTTTTGTTCTCCTGTGAAGACTCTTCCAACATAGGACCAGCATCTACAACACAAAGGTACCAATTCAAAGGCGTTCAAGTCATAGATACAGGGCCGCCGAGAGCGAGGCCAGGCTCCGGGGCAACCATGTGTGTCGCTCCCTTACCTTGCTTGCATCTTATTCGAGAAACAAAGCTGCGCACGCACTAGAACTCATCAGGAACTGCAGTTTCTTAAGACGGTTCACAAACAGATACAGTTTTCTTAATAAAAAAATTGTATAAAAAGATTGATATACACCGCATTCTTTCAAGAGAAATGGTGATAAAGAGTTTTTAGTTCTTCTTTCAAGAGAAATGGTGAAACAGAGGTGGCATATTAAAAGTTAAATATGTATGCAGAGGTGGAAAAAGTATCGGAACCTGGGAACGTAGTTCCCAGAAATTTTTCTGGATGAAAATATTAGCAGAAAGTTTCACAGAAAAGTTTTGAAGTGTTAAAGTAAATGTAAAAATCTGGTGACAAGAGTTAAGTCAAATCAGCATTTAATATTATTTCAACTTGCCTGTAAGCAGCTAAATATGAGCTGCCAATGGACTGTCGGGTATAGCCTCTTTCCGTTGGAAAGAAATTCTTTGTGCACATTCACCATCTCACAGAAATCTCAACCACTCACCATCAAAATTTTTTTTGGCAGCTGAGCTTTTTAGACAAACCATTGTTTAGACTGAGATTAATATAGGGACTGGAATCTACTTTCACAGAAATTATTTCTTGTACTATGGTGTGAGCAGCATTGATCATAAGTTAATATGCTTGGTTAAAGTAATTTGGTGCATGTTAGGACTCCATTTCAACCATATATTTCTTCACACTTGTCAAAGAATAGGCTGTGTTAAGCCTTCTCTGTAAAATGCACCATACAATTCAAATGATTTTGCCCCTGATTCTTCTGAAACTATGTTTAGAAATTATTGCCTTCTGTTTTTGGTTTTTCCATCACGATGATTGACTAAATGCATAAATTTCTGGCTAAAGTTGATTTCCCTCTTATGTGCATTTATGCATCAAGTAAAGCCATATCTAATATGTTGAGTTAGGCCTACTCATAGTCAGTTGCATATAAACGTCTTGAATTTCTTCAGCTAAATACAGTATTGTAGGCACAAACAGAAAGTTTGTTTGTCTACCCCTTGAAATCTTGCAGAAAGTTTTTAGCCAGATACTTAGGTTCCCAGAAAGAAAAAAGTTTTTTCCACCTCTGTATGTATGTCAGATAAATAGGAGACGAATCTGTTGTCCAAATACCCTGGGTGCCAGAGCCTCAGACAGTCAAAGGATGAACACCGGGGGAAGGAATTGCGAAGGAGAATGGAAGAGTAAAAGGGAGAGACGAGGCTCTGGATCCATCGTTCAATAATCTCCTTCTCGCTTACAACGGAAGCGATTTGGAATCACTTATTCGAGGGCAATGAGCGATTAGGAATCACTTTTAGGTTGCAAACAAAGATATATCGAGAAACATACCAATCATCCCACACTTCCCAGTAATTCTTTGAAATAACGTCCCTGATGATAATTTTTTCAATTTTCATTGTTCATAACAACGCTTAAACACTTTTTCATACTGCCTGATTAAGCGCTGTCAATTTCAGCAATAGCAATAACAACACAATTGAAAGAAACACTTGTAGATGGCGAATCCAGAAACAATCCTGAACGTTTACTAGAAAGGGGAATATTGCTATTTGCGCGGATTTAGCTTCGGAAACTCCTCAAATAAGCCGACTTACAAAATCGTGTGAAGTGAAGAAAACCACTGACATGACACCTCAAACAGAATCGTGCCTGCATGTGATCATTTTCTAAAAATAAAGCGCCTTTTCGAATCGACGAAACTTCATTTGGAACACGTTTTGTAAATACAGTTTGTTGACAATAAAGGGATATGTGCACTTAATTTACTCATAGACAGAGGCATTTTTCCATAAAAACCTAAGATTAAAGTAACAAAAGTTGATAGCCCATAATTACACAAAGGCAAGGCTAGGCCTAGTTACAATTCAGCAAAAAAAGAAAATGTTTATTTCCATACCCAGATGACCGTACTATATGCAAATAAGTCTGGTATTTTGATGTATTTCCAGTAGCATCGACAAACTTAAGGCATGTGTGATTGTGATATTTAGCCATGGCTGCCAGAATCACCGTCCTATCATTCGCTGTAAAAGATCAAACAAATTTAAATCAAAAGTTGCGTCAGAGATGTATGACTCAATTAAACCATAAAAACTTCTGATTTCCATGTATAGTTATCATAATCAATAAAAACCAAGGAACTATGTATGTTTGGGTTTATACAAAAACATACGATCTTCTCATTTTGCAGTTTCCGATTTGCTTCAGCTTATTTATTTGAGCTAAATACTTTAGAGCAATGTTCAGTATTGGCGTAAAAGTTAAAGTAAGTCATAATACATCCGAAACTTCTCCTGTCATCGACTATTATTTACCAACAAATACACTAACCCTAACCCTTACACTGAACTTAACTAACCTTAACCCTTACAGTAACCCTAACCCTTACATTAGTCCTTACCCTTACACTAGCGCTTACCCTAACCCATACACTAACTTTAACCCTAACCCATACACTAACCTTAACCCATACACTAACCTTAACCCTAACCCATACACTAACCTTAACCCTAACCCTTAAACTAACCCTTACCCTTACACTTAACCCAAACCCTTACACTAACCTTAACCCTAACCCTTACACCAACCCTTACACTAACCTTTACCCTAACCCATACACTAACCTTAACCCTAACCCTTACACTAACCCTTACCCTTACACTTAACCCTAACTCTTACACTAACCTTTACCCTAACCCTTACACTAACCTTAAACTAACCCTAACACTTACACTAACCCTAACCCTAACCCTTACACTAACCCTTACCCTTACACTTAACCCTAACTCTTACACTAACCTTTACCCTAACCCTTACACTAACCTTAAACTAACCCTAACACTTACACTAACCCTAACCCTAACCCTTACACTAACCCTTACCCTTACACTTAACCCTAACTCTTACACTAACCTTTACCCTAACCCTTACACTAACCTTAAACTAACCCTAACACTTACACTAACCCTAACCCTAACCCTTACACTAACCCTTACCCTTACACTTAACCCTTAACTCTTACACACTAACCTTAAACTAACCCTAACACTTACACTAACCCTAACCCTAACCCTTACACTAACCCTTACCCTTACACTTAACCCTAACTCTTACACTAACCTTTACCCTAACCCTTACACTAACCTTAAACTAACCCTAACACTTACACTAACCCTAACCCTAACCCTTACACTAACCCTTACCCTTACACTTAACCCTAACTCTTACACTAACCTTTACCCTAACCCTTACACTAACCTTAAACTAACCCTAACACTTACACTAACCCTAACCCTAACCACATATAACAATAACTTGTAGGCATTGATCCTGATCTTTAAAGGAATATTTTTGTAAATAACATACTATTCTTCACTCTTTATCAAATTCATAATCTAAGCAAATCTTAAAATCAATAGGCCGTTTTTCTAATGAAGTCATATTATCCATTTGTGCATTGCATTCTGGGACTTGTAGTTACGCACCATTCGCACGCTCATGCGCTCGCACGCTCGCACGCAGCATCAAGTCACGAAGTAAACAAATGGAACTTTGAAACAAACTTTGCAGATCATATTTCTGAGAACGCCTGCCCTAGTGTGTTTAAAAATTCAACATGTCCTGGCAAAATATCGCTTGAGGTAGGAGTCCTTGAAAAAATCTGGAAATCCAGCAAATCGATAGGCGTGCAGGTGCAGACAAAAGGATGAGGAGGTAAGAAGAAGGTTCTGGTGTATTCACCTGCAGTGTAACGATGTGTTTTTACAACAACAAATGGGATAAAAAGCTTGAAATTTTATGCATTTCCATCTGAGAACAAGAACCTTATGAGAAAAGTGGATTTACTTATATGTGCCAGGCTTACATATAGAGCTTCTATGCCCAAAGAATCAATAAAACTTTTCAAGGATTAGTTATAAAATACGCATAAATTAATTTCAAAATAAGGTATCTTTTAAAAAAATCTAAATTTCATAAGCAAATCAAATTTAAAATTTATGGCATATAAAGTCATTAAACTTTCAATGTAATGAAGATGGAGCTCTGTATGCCGGGGCGAAATATTAGTATATTCCTTAAATTTGATTCATTTTGAAAATTTTATTTCGTGACATTGGATCCTCGTCGTCGTATTGCTTTGTTCATGTATATCTTTCATAACAACACTCATTGCAAGATTCGCAAAATCCGGCGGACAGCCTATCCTGCGGTTCTTCCTTCTTACACATTTCAATGCAATGTTTGCATCAGTCGAAGCAAGCAAGCTAGTTTTGGGTGCATTTCAGTTTAGGTGATACCCCAAAGTTCACGTAGTCCAGTCATGCATAAAGCAATGCTGCTACATGCTTACAACGGCCCCTTGACCAGCTTTTTCAAGGGCATTTTGCATAACAAATTTCTGGATTGCTTTGATCCATACGTGCATTTTAAAGATAATTAAAACTGGTGATTGAAACATGAGCCTCTGCGCATACAAAAAACGAGATATTCGTCCAGAGACTTTAGGCATAACGTTTAAGTCTGGGGTATATCCTCGCCTCCAGAGACGATGTTCACTTTTTTACTTCTAAAACCTTTCTCTACTGTTTTTGATCGTGAGTTTTGGAAAAAAACAAAATAACTGGTTACCGTTCAAGAACAAATAAATTTTGATCGATAGGTTATGGTATACAAAAAACAACAGGCGAGTCCTGGACGCTTTTCGGGGGTGGATATAATCATAGGACACAGCACCCCAAAGAACTGGAGAAACCTACAAGCCCCAAGTCGTTATCTTGAATGTGTCGAAAAATGCTTTCACTATCTGGCTCTAAATGCCTGAAATGCGCTTAATGCGTTCAAAAAGCAATCAAAAGTATCTTTTGAGCTTAAAGCAACTGAAAAGACAACTCCCTGAGAGAGCAGCTGCTAGATAGCTACGTTTTTGTACTCAATTTTAGTTTAACTGTATATATTTTGTATTCATGAAAGGGATTGACTTTGTTATTTAGAGTTAGGTATGTGGGTTGAAGGGAATTTAAAATGAGAAACTTAAAAAGATTTTGTCCACCCACTTTCGTTCATTGTATCAATTTTCGGGCTTAACTTAGGCTGCCTCCACGCCTTTATCCCATTGACAAAGACTTTCTTCAGAGGAAATTTTACCCATCAATGAGCATGAGGAAGTTATAAAAAAAGCTACGGCTTCTTTCTTTAAAAATATCATTTTTAAAGCTAGTTAGATACGTAGTTTCATCTTAACAGCAAGTTTAATTTGTATACTTCGCGACTTGCTGCTGCCTTTTGCCTTGTGATAATGGCCTTTTAGCGTGTCAAACAAAGCCATGATGCCTTTTGATGAAACCAGTAGTGATACAGAAAGAGCTCTTTAAGTGATGAAGACTTCTAGCAAAAAGAATCTGTGACTGTGTATAGAAAACCTATACGTCTTTAGCGGGGTCATGTTCTTTAATTCAAAATGTGGTGTTGTTTAGTTTCCCCATTGCATTTCTTACCTGACTCTCTTCCAAAGCATGTCCTAATTAAAATTTCCATTTTAAGTGTTGAAATAGTGCACCTTGATTTTCTTAGAAACTTGATTCATGGATGGAGCACCTATTTTGACTCGAGCAAGACCAGTTAGATTGCTTGGCTTTGTTTAGATAATTCTGATTCGTAAAGTTTATCTAGTGTCACAGAATGGGTTAGCCTGGTTCAGAAAATAGCAAAGCCTCTTTTTGGCTTACCACTGGCCTTCTGCTTATAAATTGGCATTTACTTTTCCAATTCTGCTATGATTTTACTTACGTGGTACAGAAGCATTAAAGATGTAAGGAATAGTCCTATCCTGCCATATCTTGCCAAGGTATCGATGAGCGGCTTTCTTCTCGATGTCATCATCTGAAGGTGAGCGTGGGTTTTTGGCTATATCTCCCCCTTCCAACTTTACTGGAATTTTCTCAACGTTTTCTGAAAAACATTTGAAAAAACATGAAATAGGACAATTAAAAAAATTGGTTCGGTGACATTCCTGTTTTCTACATTTTGTTTCTCTGATTCTGAGATTCAATAGGAGAAACAAATTGCTCGATATTTGTTGCTAAAGTTTTCACATAGGATCACTTGCAAATTAAAGACATTGAGTCATGATTGAGTCATGGATTAGGTATACCCAAAGTGCCAAAATCCGCTGATTCACTATTTTCGTGACTGCGATGCTATTGGTTGACCTTAAACTGGTGACATGAACTCACCTCGTACTGATTAACAAAACAGTTTCCATCAATAGCAAGTTGTCAACAACGGATGCCAATATCACATGAAACAGCACCGATCACGCCGAAACCAAATGACCTCCAATAGAGAAGGCCTATTTACCATGACTCAATGCCATTAACATTTTCAATATCACAGGCTTCTACAGCAAAGGCGACTGATTATAAAAATAACAGTAGCCAAGTAAAGGAACATATAGCCTAAAACATTTTCTTTAATAAGGAAAAATAGCATACCTTGGTTAATCTTATTAATCTGATCGATACTTGCTGCATTGCTTCTGGTATCTAGATAAAAACATTGATAAATCATGATCAAGGCAAATGACAAAGATGATAAGATTTTCAGCTTTACATTGCAATTGTTGAGCCTTTGGTCATTAGATTATAAATTTGAAAACATATAATTGAGGCATTAATGATCACACAGAATATTTGCGAAAAAATCAGTTGACGCATATGATATTAATCCCAATCGGCTCTTTTCAAGGAAGATACAAGATCATTTTTTGATAATCCATATCAGTAGGTACATATCACACCATGGCAATTCTATAGCAGATATCACGATTATCTGCCCCCTTCCCCCTCCCCTCCCAAAAAAACTCCAGAATATTTTTTGAAAGATTCATGGCAAAATTCGTCCAGACATATAATCGTTTTGACAAGAATCGTTTTGATGATTGTAGACAAGCAATCTTTTTCTTTCAATTGAATTTTTACCTCAAATTGATCAGGGATCATTAATGATTCCTTTTCTGCATCATCATTCCTTAAATCAATCATGTCAATGTATTTGTCAAAAGTTGCACGGAGAGCGGCACGGAGAAAAAGAATAATTGGATTATTAGCAATAGCAGGTATGGGTGCTGACCTAGAATATTATAAGAAGGGGATGTGCTGTAGGCATCTTCAAAATGCCATACCCACCACCACACACCCCAATACCTTGTGTATGTCAGTTGAAGATTTTCCTTGTTACATACAAAGTATTCATGGACTCAAAAAACTGATAGGAATTGCTTATTCGGGGGAACCTATACTAAATAAGGGTTACCAACAAAGGATTGGACCAACCAAACACGTGGTCACTTGTTAAGAGGGGGGGGGGTAGAAATTGCTTTTTCTGTACCATGACCAAATCCTGTAATTATAAGAATAGGACTAAAAAAACTACATCAATGACTTTTTGGCTTTACTAAGCTACTTTTTCTCTTTATCATGCTGCTAAACATGGTAGAGAGGTTTCTGAGCAGGTGGCTCTTTGCAAATGGGTTGATTGCCAGAATTCAAGAAAGCAAGAGTAAAAGAATGCAAGTTCCCCCTTTGCCAGAATCCCCTAGCACTTATATCTAAAAAACTTTGACAAAGACATTTGCACTGCTCGGTGGATTCTCACCAATCATCAGTTGTAACAGGGCATGAAAACCCACCTGACAATGCAACCAGGTGGTTGCAGGGAATCTTTCATTAATAAAGTTCTGCAGGAAATATTTTAAAATCTACCCTTTTACAAGAATTACTTTGTTGCTTTCATGTGCATTGGAAGAAAAGCACAAGAAAATAGAAGTTTATCTTATGTTGTATGTCTTGTACAGGATTAAGGGTTGTTCCACACAGGAACCCTTTGAGAATGTTCTTTGAAACTCTTGTTTGATAAAAGGTAGCAGTTATTACCATTCGGTTGTAAGAAGGAAAAAATTGTTCATGTCCTATGTAAAAGATTGCAGTTGTGCAAATAGATCTATTGTGTTTTTTCAAGACACTAGTATGGTACTATTATTTCAATCCTTTCAAAAAAAGCAAAACATCAGCTATCATTTATCAAGGTTTTTGCAATTTCTTAAATGTGATCAAAATGTGTTCAAATGTTAAGGAAAGTTTAAATCCTAACTAAACAATCAATCCAATGATGCTTGGGGGTTTGAATGTAACAATAGCCCCCTGTCTCACACTGATAGTTGAAATTAACAGTGGCAAAACAAAAGTGGAAACAATACCTCAGGAAAACAGAGCCTGTGAAAACAAGGGAGACTCAAAATAACATCATCAAAGCAAAATAAACAATTCACCTTTCTGTCCAGAGTCTTCTTTTGCCTTTATATCTTCAAGCTCTTCATCCAAGTCTGAAAAGGAAATAAACACACAAAGGTTTTACTTTTAATGAGCTTAACAACTTTATTCAAATATTGTTTTGAAATCACTATAAAAGAGAAATTAATGCTTAGCTATAATTAATCCTTCATCCTAATTTCAAAATGTAAACTCAAGGGCTCTTTTGTTAATAAAACTACCTTAGCAAATTTGGATTTCCTTCTATTTCAATGATAATCATTTGACAACAAAAAAGATTCAAAAGATAATGGTTTTCTAAAATACATAAAGATTGATATGCCCACAATGACTTTGGCCTGGCCTGCATGGGCAGGGAAAATCATGGCTTGGCATGTGCTAGTTTGGCCAAGGTTCTTTGCGGATAAGCCTATGTTATGGCAGTGTGGACAGAAAATTAGGCCAGGTTTTAGTTTTAACAAAAAAATAAAATTGTACACAACATGTTTGTTTGTTTTTAAAAGAAGATGCATTTTCAATATCAGGTAAAGCTCTAAAAAGGCCTTTATTTAGAAAATTGAATGATCCAACCAATCAAGGATTGAAGATTAATCTGGATTAGAATTTTTTTCTTTCAAAATAAAACTTTTGGCCTGTTTTCTTTCATTTCATTTTATTCATAAGCACATTTTTGTTCATGTTTCTTGGTAGAAAGAAACCATTACTGCAAATTACTTCTATTGATTCTGTACTTCAGCAAAAAGAAAGGGTCTGAGCCTGGTTTAGAGAAACTTGAGCGGACTTGAGCTAGTTTAGCCTATTCTGAGCTTCAAACAGGGCATCAAATTTTGTAGGGTCGCTACTAGCAAGTTTATCCCATAATTATACTTAACAGTTTCCCTTTTCTGCAATGTAGTGAGTTGCTTCAATAAACCTTAATACCAAAAAGTAGTCTCTACTGTGACAATTTATATGCAAGACTGCAAAAATAAGGGCTGCATTGTTCTTCATCTAATAGGGAAGGGATCAGATAATTATGTTGCAAGATTGCCTTCAAGAATTGATAGGTAAACCCAGGGATGCTGAAACGACCAAGGGGCAAGGGGGCAGGCTTGAGTAACAGGGCATTTGAAAAATAATTCCCAGCTACTAACAATCTTTTTGTAACTGTCATTTCTTTTCGATCTTCTGCAAATATCTTGGAAATCGGCTAACTTTTGGCATAATAAATTACTTTGTAAGTAATGACAAATGTCATCATGAACAAGGCAGTACAGTCAGAACTTCATTTATTTGTATTTGTTTCTACCTAGCATCCGAAGATAGTTTTCTCGGACACTGAGAAGCTTATGCTTATCAACAGTGTCCTGGTCCTTGCTCTCGATGTGACCACACCTTGTGATTCCTATGCCTGGAATTACAGAGAGCTGGCAACTCTCCTCACTCTGGCTGGAAGTTTGGCCATGCCAGGGACTCAAACCACAGACCCTTGTGTCTGTAGTCAGCGCCTCTAACAACTGAGCCAACCTCCAACTAATCTCATTTGAATCTCTTGATAATCACAAACAACTGATGTTATGGGCACTCCTATGAAAAGGGCATTCTGGCCCCCTTTGCCCCTCCTATCAAAAGGCAACAGGGGTGGAAGACCCCCATGCTCCCTCTCTGGCGTCCCTGGGTATACCGCTAGATAGAACCAGTAGCAAATGTGGGCAGTTTTGAAAGAAGTTTCCCCGATATTTTGGAAGACAATGTTCTTTTGTTTTTAAACAAAGAAAAATGTGACATAATCTCATTTAAACAATAGGCTTGCCTCCCCAAGTGTCTGCCAGTGGTTATAACACAATTTCACTGGAACCCATGAAAGGCCTAAATAAAATGACCAGATTTACAATATGTTTTCTCTTATACGTCAGAAATTTGAATGTTGTGAGACCAGTTTTGCTAGTAACTGGAGTTATTGGAATTTATAAACGATGCACATTGCTAAACGTTGGCTTTTCTTGATAATACAACTCTGCAAAGAAGGCTGGGGAGCGCAGCCTAGGCCTACGGCTAGGTTACCTTTATCTGCATGAGAATCATCGACTGAAAGGGATTCAATTTCCTGATCGTCCAATATGTTGCCTTCCAAAGAGTTTATCCAACCAGCTTCACCTGCAACCAGGAATAAAAAAGGTAGATTAAAAGCTGAAGCTTGCTGGACGAGAGGGGTTCATGGTTGTTAAGTGATTGCCCAAGCATGACTACGCTAGAAATGAGATAGCTCGCTTCTGCTTGCAGTCAAGATGCTGAAGGTAATTTCTGGCACTAGATGGCAGTTCCAAGTGTTCAAGTCCTTTTGCAGAAACATGTGTAGTTACAGAATGACATTTCTTGCGAATCATTTTGATTTGGTTGATACTACTAGCCATACTTGTTTGGCCTCTTACCAGTGTCCAAAGGATATAATGGCGCGAGAAAAGTGCTGATGCAATCATAAATATTGTATTGGGTAGGAATCCTAATATCACTGTGTTTGAGAATTGGAATTGGTTTTGGTTTTACACAATTGGTTTTACACTGCAGATTTTTGGTATGGAACAATAGGTCTATTGGCTACAGGGGCGAAAATACCGGGGGGGTGTGGGGGGGTGTGACACCCCCCCCCCCAATCTAAAAAATAGTCGATTTCGCAGAGCAATCGAAGATTTCGCAGGGCGCCAAGAAGAGCTTTATTGCCACGCAGAAATGTCGCCTCTGAAGTTGGTAAAGGGCCTTTTAGGAATTTTGAAATGGAAATATCATATTTGTTATGAACCTACCTTCCAGATATTGCATTTTAGAGAACGGAACAGGTATGTAAGGAAAAGCTCCGTTATTTGCAAAGCGAAAGCATGTCTTACCGAAAGTCATAGCCAATGGATGCAATGATTGATGCATATGTTTATGAGGGCAAGGTTGAGTCCATATAAATTAATTTAAGTTGTAAATTATTTTCATGACAGGCACGGCGTCACTGGGGGGAATAGGGGGCTGAAGGCCCTCACTTTGGTCAAGATAAGAACTTTTTTATCATTTTTTCTATTAATTTTTAAAAGTGCATGAAATAAAAAGAGAGTAAACTGTTAAGATGCCGATTTTGTTTGATCTAAATACTAACTTTTTCACGTATATTTTTCTTTTTTTTCTTTTATTTGCATTAATTCAGTAAATCACTTTCTGTATCATTGCAATGTTTTAATTTTGGATGGCCTTCTCGATACAAGAAACTGCACATTTCTGTTCAGGAAATAAAATTCCCCCAATCAAAACAACATCTTCCTCATCAACATTTTCGTCAACTATGTGCAGTCTGCAACGAAAGGTTACCGTTTCTTTCTTTCCACAACGTCTATCACTAGAGTTTTAGCATGACATGCCCCTCCCTATTTTTCCCAATAAACAATAATCAGTTTTTTAGCACAATAGTATTTTGCTAAATTTCGGTCTGAAAGATGCTTTTTAGCCCTATTGCAAGGTATAATTTCAAAAAATTTCTTCACGTCGGACCCAGCCGGTGGGTCCTCCTATATCAGTAAACGTGATTCTTAGTCCCCCCCGGGCTCAATTTCGTTGCTCCGCCCATATAATGCACCCAAAAATAATATGCTACGAGATAGAAGCTTTATTATCAAGGAAAACCAAATTTGACATATAATTTACGCTCACGTAGAGAAATAGATATTTCATAGGCAATGAAGTTTCAAGTTTGTTTTTATTGCTTAGAAATTTTTCCTTGGTAAAGACCAGTGTACACTGGTGAAGCTTTCACTAGTAACCTTTAGAGTATAGACAAACCTTTGCTACGAGGTCTGCAGGGCACCACTCAGTTTTGCAGGGCAGAAACCCTTTTCACCCCCCCCCCAAACCTACTGGCCAAATTACGCCCCTGATTGGCTATCAAAAAGCGTTGGGACGTACGGTGTTTAACTGCGGTGTATCCTTCATTCTTTACATACTGAATACAATATTAAAAGCGGTCTATTGAATAAGGATAGAAATGCAATATTTCTGAATATTGAGCTGCATTGCTTATCCAATACTGCATCAGATAACGGACTTCCTCAATAACTGCGTCAACAACGTTGAATTTTTGCTAGAAAAGGAGGCATGGGGTATTTTTGGCCCCATGTTGGTCAGGGGCGTCACTTCATACTTTTTGTTGGAGGGGGGGAGGGTTTCTTGACTGTATATTTGCCCTGCATAAAATTTTTGCCCTGGAAAAAGTTGAAAATGTGAAGAACTGGCCCTCGATTCCGGTAACACAAAATAATGGGTAAGTTGTACCTACTCAAGCCCTTTCTTACTGTGTCCACAAGTTCACCAATGTCTTTGCCACAAATTATGCCAGCATATTCATGATAACAATAGAACAACATATCTTGAGTGCAATATTTTGGAAAAGATTTATCGATGACACAGTTTTCATCTGACAACACAAGCCTAAAAATCTGCAGGAATTCATACAATACACTCTGCTTATAATCACGTATACTGTCGACTCTGCTTATAATCACGCTACTGGTTACAGTCAGATCAAATTTAAACCCAAATATGCAAGACTATTCAATAAAATTAAGGCCCAAGTGGGTCTGTTTACAGTGTCACACTCGATTTAATGTCACAAGTTTACAAGCAAAATTTAGTGTGACTATAGCAGGAGTTTACTGTAGTATTTCTGTTCTGGTACACGCCGCCTTTTTAGGCATACTACTTTAGCAACAAACTGGATTCCAGATCTCTCCCGGCACAAGACTGTGGCCTGTGAGACCCCTTTCTTGACTACATGTGCCCCTCTCCCCACACTTGAAACGTTCCTACATTTATGGAAGTGTGTAAATTCAATTCATGTAGGCAGTATTTACACCTTTTTTTGGCAGCAAGACGAAATAGATTTATGCAGTCCAATTTTATCTTATCGGGATTGACGTATAAAACAAAGCTCGACACATTATGTTTTGTCTCTAGCGCCACCTCTGCTTTATACAAAGCCGTCTTTGAATTTTGTTAATGCTGAGTATATGAGTCATATTCTATAGATAATGGTTGCATAATATTGTCTTGTAATGAATATTAAAAACAAGGTAACTAAGGATACTGGAGGACACGTTAAACAGGGCCCACGTCACGAATTTGAAAAGGGGGCAAATGCTTCTTTGAAACAGGCCTAATTCGCTTGTCTGACTGTCCAAACAACTTGAAATTTTCAGAACAGATTAATTTCAACATGATGATTCAAATTCTGTGATCCGATTTTACACATACACTAACTCGAAACAGAAATGCCCTGAAATAACAGTGAATGGCCGGGCTAAGAACTTTGAAAGAGTAACTGCTTTCGCATCTAGCAAAAACTTAAAACAGTTGTAACAATTAAATCGCTTAAAGCGGATTACTGTTTAACTAACATTACTGACTAACGGTAATGACAGCCATTTTAGAAATTCCTTGTTCAACTGAAGTGTTTTAACAAGGAGGCAATTTTTTTTGTCAAAGAGTAACTTGTTCTACTTTCAATTTCCCCACTCCTGCAAACAAAGTTGCCGATCCTAAGTAGCAATTCATCTTAGAAAATAGCGCAAACAAAAGGGTTTCAAGAGACGTTTTTATTGAGCCCCTCGTTTTGGAAAAACTTTCTTTCTCCGCGCCAAGAATTCCGTAGAACAAACAGGTTTGAATAGACTGCCAAGGATGTACGGGGATCAGGCTTTAGTGAACAAATTCTATTCCTAACTCAAGTGCCATAAATGTTAGTATTTTGTGTATTTAGTATTTGGTGTGAATCTTCAAGGGCCCACTTTCATATTCATTGCAAAATGATATACAGTCCAATCCACTAAAACAATCCCGGACAAAACTGTTGAGACAAAATGCAATATTTTGCAACTTTCTACTTTTAAGTTGCTTTTGTAAATCCGAATCTCCCCTTTCCCCCACGAGTCAATGTTGAATTAGAACTTCTATCATTTCTGCTTTAAAAACATGCATTCAACATCAATTAGGAGGAGTGGGCACAGGGGCGTCGCGACTGGGGATGTGGAGGGGTGTCAATGGGTAGTTGCGTCAACTGAAGTTCACAATGAGCTCCAGATTTTATTAACATTCAAAAGGCATGGTAAGATGGATAGAGGGTATTGTGGAATTCCACTGTGCATTTTCTATTATTTAGCTGTTTATTTGTTTTGGTATTTAAGCTTTTATTCTTATAATTAACTGTGTGCATTAATACATAGCATTAATACAAATCATTTGAGCATAATTATACTAATCCTTTCTTTTGCGTGTATCAATAATAACTAAACCCATAGGACTAATCACAAACTGCTTTCTGTGCAGGCGAAGTAATTTCGTAAATTTGGTTGAGTTGTTGGTTTTGTTGATGTTGAGTAATAGATTCGCTTAGAGATGAAGAATTGAAACCTCACTAGACTTGTATCTTTGAGATCTACTCTGTCAAAAGAACCAGCAAAAACACGAGAAGTTCTAATAGAGGAATCTAATTGGCAACAAGTGCTGCTTGTTTGTTACCTAGCTTTAGAAGTAACTGACAACATGGAATTTTTGAAGACCACAGTGAAATTGTACCAGTTGTTTTTACCTGCTGCTCATTTTGTTTGAAGAAAAATAATTTTAAAAATGATTAGGAGCATTGCTTTAGTAAAATTTGCTTAAAAGAATGCATTCTGCAGGGAGCAAGAAGCATCAAAATTCGAAAATTCGGCAACCATGGTGCTGCCACGGGTAATAACTATATCCTTGGCTCATCCAGATATCCAGATTTGACAAAACTCAGGACAGTCCGTTGTTATCATGTAAAAATAAAAGTTGCGAATTATAGACAAAGTTGGATTGACAAAATGTACTGCAGAGGTTTGTGGCAGCAACTAAAGAATTTCAGGCAATAATTTTTTGATCAGGTCAATTTGTAGTCCGGAACTATAAGGAAAGAGAAAACTTCAACGTTTCTTGAAAATTCTCAACTATTTTTGTCCAGGATTGTTGATTTTGAAATTTCGAACTCGTGTTGTTTTTTGCTGCAGAATAGCTAGAATTATGATAAACAACAAATTTAAAACTTTTTATCCTCTCACCAATAATTTACATTGCAAACTCAAAATAATTGGCATAAGAAACAAAAAAAGTTTGATATGATAATGCAATTATGCAAAAAGTACTCACTTTGTCGCTCATTGGTAGGCTTTGGAGCACTCTTGGCAGGTGACAGGCAAAATGTGAAGAGGCAGAGGAGCAGAAAAACAGCTCGCTTCATCTTTAATTGTCTAAAGATGGCTTTCAAACTCTTTCCGTGCGAACCAATCTGCTCTCTGAGTCTAATGAGGTCTCGTCGGATTTGACCCAATTTTAAAGATGCCCAGAAGAAAAGGGTATAAAAAGCAATACAATTCTGTTTACGTACAAAAACGTAGATCGTTAATCCAGTCTATTCAATTTCGTAATTTTTTAATTTTTATTGTACTTTGATAAAAGACACCCCTGCACGGCTATTCGCTTCCTTGTATAGAATTAGCATGCTTTGCAAAAATGGTGCGCAATTAGAAAACGTCATTTTTGTGCCCTATAGTTTCCCGAAATGCAAGCAACGTCTACACAGATTAGACATTTTGAAAAGATGGTTTACTCTCTGGGACACAGAGTAGACATATTCAACGAATGCATATGAAATACGATCATATATTTGCATTTTCAGCCCCAATCTATAAAGGCCGTTTAAGAATTTGCATTGCAACTGAAATGGTAAACATTTGAACACACCTTCCATTAGAATTTGTTGGCAACGCAGTCTTTTCAAACCACATTGTCTCTCTAGAATTAAAGCATGCTTCCTTTTTTCAATAAAGTGCCAGCAAAGTTCTTTTGGGAAGGTTTGCATGTAGACATGATATATTTATTAGAATTGAGATGCGGCCTTCTTCGCACCAGACAGTCCGACAAATTTCTAATACCCCTTGCTTTGCTTATCTGAATTTGAATCTTTACAAAACTGGCTGCGATATAGCCAAGTTTCAAAACGCCATAGTTTTGTGCCAGTTCTTGGTTATAAGCCATTCTCTTTATTTTTCCTTCAGATTTTACGCGAGGAAGGACCATAACATTGCTCGATAAACATAGGCATCTCAGTGTCCTAAAAACTACCGTCTGATGCTAGGTAGAAACAAACACAAACAAGATTTTACCCCCAAAACCAAAAAATTTGAAAAAAGGCTTTTAAACACTCATCACTAATATTCCATGTCCTACATTGGCGACTACGATTAACAATTTATTTGTCGTAATGTCAGATTGGCTTTATGAATAAATCCTTTTATGAATTAATCCTTATGAATAAACTGACGTCATTTTCAGGGCAAATTCAGATATCCCCTCCCCCTTTGGAATAACGTTGGTTCACTATAAAAAGAGAAGGAGATTAGTGTGTACCGTCTTGTCCTTTGGCTTGTATTTTATTTTTTCTAGATTATAGACAAAGTTCTGAGCGAAGAGGGCAAGAAGTAGCATTCGGGAAAAAAATTAAAATTGGAAAAAAACGTAATTTTGGCAGGGTGTCCCAAGTATTTTTAGTGGGCGTTGTTTGTCATTTAGTCATGTCATCCGCGCCTTTTGTGCTGTCGAAATGCCCTCCTCGAATTGAACGTTTGTTGCATTTGACAACCCTTCTATGAAACATATATAAATTTTGCTCTTATTTAAATTTTCGGTAACAGTTTGACCAGACTTAAACAATGTTGAATGTTTTTCAGATTGGTTTTAATTTAAAAGTGAGCTAATTCTTTGTTCGTAAAAAATTATAGATCCTTTTTAGATAATTCTTTTTAAGTAAACTTTCTTCTTAGTTATCACGAGGACTGGTATCAGGAAACCATTACGGGCGGAGCATCAAACATTTACAAAAGTCTTAAAATAACTATTAATCTTTAGCATAATTTAAATATTGGCCGACGTGTGTTCTTTGGTTCCTTTTCAATAGATTCTAAGAACTGCAAATTCATCAAAAGTTCGACTTGCAATTACATACAGCTTTAAAAAAGCTGGAGTGTTAGCATTATCACCATGACATTACGTTGGCAATACATTTCAGTTTGTCTCTCTTTTATGCAAATAAGCCAGTCTGGACTCTTTAGCCAAGATACTTAGATTCTGCGCGCAGGCTAGGACTCTTTGGTAAAGTAAGTATAGCCTCCATTTGGTGAAAGCACTTTGGCGACCCAAGCAGATTTAAGATTCACTTTCAGATTGAGCACAGATTTGTTGTTTTGCCTCTGCAGACCCAATTGATCAAAGTATGGCGTTATTATTCCTTCTGAGCATTGGTCTTTCCTGCTATCAAAACTGTTGCAATTAAAATGAAAAGTAATAAATGCTCCTCGAAGATTAACGATAGTTCGAGAATTGATCTCAAACGCTTAAAAATCTGCTAGAATGCTGTGAGGGTCTCGAATATAAGACATCAGAAGTCTACATTTCGAATGATGTTATGCAGTCCTACGCCAGAACTGAAACAATAGGGAGCCAATCAACTACTAGTTATTGTGCAGTTATCTTACAAATATGGTATCATTTCCGAGTACTATATTGTAAGATTGACTTCCATCCGCTGTTCCGTTGTTCTGACTGACTTCTATCCGTGTTCCAAATAAAAATTGCATTGTTTTATTTAATCCACTTCCGAGGCACAAATCGTTTATTTCCTATTTCTAGGATTGACTTCCTATTTATCAGAGATGGCCTAGCCTAGTGATCTGTGTCCTCCACAGCGACTAGAATATCGTTTCTAAACCATGATAGAGAAGAATTTACTGGTCAGCATGTTTCTAAAGCATGACAGGCAGAAGTTACGTTTCTAAATCATGGCAGGGAAGAATAGAAATAGAATCACAGAGAGGAATCGTTCGCGTAAAATTCTCTGGTCACAGCTTTTGTAGCTACTTAATCGTGTTAAAGTCTACTAGCTATATTGAACAGATAGTGTTGTCCTTTGCATGAGGAGGTAGATGAGTGCACCAAAGCCAAGCCGGAAGTTACTTCATATTACTGCCGGAAGTCAAATTATATTAATTTTATGATAACATATCAATTTTATATTTATATACGCCTGCGTGGTGCGCTCTGTTACGTACATTAGATGATTCTACATACACACCAACAAAGAAAAGCTTGATAGAAAAAGCTCCTTTTTCAGCTTGGCTTGTATGAAAAATTTTCAATGACATTGCAACGATGATTTCACAAACAGCATTTTAACAATAAACAGTGTTTTTCTTTTTTCGTTTCAAACAAATGTAATTAGCAGAAGCAACACATTTAACTGAAAGTTGTAAAGTGAGCTGTCCAAGAAATACTCGATCTCGTTTTGATATCGAGATTTATAATGCGTTACCTTAGAATTGTCAATAAAATTCTTTCTTATTAAGGATGACCAGTTTACGTTTGCAAATTAAGAATCAAGGGTTGGTAAACAAATGAGACGAGAATTCAGATATGGAACAAAATATCTAGTGCGACAACAGCCCGTGGCTCACCTCTACAATGTACCACAAAGCTCAGAACTTTCAGAGCTCCACAAATCAGAGAACTTTTTAAATAACGGAAGTAAGTCTTGTTTATGAAATCCAGAAAATGCCACCACAAAAGCTATTTGTCAGTGCTCTTAATTTTCCAAACATTTTGAGATATCTAGCAGCATATCCCTTACTTCAAGGCAGTGCAAAAATGCTAGACATAATTCATTAAATTGATAATTGATAAACTAACACAAATACCAATGTGAGTAACAAAGTGATACCAGTGTATCAGAAGAAGTGTGCATTATAAAGTCAAGGTTTTATTCACATCTCAAACCTTGCCACAAATTCCTTCTCTGAAGTAGACTTGGTCAATGAAAACTTTTCGGCAATGGCGCCAAGCGCTGTCTTTCAGTAGTGCCTCAAACTCGAGCTGAAATTATGGATAAAATAATCAGTAAGAAATGCAAAATATGTATTCGTAAATTGGATTTGTTTTAAAAAATAGCTTCTACTATGAATACTTATAAGCATTGATTCAGAAGATGATTTAAAGATATTTGCCAACTTGTCTGATTAATATATAGTCAGCCAATAGAAGCTTCTCTAGAATTACAGAGGGCAGATTTAACAAACAAACAATAATCATCTTTGATGTAAACAAGACTTGCTGATCATTTCTTAGAAAACACTGTTCTGACTATCACTGCTTCGTTTTACTTTTTGGCGATAAACAACTTGTATGGGCAAAGGAAGAACAAATTAAGGTGATTGAGCTGAGATTTTGCGAAGGAAACTTCTATTTTATCGTATAGGCATAAACAATAATGACAGAAAATTTTGTTTTAATTTAGGCTGAAACATCAGCTCTCTGCCGTTCATCTTCAAAATAGTAATTGCATACCGTTCTTTGTGGGCATCCTCCCCTTGATGGTGGGATTGTTACAAAAGCCTTCTGCAGTTTTCCACCTCGGCTCTTGGCCTTCCTGTAATAGATCCTTTCGTCATCATCATGTGATCGTTTTTTGTCGTTACCAAAGCCTGATATCATCTTCACTTGCAGCTCACAAACGTCTTTAGCGCCGAGGTGGAATTCGATGGTTAAGCATCCTCCACGCTTTGGCACATGAATGTTTCTTTCTAGTAGAGCAACGTACTCGTCATTGTCATCCTGTTGGCTCTTTGAGCGACCATGGCTAAAGAAACCTCCGCTGCATTTATCAACATCCCAATGCAAGGCTTTACCTTCGGTAAGGAAAGATGGTAATTAAAGTCTATGTTTCATCGGATGAAGATGAAATGTTCAACAGAAAATTTAAAACATCAGCTGATGAGGATCTGAAGTAAATTTAGAAACTCCACGGAAAGAAAACGGGACAATGTCAGGAGCAACGGGAGCGGGGAGGGGGATTGAAGGGGCACCCAATAATATCTAGAATGTACTTAAATCCATACAGAAGATTGCCTTGCTCTTGATTCTTAGTATGTTTAGCCACCCCAGAACGTTTAAACCCCCTCAATCTGTAATAGGTTCCGCGGTCCTTTGACAGTCTGATTCAATCGGACATCCGAGCTAGAGTCCATGAATGCTAGTGTATTGAAATCAAGATGTCAGTCTTAATGAAATATAAACGCCCTATCTGAATTATGATGGGGAGATAGCATTTTCTATGCATTTTCTAAATATTTGACATCAACCCACTCACCTCCATTAGCTGATACAATGCTCCAATCACAGTCATCGTAATCTACTTGTTTCAAGCCACAAGATCCAGAACTGAAGTCACAGTCGAATAAATCTAGAAAGGAAATTTTAGAGATCATTCTCTCAAAAATTGCAAAAAGAATAAATCGTCAACAGGATTCTTTCTCTCGTCCCCCCTTCATACCTTAAGCGTATTATATGTTTTATTCTAATCTCAACATTCAACTTTTTCCTTAGTGATTGTTTGATGAGCCTGAGAAGCTCTAGTAGGAGTGTCCCACAACCCGAGCCCCATGACTTTTATTCTTAGTTGCAGTTTGGTCAGTGCAAAGACTGGAGCAGGATCAACGAATATCCAATATCGACAAGAGACATATTCCTCTCCTTTGATTAAGAAAAAGATTCTGGCATTCGAAACTTTTAACATACTAACTCCAGCCCAAGGTATATTTCTTTGCTAAAACTTTGCTTAAAAGGGTAAGAATTCAAAAGGCTTCCTTTTGTATAGCTACTAAAAAATTTAATCAGATTGCAATCAGATGTTAAAACTTACTTTTTGGAAAAGGGCATTTGCCAGGGCTGACTGAGATGTCATCAATTGCAATGGTGGCTTTCTTCCCTTGTTTGGCAACAATTTCAATCTGCATTTGTAAGGAAGAAGAAAAATATCATACTCAAATTCTTATTAGAAATTTTATATAAGAAGCGATTGTTAGATAACAAGAAAAATAAAAAAGCTTCGTTATTCGAAGATAAAATGAAAAACATACCTTATAATTTCTGTCAGCTGGAATATTAACTTCAACTTCAAACCATCGGCTCTTCTGATTTCCTGACAGCTTTATAAGTTCTGTTTTTCCTAAAACAGAAGCTTTATTGACCGCAAGACTTCCAATTCTTTTTCCATACATGTGAGCAAAGAAACGCAGGCACGTTATGTCACTAGAAGTAATTGGTTCGCTCCTTAAGACAGCCGTTTCTGTGTTCCCTTTTCCACTACCTCTAAAGTATGCGAAATAATCTGCAATGAAATAATATTTATCAGCGTTTGCAGGTACCGCGATATAGTTAGTTTATTATTACAGTGTTTCGCACTTTCATGAAGTACCGCATTTCCTCTAAAGAACGCCGTGGCGTTTATTACAAACTCCAAATTTTGGATGCGGCGTTCAATAGAGGGCTGCATTCATCAAAGAGCGGCGTTTAATACAAAATGAAAAGTTTGTCAAATGAAAAATGACAAGAAAAATGCGATGAAAAAGATAAAAAGAATGTCAAATCAAGGAGGGGTCAAGGAATGTGAATATCAACCATTTTCAACCACTTCAACGAGAGCCGTTTTGAACGAGACATGCTTCGTAAGTGGATGAGTCTTGGTACCGAAAGCAGAACATAACGGTTTCAGTTGGTTCTGTAGAAACACAAGGCCTAACCGCAAGCAAACTCGAACGGTCTCAAACAAAACTGTGTAATAAATAGAAGATGTTGCATAACAGACAATGGATATACTTATTTTGGTATTTTTACCTTGTTTGCCAGATAATGCTCGTCTTGGACCACGAGAGCCTCTCCTACGACGTGGGTCTGCCTCGCTTTCATCGTTATTATCGTCATCACCTTCATCAACGGTTGCTTCGTCACCTTGGAATCCTCCTCCCCTTTTCGACTTTTTCAGTACCCAGTCTCCATTGTCACTCATCGACTGACTCCAATCACAGAATCCCATGTTGCGTTCCAAAGGACAAGCCAGAGTAGCTAAAGAAATTCAATTTCACCCATTCAATAAAAGTTATCTTGAAATTATACTATAAAAAATATTGCAACCTTGGATTGCTGCAATGTTGGATGGTTAAAATGTGTTTTCTAAAACCTATATAACAACATGTTAATAAGAAAATTCGAAACCATATTTGGGCTCCTTGATATGAGATCTTATTTTAAAGAAATGTATTTAATTACAAGAAGAATTTCTTCTGTTCGCATTCCAATATTCCAGGAGTCAACCTTCCAACATTCCACATTCCAAGTTTTCAAGATAGCCTTAGTGAATAGTAATCCATGAAAGCACAGTGGTGGACAAGCAGCTCTGGCAGGCAGCAAGAATAGGGAAGTAGAAACAATCTACTGAAACACTAAGACATTGGCATTGATCATCTGCAAAAGGGACGTCGGATATGTCATTTGTGACATCAAGCCACGAAATCTTGCTTGAGATTCTTTAACACCCTTTAATATTTCTCTTTACAAGGTTCGTTGCCCGGACTCTATTATAAATATGTGTTAATCATTATAAACTCTGATAATGAATTTTTCTGTTATCACCTCATCGAGTGTAATATGAAAATGAGAAACGTGTCGTCTATACATATTGTCTGTTGCTAGTTTTAATTGAGTCTTGATTACTGACTGTCATCTGCTCTCAACACACTCCTTTTCATCTTATATAAAAATATACCCCCCCCCCCTCCGGTTAGGATGGGTGTTTGGAGCAAGGCTATCTTGCCTTTTTGTAATCGAGCCCAGCATTGGCATATCATATTCTATCAAAGAAAATTATTCATCTGTTTATACACAGTTACATACAAAACATCCAAATGGTTAAACCTTTGCATGTCGCATATGTTTAACTTGAGAAGATTTCAGATGCAACTCATCAATTCTTCAATGATGATTTTTTTAACGGCTTGTCTCTACCTTAACAAGTTTAAGCTCTTTAAACGATGCTATGAAAACAGCACCATTAAGGTACTGTCTATATGCTGACTTACATGGAGTACTTGCCAAACCACTCGGGCAGGCTCCTTTCCAGATTTTTATATCATCAAGTGCGACATCTCCAGCCCAGGACTTTCCTCTCATACTTTCAAAATGGACCTAGAGAAAAAGTAGCTTAAATATACGCATTCTACAGACAAACTTATGCGAACTATTCCAAAATTGTTAATATTGCAAACTAATACCATAGGTACCAGAGCCACATAATTTCAATCGCTTAAACAGAATGCCAAGCAGAGAAGCGGAGGAGCAGCTCTTCACTCCTATCTTCTGTTTCCACTCTCGAATTTATGTGGCTGTGGTACCCAAGATAGCAATCCAATGACAGTTTTAAAAAATGCATTTGAAAAATACAGGTACTTCAATATGGGTTTCAATTAACAGGATTTCTTTTCACTGGCTAAAGTTTAAAAGTACGGCTGCACATCAAAGTATAACGGGTTACGCTGTTAGTGTTGCTACATTGTTGCATTGCTGCTTCGCAGGAAAACTCAACTACTAAACTTACCTGGAACTTCTTTCCACTTGGGACATCGATAGTAGTAGCGCCATGGTTCCACCAGTTTCCTTGATTGCCAGTGATTTTTAAATTGTCGCTCGAGATACCGTCATAGCCAACAGAAACAACCATAGATCCAACACCACTCCCGTACATGTGATAATAAAAGTCTAGACATCTTGGTTTGCCATCGGATTCCATAACAGGCGTAGATAGCACTGCATTATGGTTTGGTTTTCTTGGATAAGAAGCCTCGGTGAAGACAAAATAACCATCTGGAAGAAAAGTGTTCATTTGTATATAAAAAACTGGAGTTATGCGATACCAGTAGAAGCAAGGCTAGATTTTAAAATAAGGAATGTTGCATAGAAGGTTGACATTAAAGACATTCGACACAGGTGAATGTGGCTTACAGTCACTCGACCTCGAGCGGTTGACCAATCAAATTGCGCACAGAGAAAAACACGTGAACAGTTTCCGCCCTTCTGCAAATCGGTGAAATCCTAGAGCAGCGCGCAGTGGTTTCACGTGAGCAGTTTCCAATTCCTTCTTGTGCGCTTGCTTTGATCAATTTGGCCTAAATCTAGGCAAAAAATAAATTGCATAGAAAGGATTAAAGCACATATTCCTTTAGGAATTTTCATAATCAAAAAGTCTTTCTCATACATACTTTTCGCAGTTGTATGATCGTACGATGGGCCTGTATAGTACGAAGGAGTTCTTCCATTTTGCCTCGTCCAATCAAACTTATCTGATTTGTTTTGCTTCAATGAGCACCATCCACACTCGAAATCGCAAGAAATCAAATCTGAAAAGAAAAATTGACTTCATATCGGTATGTTTTCGTATTCTATGTGTTAAAATTATGAAGGCCGTTTTCCGACTTCTGTATTTATCCTTAGGGTAAATCTTTGTATCAATATTCAGAATATATTGAAAAAACTTTTCAGCAATTCCTTGGAAACATTCCCCTCCTGTATATCTTCAATCTTACCGAAAAGAAAAATTTTCTCTTCACTTTTTTCCCCTTCAATAGAGTTCTTGTGTGACGTTTGGATATCTATTTTTAGAATTTTTGAACCATCCACACTCAAAGGAAATTAAATCTGTAAAGAAATTTAGTTCATAACTTTGAAAATTAACAAGCAAAATTTGCCTTCAGCGGGTTTCTAAAGGAAATTGATGCAATTTATTGCAAAAAATCAAACCCCTTACTTGAGAGGCAAATCTATAAAGTATTTTAAACAAATTTTTTTCCTCCATTTATTTACTTTCTATATAAAACTTTTCGAAGCATTAAAACAAAGTACTTATAATTTCTAATTTGTAAAAGCAGTGATTAGTTGGGTATTCACTCATACATATAATCGTGATTTAATTCAGCAGCAAAATCTACGAAGCAGTCACTGCTAATCTCTTGTTCGCTGGGTGGTGGAACAAATACGATGAAATCAAATATATATTTTGATAGCCTACCAACAAATTTTGCAGGTGGACTAGTAGGCTTCCTCGTTGATGGTCTAGCGGTCGTTGTTGGCTTCTGTGTTGATGGTCTAGCGGTCGTTGTTGGTTTCCTCGTTGATGGTCTAGCGGTCGTTGTTGGCTTCTGTGTTGATGGTCTAGCGGTCGTTGTTGGCTTCTGTGTTGATGGTCTAGCGGTCGTTGTAGGCTTCTGTGTTGATGGTCTAGCGGTCGTTGTTGGTTTCCTCGTTGTGGTTGGTTCAGCGGTCGTTGTTGGTTTCCTCGTTGTGGTAGGTTCAGCGGTCGTTGTTGGCTTCCTGGTAGTTGTTGGTGGAACGGTCGTTGTTGGTTTCTTCGTGGTAGTCGGAATAAAAACTGCAAAGAGCCACATGATTAGGTTTTGAAATCATTCACAAATTTTAAATTACATGGGTCCTAATGCTGCAATTATTGTAAAAGAAGGCATGACGGGTCAATCGCAAGAAATTTAGCTACTGACTCAAAAACTGTTTGATATTACCTACACAAGTGAATACGTCAACTTTTACCGATATAGAATGCTATATCAAAATAAGAGCCTTGACTAAGATTGGTATCATCCGGTTTAAGAAACAGCGAAACAATCAAAAAATTTCCTCTAGCCCTTGAATTTTCTCTATAGAAAATTGAAACGAGGATAAAAAATTCTGGAACAATTATATTTCCAAAGGTCAAGTACTTACCTTCACATCGTTTTCCAGTGTGACTGGGTGGACAAATGCATGTATAATCGTGAATTCCGTCTATGCATGAGCCACCATTTAAGCACGGCAGGCTAAAACATTCGTTGATATCTTCAAAGGAAGAAAAACAACACTGCTTTAATCTTTCGAAAAAGCTGGTAGAATACTCATTCTGATGACGCACTTTAAAAATTTGTTGCTACTATTGTCACATAGTACGTGTTTCTAGAGTTGAATATTTTCTATTAAGCGTTTAAACTAAGCATATGTTTGCGACGGGTGTGCAACCGGAATGGATCTCAAGGTATCCTTATTTAGAATTTTATAGAACAAGGAATTGTTTCACATTGCAACGAAGAATTTGAGTCGCTCATCTCTTAGTCATATTAGATAATAGACAATAAATAAGAAGTTATATATGCTGAGCTTATCTGCCTTGGCATAGCACATACTTGTTTCGCAGTTTTTTCCAGTGAAGCCAGCAAAGCAATGACATCGATAGCCGTTAACTTCATCAATGCATAGGCCTCCATTTTGACAAGGCAGACTGGCGCATTCATCAATATCTACGAAAAATTTAGCACAAAAATCATATTTTATTTGCTATGGATTGTTGTCAAAGGCTTAACTACCCACAACGTTACGAATAAAACTACACACGTGTACAAGAGCGTAGCCAAAAGGGTTGCTTCGCAAGAGGGTGCAGTGGGTGGAGTGACACACACTACCCATTTTTGGGTTTGTCGGCAACAAAATCTGTAGGTTCTATGGACTTATGATCTACTGTTTCAATGTGAACACCAATAAACACATTTAGCCATATTTTATTGTTCATTACTGACTAACACATTGTATGTGTATTCGCAAAAGACACAAGATTTCATTGGCAGCAGTTTGGCCATGTTGTGTTACTGCTAACAGTCGCACATCACGAACGCCAATTTCGTCAGCGTATCTTGGGAACCACATCCCCCCGCTCAATTTTCTTTTGCTCTTTCCCCTAAAATTCTAATTCTTTTGCAAAAGAAAATTTTACTGAGAGATTTTGGCCATTTTGGCTAATATGCAAGAATATTGACAACGCTAGATCGAGATCAAGAATAAAAGGAAGATTTTCTATATCATGATATAGTCATTGAAAATTAGGGATGTGTTACTTACTAAATTCGCATTTAACTCCGGTAAATCCAGCTACACACTGACAAGTAAAGCTGTTAACTCCATTGGAACATGTCCCATTGTTAAGGCAAGGATTTCCAGCACAGTTATCAATCACTGCAATAGACATAAAGTCAGTTGCAAGCAAGGATAAACAAAAACAACAACAACAACAACAACAACAACAACAACAAACACGTTGCTTTGCAAGCCAACATAAACAACAACAAATCAGATTGTTTAGCTAGCAAAAGCGAGCAGGAAGAATACTGATATGTCCAAAGAAGATACAAAAGAAATGTACTTTGTTATTTAGGTTCTTCAAGGCACACAACAGATAAAAAGTGTCTGTTCGATTTGCTATGTACTTTGTCATTTTTATCCAAGAGCTTTTGTTTAATCTAAGCAATAAAGATTCAATGCTGCAGGAATATAATCTGACAAAACGGTCCCATTATTGCGTGACGTGCAAGAAAACATAAGTGGCAAGGATAGAATTTATTGATTTTAAACAATTCTTAACTATATATGCTACTGATATACCTGTCTCGCAGTTGTTTCCCGTGTAGCCATCGGCGCAGAAACAGCTGTAGCTTCCTTCCATGTTGGTGCAGGTTGCTCCATTTTTACAAGGCTTGGACGCACAGGCATCAGCCTCTAAATAACAATAAGTAAATATAGATTGTATTTATGGTAATGATGGCGGTAGGCCACTTCTGCTTACAAATCTTCATCAAAAGAGATATATATGTGTAACGGATAATGAATAGCCTTAAACAAGGGTATTAAATACTTATATCTATAGAGCTTAAGTTTCACATGGGCCTACAAATGATATGATTAATGTTTGCCCAATCGACAGGTTTTCATGCAGAATGACAAAATTATAGCCAGTAAAAGAAATGAAAAATGGTAAAAAATCGCTGCCGTTTCGCCATATTAAATTTTAAATTGACTTGAATATTAACTTTTTGAATAAACCAAATGAAATTGGTTTAACAAAAAGAAAATTTCTTTTCCTTATAGCATTATCAAAGTTTCAATCCAAAACCGATGAAGTCATTTTTTCATAAGTTACCTAGCGATGGCGCTTTGAAATAACAAAGGGGATGCTCATATGGAAAGAATAAAGATCTTTAATATACTCCTGTTATGGTAGCCTAAATTTTGATCAAAGTTCGTGCAAAATATTTCGAAACTTTGACTTCACATCGATGGTTTCAAACTGAGTTTTTGACGGTTAAATCATGGACATCTTTAAGAATTTTATCAAAAGGTATGGGACTCTCTGAGAATCTCTTTCTATGATTTTCTGATTTACTAATTTTTGATTCTCTGATTTTCGCACTTTCTGATCTCCTGATTTTTGATTCTCTGATATTCCGATTTCCTGATTCTATGATCTAGTGATTTTCAGATCTCCTGTCCTGGCTTCCCCATTCTTTGATCATAGGCTTTCTTGAATCAAACAAGACGCAAATCAAAGCTCTGAATCACTTACTAGTTTCGCACTTCTGTCCTGTGAAGCCAGGAGGGCATTGGCAGGTAAAACCACCAGAGCTACTGGAACATGTCCCTCCATTTTGACAAGGGCTCGATGAGCATGCATTTTGATCTTCTACAGGAAATAATATTTTATCATTTTCAATCGTAATATGTAACAACAAATTTTGTATCTATAACACCGGGCAAAACTAGTCATGACGATTCAAGAAAATTTGATGCTTTTTCTTTCCGTTGAAAAATATTCTCCTTCCTCTCCAGGTTTAATTTTTTATGCATGCTTTTGAAAGACAAAAACTTTCGGGGGAAGAGGGCTAAAATGCACCGGGGCAACATAAAGTAGAAAATCGAAAATAATGCATTTGTCTCAAACTTTACTTCCAGGGATTGTAGCATTGTTGTGGTAGAGACTCTGTGGGGATTTCTAGCGCAAAAAAACGGAAACTATGTCAGAGGAATGCGCTGGGTGAGAACCTGATCGAGGTAGCTGTTATGTAAGCTTTTTGCCAAAATTTCTATCACTGGTAGCAAGCACTGGTTTAAAAATAGACCTGGTCGCTACTTGGTAGCTACTTGGTCGCTACTTGGTCGCTACTTGGTCGCTACTTGGTCGCTACTTGGTCGCTACTTGGTCGCTACTGTTACAAAACAAAAGGCACACTCATTGTCAACCCGTCATTGTCAATCAAATTCGTATAGAAATCAATTGTGCCGCTTACACTATTCTATTTTTAATTCTTAGAATATTCAACGTCGCAAATGGAGGCTAATACAGTAAGATAATGTGCCATGATAATATCTTTAAGGAATGGTGTAAAAGGGTTTCATCAGCCAAGTGCACGTCTCTTAAGCTGCTAAATTAGGACTCCGTAACAAACGGCAAAATACAGAAGGTGTAAGTAATTGGGTGGAATTTATAGTGCTCAATGCTAAAATAATAGTGCTTGATTTTCAAAAAATATTGACTGAAAATAATTACAAAAATATCATACCTATAAAAACTATATCATCCAGACCGATGTCCGAGTTCCAGTTATCACCTCTTATTACTTCAAATATCAGCTGCAATATGAGAAGGCTCACTGTATTATTTTAAGGTAATTCTATGATCTTTAATACCAAGCATAAACGTTGTGCCCTGACTACACAACGTAAAACAACAATACCATACCATACAATGCCAAAACACACCATACAATGCTATAACATACCATACAATTCCATGCCATGCCATATCATACCATACAATACCATACAAAACTATGCCATGCCATGCCATGCCATACCATACCATACCATATTATGCAATACATATCAAACAATATCGCACCATCCATGCCATATCATGCCATATAATACCATACAATATTACACCATGCAATATCATGCCATAGATTACCATACCAATACACACCGTAGATCACCGAGCCATATGTATAACATGATAATATCAGTGCCGTCGGAACGAGATTCATATTGGGGGACTGTCAATTGTTCTGCTCCCATTCAGTACATTCAAATATTAGAAATATATAACATTTGGGCAATTATTGGGGGGCTCCCCCCAGCCTCCCACTCTATTTCCGACCAGTCAATATCATGCTATACCATAGAATACCATAGAATACCATACAATACAATATAATACAATACAGAGTAATGCAATGAAACGTAGAAACTCACATTATAAGAAGAGGAGCTCTGATAAGGGACGGTTGCACTTTTCCAAGCAGAGCCCTGATTTCCTTTGATTGACCATAAAAGGGCTTCCCCGCTTGTATTCTTCAGGAAGAGATTCAAAGACGTCAGCGCGTTAACACTGGCATGATATTTGAAACTGATGCTTCGAGATGCTGTAGCTGCCATCAGCTTGCTCATTACCCGAGCTTTTTGGTTTTGTGTAGCAGGCGATGATGTTTCCACATAAATGTAGTACCCAGCTGCAAGAAAACAATACATCACCATCATCTAAACTGTCCCAAATAGCATTAGAGTTTTAAAGTGTGACGTCATAAAATATGATTGACTCTATAAACTTTTGACTTTTCACCACATAATCTGATAGGACACCACAAAATACATCTAAAAGTGTACTAGATTCGAAAAGTACGAGGGATTGAGCAAGACGAAGATGATGAGAAAGATGTGAAATCACAAGAGAAAATCAGGGGCGGAGCCAAGAGAATTGTTTGGAGGGGTGAGAAGGCGATATTTGCCTACAAAAAAGGCATGTCTCACCCTTTAAGGGTGATGTCAAAAGATAGATACTTTTATATGCTGCTTTTAATCGTTTCTGTTTTAAAGTTTATACTCGAGTGCCATGCTTTGAAAATTCAACTACATAGTGATGTTAATATGTCACAATCATTGCAAAAAGGTTGCAGAGCGAGTGCAAAAATTCCATCTTTTACCCGGCGAAAATCCTTAATGTGCCGACGGACAAATTGTGGGGGGGGTACCGCACTGCCCGTATCCCTCTTTAGCGCGAGACCTCTGTGGAAAGCATAAATTAGTGACGAAATTCAAATGTTATAAAAGTAGTTTAAGTTTCTCTTGTACCATACTGAAAACTAGGAATGATGTTTTTTTAAAAGGATTTGTGAAAAGAGCTCTTTTCGGTTCTTACATTTTGGACGCTCTCTATTACCCTTATTGTCAGATACAAAAATGAATTTGAAGGCTCTTGCGCAACCGTCACGCTCTGCGACATTTTCTCACGACAACTGCCGCTAAACATGACAGTTGCGAAAGAGCCTTATCGTAAAATATCGTTTTCTCAGTAATATTAAAAAGTTACAGAATAAATTATACTGGGATGTAATAAAATTATGTTTTTTAACGCTAGACATTTAACAATGGATGAGAAAATTACGCGATCATGAAATTAATGGGGTTTGATTTACGTGGAATTTTTCAATTGGCGTTATTTGTACAGCGTTATTATCATGTAATAAACTTTTTCAAATCAAGTTATAAAAGGAAAAACAACAACTGCTTTTACAGTGAAGATTAATAAAATTCAAAATGATCGGTCTCTTATGCAGGATATTTGTGGTCGAATTCACCGTAGAAAAAAAGCTAAAATATATTCCAATGGTCCATTTAAAAAAGTAAGGTTCCTCTTTTTCGTTTGAAGGACGGACTTCTAAGGTTTCGTCAGAAAAACATTAATATAAATTGACTCGAATCTATAATGATGTTAACTTACTTCCATTGAAATTTGGAGAAGCATCTCCTGTTGGCCCGGTCCCCGCTGAAGGAGTGCTTCCAGTGTGAGGGATCCATTCCATATCGTACCCAGCGCTTTTCTGGTCTTTCCAGTGGCACATTCTGCTGGTTGCGTTTTCAAATTCACAGTCATCAGGCCCTTTAAGAAAGAATGTATCAATGACAACCATTTAGGTAGTCTTTCGAACAAAAAGCTGCTTTGGGCAAAATGCAACAAAAAGAGTATTGCATTGTAACCTTACAAACTTATTTATTTTTTCAAATAAATGAATACTTTTTTGTGCGTTTTTTGCAGAGACTGCCTCTGGGGACGATAATCCAGTTATTGTCACGAATTAAAAACGTGTGATAACAGCCTAGGTTTTATTGCAGGTTATTGTTTCTAACTTTTTATTTACTCTACAAACACTGTTTCGTAAGCTGTTGAATTAGATGTACTGTGAACTAATACAGTGATTGGTAAAACTCAACAGTTGTGGAAAATTAAAGACATACCAAGGTTGTTGCAACGATAACAAGGCATTGACTCTAATGATTTTCCAGAACATGTGGGTCCATTACATTTCGGTGCTGGATTTGTGCATGCCCGACTTCTTGATCGGGATCCAAATGAGCCACATGTTGCTTGACAAGACCATGAACTCCATCTTGACCAATGCCCTTGGACTACAAGCAAAATTTGTTTTCATTTTATGTTGCTTTAAAAATTGCTGCGAAAAGTCGCTCAAAAATTCAAAACCCGGCCACATCACTTTACCCGAGGATGGAAAGGTGCTTACACTAAACAAAATTTGTTTATATCAACTAACAGAAAATAGTATTATTAGAAGGTTGTGACACTGAAATGTTGAAAGAATCGGGTGTTACAATAATCTAAAAATGTATCGTCTCGGAAATTTCCGGAAAAGTCGACAATTTCTCGAATAGGGGGTGCTTGAGCTCTAGCCCTGAAATTCTCTCTTCGTCGTTGGTAAACTTTTGCCAATTGACAGAGCAGTTTTGTTTGGGGGCGCAGCTCATGCTGACTTGAATGGGTTGAATGGGTTATGGCAGTGTCGTGGGGGTGTAACATCCCCATCGTTGCTATTTGGGATGGAGAGCCACCTAGACATGATTTCTATGACAATTTGGGGGCAGGAAGGGGTTTAATAAACGGATTTATGGGCATGCCATTTCAGAGTTTTAATATAAATGGCCTTTTAAAGGTGTACTCATTGCTTTTTATTTTTTATCTAGCCTGTAAAAACTCAAAGCTAGGTCAGTATAATCTAAATTAAAGAGCCCTGGCTAAAAATTTCTAAAGTCTGGGCCTCAGGCTAAGCCAGTAAGTAATGGATGGTGTACTGGAATTAGAACCTTTCCAACAAGGGACTTTTTGACGTATTAAGCCGACTATGCTATGCTGATATTTTCAGGTTGCAATCCTTGCCCTCTGAAATCGAACTGGTATTGGTGGAAATTACTCCAAAGCTAAAGCTAATTTTGCCGTCGGGTACACCCCGGGTAGTTAGCCTTGAATGACAGGATGTGCCTGCCAGAAAAAACTTATGACCCTGGAACAAAATTCTGAAAACATGATACCAGTCCTGGCAAAAAACTCTGAAGGCACGATACCTGAAAACGCGATTTCTTCAATAGGCATGCCAGTACCGAAAAAGATAGAGAAAAGTTACAATCCTATTTTGGAATTTTTAGCTGACAATGACACCATGTTGGCAGGCACATTCATGGACAGTCAGTGTATTAAGTGAACCCCTGAAATCTCTAGCCTATGGCCAATCAAGATCAACACGCCTACAGTTGGTAATGATAAAACAAATTATTTTTAGCTATTTTACCTTTACAAGCAGGATCACTACAACTTGTTGCTTTTCTTTCAAACACCAAGCCTCTGGAGTCTGCCCCAGGGCACAAGGATCGATCTGTCTCAAAACAGTACTTCTGTCTTTGCCTGAAAATACTTGAAGATGTATGAATGCAAGGACTCCATTCAGACCAATCAGACCAGCCACTGCCCGCCTCTGCAAAGAAAAAAGGCTGTGCTAGAACCATAGAATGAAGTTATCAATGTAGAAACATTGTTTTATTTAAAGGCAACAAAGTCGAAGCTTGTGCAGACGGCCTATCATAACTGCACTTCGCTCTAAACGTAAATGACTGAATGTCTTCATGTCAAAAAAACTTCATCAACAAAGAGAAAACACAGTAATTACTTTTCATAACAAGATTTGTCAACAACAATTTACCGTATCAACACAGATGCTTCCTTCAAATTTTGGTTTCTGGATATTGTTTTAAACCTTTTGACATAATCAGTTGACATAATAAGTTGATATGATTTACTTGATATTATTTTTCTAACAAGTTAGATATAATATGATACAACTCTGAATGGAGGAAAACTCCCAACCTGCAAAGTGCTTTGCATGTGAAACTGGGGCTGTATTCATAAATGGAGTGGACTGGCCCAACTAGGCGAGATCTCCTCGAAGAGCCCACTGCCAAGCCGGTAGGGTTCCATTCAGGTAAAAGGGAAACTCCATATTATTCTAGCCCGGTAATGTGGGTGACTAGGTACGCACTGCCTTTGTGCCCTTGCGCTTTTGCGCCTTTGCGCAAGGAAATAAAGCTCTCGTTCATATTGGATTTGGGGCTAGCCCACTCAATTGAAATGAAAGCTTTTCATATGGAAGAAGTCGATCATCGTCCCAATTAGTTGGCTATCCTGCCACTTGGGTGAGATGGATAGGGCTGTTCTGTGCAATGGTGGCGTTTTATACCACTAGATGGTAGTTCAAATTCAGAAGGTAGGTCAAAGATGAGCTCTGTAGCAATGAATGGTAAAAAACGAGATTGTTAGCGCTTCATTTCATTTCATTTAACATGGTTGAGGAGAGCAGCTTTTTGGCTGATTTTCAAAGGGCCATTATTGAGTGATATCATCTACAGAAAACTATGGGAAAACGACGCGGGCAAGAAGCAATGATCGAAGGAAGGACGATGATCGAAGGAAAGGTATGAGAAAAAGTGTCACTGGAAAACATCATTTTGGGAGGGTGCAACCATGTTTCCTTTTTCAATTGCACCCTGATATAAATCAGTTGGTTAGTCTAGGGCTACAGCAATAGCTTTTTCAAAGGAATCAGCTTGCAGGCAAGCCTTTGTTTATGAAAAAAAACACAAGAGCCTATTGTCTTGAACCAATGAAATAAACTGGAGAAGCTCAGTGGTAGAGCACTTGACGTACAAAGTCAGGGGTCGTGAGTTCGAGCCTCGCTCGGGTCGGTTATTTTCCCGCACTCTCTATTAATTAAACTGGAGAATGAGGATGAGGGGTATTTGCCCCTTAGCAAGTATGTTAGAAAGGTCCTGAAGTGAACTGAATTGAATTGAACTTACTTGTGCATTGGTAAAGAGCATTGAGCTCCTGTTTATCAAGAGTACTGAAGCCAGCTCTCTGCCCAAAAGATCTGTTTGGATCAGTAATTGATTGTATAGTATTCTTTCCATTCTTTGAAAAGGCCGTTTTTCCGTAATGCATCACACTGTCGAAATCATATGCAGTTTGAAATACTTGGACGGCTTCTGCAGTCTGTTTTGCAAAGTTGCCTTCTTTCCCTTTAAATCAAAGAAATTTAATAATATAGGTTCTAGCATCGATTCATTTGAATGAAAGACTGTTTATATATATACATTAATTTGATGTAAAGAATGGCAGCGGTTCTAAGTTGCCTTGTATCGTGCCTGGCATTAGCTCTTTACACCGTGTATGCTCTACAAAATGTACATGTATATCAGAAGATGATGAGTAGATAAAAATCTATATATTCACAAATTTTTTTGCGTCAAACCCCTTTTGGAATAAACAGAAATAATAGAGAGTTTTTAAGAAGTGTGGCGTTATGAAAAATTTATTCTCAGAAATTTGAAATTTTGGCAACATAACTAAAAAGAACACCATGAAATACTTGTTAAAGCTCGAAATTTGTTAAACATGTCGAATATCTGGTGAAGAATAGCCAATAAAAGATTGTGCTAACAGATTGCTGTTATTTTGCTCTGTTCATTAATGTTAATGAATGGAGACCAAATTTGATGCAGAACGAGCAATTGAACATGTGACCATATCTCAGCCAATTCAAAACAGATCTGACTGATCTTGTACATTAAGAAGTTTTTTATGGCTTTTTCGGGTTATAGGATCTAAACTGTAAAATTCTTAGAAAAGCTTTTTGTGGCTTCAACACTCAAGACCTCTATTTAACTTCTCAAAGAGGACTGGACCTGAAATAAGCTATGGTGATTGATTGAAGATTAATTTCATCGTGTCATATTTTTTATGGGAACTGAGATGAATGGCTTGAGAGTGATAAGGGTGAAGAATGTACTCTATAAAGCTCTTTCTGTGGTTCAAAATATCATAAAATTGATCGACTGAGAAAAAGTTGAAGTTAGATTCGATCGCATCTGAGGCTCAACATTTATTGATTCAAGGTACACGTCCTTTTGGCTCAATATTTATTGCTAAGTGGTTATGAGGAGAGTGCAAAAACATTACGGTTCCACGGCTGTGAGCCGTAGGAGGGTCAAGGATGCAGTCATTTCTAAAAAGGATTGTGCCTAACTTGACAAAATAGAAGTACAATGTGCTTGAACTTTTCTTTTTTCATGACAAAGTGTAAAGACCAAGCCCTAGATGATTTACTTAAATTTCGTTTCTACTTTTATTTAAAATATCGAAGAAAATTTTCGAGGAAGGAAAATTAGCAACGTTTTATCCGGAGAAGGGAGGTTTTCTGAACTCTGGTTATAACTTGGAAACCACTCTCCGAAAAGAAAACAGAAGCTCTTTAATGGGATTATTTTCTTTGGTGAAACATTGTAGTCTTTGTAGCTGCTTCTTTATTCCAAGATCTCCAAGATTGTTGTGTTTTGTTGTTGTTGAAATCGAGGTGAATTAGAGACTCCACTTCCATCTTTTTTTGAATTTACAAAGTGAATACTATTTTCCTTTGCATAGAAACGGCAGTACTTACCAATGATTATTTTTCGGAAACAAATGTTTATAGCCAACACTTTAAATAAATAGAGGCGTGTAATAGGGCCTAACAAACTTAGTGACCTCTCTTAGGGTCCCCGATGTTTTCAGCCCTCGAAGCGATGTGCACTAAAATTAATGTCCAGGCATGACACGCCCCTTTTATCATGCATGACACGCCCTTTCATCGGGCATCTAAGCTTCACATCTTCTTTATCAAAACAGTAAGTATCACCCCAGATGGGAACTGTATGATTTACAACATTAACATCGCGAATTTTGTTTTTGCAATGTGAACAACAGGGGACAACCTATCTGTGAACAAAGTAAAATCCGGGCTTAGTGTTACCTGAGCCAATATTTTCCCATAAAATTTCTATGAATTCGTCCCTGTCATATCGCGATTGCTCGTGGTAGAAGCCAGAAGCATGCATAAGTTCATGGATAACAATGCCAAGATAGCCACAGCCTGATCCAATTGAAAGCCTTTGTTCTCCTGTGAAGACTCTTCCAACATAGGACCAGCATCTACAACACAAACGAGTTTTAGTTCTTCTTTCAAGAGTAATAGAGATTGTGTGAACAATGTTCTAAAGAGCACAAGAGATGTTTTTACGTTATGGTAATGTCAGGGAATGTCAATGTCACTTTCTTCGTCAAAGTCATCGTCCCAATGACATAATAACTTGCATAGATTTCAAACAGAAAGCGTATAAACAATTCGTTTTTTTTCTGTGGTGTGTTTTCTAGAGTAAACCCTGCTTTCCAAAATGGCGTTTAAAAGAGGGCGGTGTTTCCCAGAGGGCGGCGTTTATTGCCTATAGTGTAGCTGAGAGTTCGGCGTTCAATAGAGGGCAGCATTCATCAGAAGGCGGTGTTCATCAGAGGAAATACGGTACTATCTATTTCTCACACTACAGCAATGCTAGCCTGTGTTTCAGACCCTCTACTTTCAAGTTAGGGATGTGTGCCATAGAATGCATGCCTGGTGGCGTAAGAGCTTTGAAGCGTTAGTGTTGAGAGGAAACAGAATGAGAGAATCGTGGTCACTATAACGGGAAATGAGTAGAAACGACTAGAAACAAGAAGAAACAACTAGAAAACAAGTAGGAAACAACTAGGAAACAAATAGAAACAAGTAGAAATGACTTGGAAAAATTTTAACTGCGGCACAATTTTATTTATTTAGTGGAAATCCTGCATTAATAGCTATGATAGTGCCAGCATTGTAAGAGCAAATCTCACTGGCATTGGGATTAACATGGAACAACTACTAGGAAGGTCGAAATAAAGCGATTTAAATTCTCGGGGAAATAATCAAGCCCTTCCCCCTCTGAATTCAACTGCTTTAGGAACTTACCGAAACTTTATAGAGGCTTTAGGGTTAGGCTCCCAAACAAAACATTGTTCAAGAAGTAGATAGTCAAGCTATACAGCTTGTTCCTCTAGCATATTGAAGTTTGTTGTTTTAGTTTCTGTTGCTTTTGCTAAAATTAGCGTTGTAAAAATATAAGTAAGCATTATCACTGGGTTTCCGCAACCTCATCCGCAACAGCTATTGCTGTGGAGAACGACATGACCGAACACTTAGGCCACTGCAACGAAGATGACAATGCCCACGTGGATGGATAAGCTTGCCTCGTTTTGGAGATTTAGTCGTTTCTGCACTTACCGAAAATCACAGATCGTGGTTACCGAAAATCACAGAAAAGCAAAGTCACAAATCGTTTTATGTTGTTTCCTTATCGTTTCTTCTCGTTTGTATTCGTTTCTTGTTGTTTCCTGTTGTTTCCTGTTATAGTAAACGCGATGAGAGAATACAAATCCGAGTCCCCGACAGGACCAAATTCATTTAAAGTTAAGGAAGATTCATTTAGGGTCTATATATTTAAAAAATGCAAAGAAAGAAAATTAATATTTCCATACCCAGATGACCGTATTATATGCAAATAAGTCTGGTATGCAGATGTGTTTCCAGTAGCATCGACAAACTTAAGGCATGTGTGATTGTGATATTGAGCCATGGCTGCCAGAATCACCGTCCTATCATTCGCTGTAAAAGATCAAACAAATTTAAATCAAAAGTTGCGTCAGAGAATTTTCTATTTCAAATTTGTCAGTAATTAATCATAGTAAATAAAATATGAGTTAATCTTGAAATTTTGATATCAATTTATCATCATAGCTCGCTGTCTCCGCCTGCTGCCTACTGTGCACAAACATGACTTAATTGTTGCCAATATTCTCTGTTCTTTGATGCAGTGTTAAGTTGGCTGATACTTAGGCCCTTCCATTCGTTAATATCATCTCGCCATCTCCTGTGTGGTTTTCCACTGTTTCTTCTCCCTTGAATCATTCCTTACATGCATATCTTAGAGTTAGAGAGACCTAATCTCGATCGCTTTATACGAGGGGCGATTCACTCTTGAAAATAGCGTATGAGATTTTGCCTAAAACAAAAGGATTTCTGGGGATTTTCAGATAAAACAACAGGATTTTCATAAAAGGTGTACGAGATTTTCTTAGAGTGATTTGCCCCTCATCTTTGTTTGACCAAAAAAATTTAGAACCTTGCTTAGTATTTAACCTTTGATCAATTTATATTTTCGCTTAGCCAGCTTATTCTATCTGTGATCTACGGAAAGGCATCGAGCTTTGATCATTTTGATCATATTGCTGATTTGAATGGTCCTCGTTTGTTCGTTTGAATGCTTATGATCTGATCTGCCTTGTATCTTGTCTTGCAGAAAGACATTGCAAAATTGGCTAAACGGCTAAACATTGTCTGAATCATGGTCTGATTACAAACTGCCAAGCTTCTGTCAATGGCGTAACAAAGGATTATGAGGCGCTAAGGACAAAACAGCTAAGGGGCTCCTATTTACGTACGGCAAGAAAGTTCTACTCATCGTGTCGCGCAAAACATAATATCAGAGGTAAACATAACAATTTTCCTTATTAATTGAGTTATAAGAGGAGCTGAGTTATAAAATTTTCAATTAAGGGACTTTTGAAGTTCTTGAAAATATTGTTAACTTGAGCGAAATCCCAAAATGATGGTTATCGAACGCCAACTATGATCAAATTAAGGTCCCCTAAACTTTGCTAGTTATTGGCTTCTGCTCAGCTGTCTTCTGTATAGTACCTGGTACAGCAGAGTTGAAGATGTAAGGAATAGTCCTGTCCTGCCATATATTGCCAAGGTATCGATGAGCGGCTTTCTTCTCGATGACGTCATTGTCACTTTTGCGTGGGTTTTCGGCTATATCTCCTTCCTTTAATTTAACTGGAATTTCCTCGACTTTTTCTAAAAGTAAAATAACGTGCACCGATTGAAATGAGAAGAAACAGGCATTACATGTCGTTTAAGAAAGTCTTTTTAAAAAAAGTCATTATTCTAAGAGTCGGAATCATTAAAACAAGCAAAATATTACCCTGGGTAACAAAGTCTCCATAAATTAGTATTAGAAATTTTGTTAGAAACTAGTCACAGAAAAAAATTTTCAGCAACCGCATCCACTCGTTCTTTGCAACCGCAGCTGTCTACAATACTTTATCCCTGGGTTCATGAGCTCGCTGAAAATTTGGAAGCAGAATGAAATAATGCCTATCATTTTTGCACTTCATTGATAATTCAGATTTTTCAATAATACGGTATCGTATAGGTGAGTATATATTGCATCGGATAAATATTTGAATGAAGCTCATGAAAGGTCATGAGATTTCATTATGAAGGTGATGAAACCACACCATACCTTCATTTACTTTGTTGATTTGATCAATAGTTGCTGCGTTGCTGCCTGGACCTGAAAGGAAATAAAATCGAAATAAATGAAGTAAAGCAAACGAAATGATTGGGTTAGTGAATATTTGCTTTTTGCTATAAATTTCGTTTAAGAAGGAAAGAATTCAGAATCTTATTAATAAAATGCACAACTGAGACATTAATTGGGTATTCTAGTGCTTACATAAACGCTGCTTACATAAATAACGGCCATCAACAATTGTCAACTGGCGCTTGAAAACATGACATACATTATGGTTGAAGTTTGTTGCAATACACTCTTTTTTTTATAAGAAAAATTTTATAAGAACATGAGCCTCAAAACTGGTCAAAAGTTAAGAACAAATTAAGAACAAGCTGAGGCTGAGCTTCTGCAAAATGCAATTTTGAACAACCTTTTTTCTCAAAATCGAGGATTTTTAGCGATGTGTAGGTGCTTTTTCGGTGAATATTCACATTTGTCAGCAAATTAAGGCTGTCTCACTCACTTTGTTGGCAAATGTGACCTGAACAACTCCTTAGAGCGAAAAAGCTAGCAATAGCACTGCTTGCACCCTCTTAATTTAAGAACAAATTAAGAACAATCCAGCCTCAGATTTTCGAAAAAATTAAGAACAGTCAGCCTGAACTTAAATTTACTTGTTCTTATAAAAAAAGTGTGTAATACAGAAAAATTCTGATTAGTTCTGACGATAATTTATGGAAATGACGGCTCTGTTAGAAATATTATGAATAATTATAGACCATTATTAACAGTTGAGATCATTCATTTATTGAGGCCTATTGAGATGTTAGGTGTCTGCTAATATCATTAAATGTTGTAAACTCAAACCAAATTGAAATTTCAAATGGTAAGTATCTGGCAGACATTTCCCTTCATTTGATGGATTCCCCAAAAATAGGCTTTGCCCCTGCACTTTTCAATGAGACTTTTCAATGCTAATATTCGGTTGCCACCCAGTTTGAAGTCAAATTATCTTGAAAGCGCTCCACATTATTCAGGTACTCATTTTACAGTCACTTTTACATCATTACCAGTATTGACAAAATGAAACACACAAAACAGACTACGAGGACTGAAATTGAATAGCATCTCACCATTTTTGGGAGCATCTCGTTTTGCCTCGATATCTTCCAGCTCTTTGTCTAAATCTGAAAGAGTTGAAAATTTTTTCTTGCAAAAAGGCAGGAACAAAGATAAACTAAGTAAACAAAGAGCAAAACGGGCAACTTTTCCTTGCTCTCTCATAAAGCCCTCCGTTAGTTGTCAGATTTTTTTAATAGTGAGCTAGGCACATCTAAGACATACAAACAGCAGAAAACGGGGAATTATATACCTTTGTCAGCATGAGAGTCGTCAATTGAGAGTGATTCTATTTCTTCATCGTCCAATGTGTCACTTTTCAATGAATTTATCCATTCAGCATCAGCTAAAGAGAAAAAGAACATTGCAATTTAACCATAACCTGCCTTTTTCTTAGCTGGTGATGTTAGGGAAAGGCTCCAATGCCTATAGTCAAGCCTTAACAAGGGAAAGGAAGGTGGGATTAGGAAAAGAGAGAGAGAAAAGATCAAGCTTACAGGCAAATTGGCTTCCCAGTTTCTTAAGCTTTCAACATAGCAGCTTTATGGGCAAACCCCTTACTCAGCTTCCTTTTCTCTTAGTAAAAAGAGTAAAAAGACTGAAAAGCGAGCGAGAATTATGCTGATGTCATCATAAACCACCTTGTCAATGAAACTTCATAATCGCATAATAACATGATCTGCAACGTCGACTTTAAAACCAAGATTAATTTCATTCATACTTTTTGTAAGGTTTGCTATTTGCTTTTTATCAACTACTGTATTCTATCTAGAATAACATGACTCAGCCATGGATTCAGAAACCTTCTTGACATTTGTAAAGTCAAAACTGCCAAGTATGTAATTAGTAGTTTCCACTAAAACTCAGTTGGACCTAAATGTTCATCATGCAATGAATAAAAAAAGACAATTAGAAATAAAGTGTCATTAACAAAAAATAATCAGATAAATAAAAAAAGAAAACAGCCCTGATGTATAGCAATAGTCAAGAAAAATGATAAACCAGGAAAAGTTTGCTAGCATCCTTAATTAGATGCATGTTATATAAAAAACAGCTAAAGAGATATCTAAAAGAAACGTTTTTTAACTAAAGAGATAACCGAAAGCCGCTCTCACAATGTTTTGTCTTTCGTATGTTTCCCGAAGTATCTTTAGACGCCGGCTTGCAATTACCTTGCAAAACGAGCAAGGCAAGTACAAATGCAGTGTATTTTACCATCATGAAATTTCAGGCATCCGTCCAAGATCCTGTATCACTCGACAGATTGGCCTGTTACACTCATTTATACCGATCTTCGCAAATAGGTAAACAAACAGTTTACATTGAAGCTTTTTCATGTGAGAAGCAACAGGCTATGTTGTCGCTATTCTAGTAGGAATCTTTTATGCGTTACTTTTCCTAAGATAATGCTAACAAATGAATAACAAATATGAAAAATGAATGACAATGCTTTAGATTAAATGTCCCTTATTATTTGTTATAAAGATATTTAGGCCATATTAAAACGTTCAGCTGAAAATGCCTTGTTTGTACAAGCTGCTAAATTTCCAAGGGTTTTCCTGTGCATCCTCTGCGTATACAAACTTTTCGAAAAAGAATTTTCCACCGAAGATAAAAAAAGCTGTTAAAACAATCAAAAGAAAGCTGATACACTTTTCCATTATTTCTTAAAATTGAAAATGATCCTTTCCATGACAAAATAAAGAAATGCTAACTGTAATTTTATTTTCAAGTGCAACTGTACAACTGTATGATTATTGTCTATGTCTTAAGGTGTTGTATCGGTATAAGGGTAGTTGCAATAATTAATTTTATACGTTAACTTTTCAAGATAAATAGTTAAATAGCTGCAAGTTGGGAAAGCATAAAGGTCTTCTGAATATGTAAAGCAGTTGAACTCTGTTATGGTAAGGCACCTGGCTGATTTAACAAGAAGATCGAACATATTTGTAAGGAATCAAGTGTAAAATTAGAAACTTGGGTTCTTGCGAAAGCTTTGCAAAAAGCATTGCAAGAACTCTTTGAGAATCCTGCATCCCCGAAAGTGGACCAGAATTGGGTGTGTGTATCAATGTAGGGTCGTTTGGGAAAGTGACACCCCTTAACTTTTTAAAGAAAGATTCAAAACTTTTTTGGAAGTTGCAAACAAATCTTGGCTTTTCGATAACTGTAAAAAAGCTAAATAATACTACCCAATATCTAGCTAAAAGATTTCTGAATTGCCGAAGGATTTTCCCATGGGTAAAGATTTATTCCGTGGATAAACATTGGATTCCCCGGAAAGACGGTGTTGAGATGTTACACCCCTTCCCCCAGTTCGGCTTTGCTATCCCAGCAAATAGAATACATACGTTCTAACATTGAATTAAGGGAGGATATTGGACTCAATATGTAGGTAAGCTATCTGGCACGTGTTTAGGTGCTTCAACACAGGGGCGAAACTACCGGGGGGGTGTGGGGGGTGTGACACCCCCAGGGGCGCAGTGGCTGGGGGGCAGGGGGGGCAGCCGCCCCCCCTGGCAAAAATTTTGTCGGATTGTCGGAAAATCCAACGTTTGTCGGAAAATTTGAAATATTAGACAAAATGTAAGGTTTTCATCGATCCTGTCCAAAAGGTCGCATATTTTTTTAAACCTGTTGTAAAATAGGGCATGCTCAACCCTTCTTACTTATTTTCATTAGAGTATTTATCGGAATCATCGCATTGCTGAAATTTGTAAAGGAAATTAACGCTCTGGTCTCAGTTATTTTATAAACTTCCATTTCCGACAGTAAAAATTCAAGTCAGTTCATTTCGAAATGAATTCGCTGGTGTTGTAGAAGACGCAAAAAGTTAATATTTTCGCCATGACTTAGAAGAGGAAAATTTTGTCGAGCGACGAATACGCAGAAAGAAAAAGATGCCAGGGGAAAATTGCATAGATGAATTAGAGGGAAATAGGGAATCCGTATATCATTGTGATAGTAGATACAGCTATCAGCTCAATGAATACAAGATTCACGTCTCAGGCGATTTTGACAGATTTTGCCTTGCTCAACCCTGAATGTTCTCAAAAAACAATTGAAAGGCAGTTGTGTGCAGTGTAATTCAAAAAGGTTGCGAAGAATTACGGCCTTGATGACGAAAAGTTAAGAGATGAGTACAGCTCTTTCGTCAATGATTACCGTAAATTTTGGAAAGTTAGAGAAAAGAGCAGCCCTCTCCCGGCTGCAGGAGAAAGAGAAAACTTTTCAGTTCCATTCAGTTCTTCAGTTGATGATAAGTATAACCTGCAAAGTGCCTTTCCACAGCTGGTCCTTCTTTACAAGGTTCTCGTCACTTTGCCAATAGGTTCAACAAAGTATGAAAGAGCTTTTTAAAGCTGAGGATTGTAAAAAAATCGGCTACGGTCAACGATGGGACAAGACCGCCTTTCCTCTCTGATAACAATCAACGTCGAAATGATATTTTACATTTGATAGACTATGGTGACATCATCGATTAGTATGCTGCCACACCTCTTTTGAGAAAGATGCTGCTTGAGTAGCAGTTTATATAAATTTCAGTTAAAAGAAAACTATTCTTTTGGACGCGTTATATCTATTTAAGGTGTAGCATAAATAAATGCAAAGTAATTATGATGCGATTTAAAATTTGCCAAAAAACTTTTTGCTATAAACAGCTATAAACATTAACCTGACAGTTTATTGTCTAGTATAGCGAGAAGACTTTTAGGGTGTAAATTTATAACTAGTTGCAGTTTTGTTTATAGCGATTTATATTTGGTAAGTTTTGTTAGAATAAAGGCTATTGTTGAACTTGAAGGTGTATAACGAACGATCCATTCGTTAACGATTTACAGATCCATTCGTGATGCAAGTGTTGCAGTATATGCAGCAAGGGTAATCTTTAAGGAATGTATTGGGAAAAAATTTGTCGGAAAAATCATAGTTTTATCGGAAAATTTTCAGCTTTGCCCCCCCCAAAAGTTAACTCCCACTGCGCCACTGGACACCCCCCCCCTCCCCCCAATCCAAAAAATAATCGATTTCGCAGGGCAATCGAAGATTTCGCAGGGCGCCAAGAAGAGCTTTATTGCCACGCAGAAATGCCACCTCTGAAGTTCGTAAAGAGCCGTTTAGGAATTTTGAAATGGAAATATCGTATTTGTTATGAACCTCCCTTCCTGACATTGCATTTTAGAGAACGGAACAGGTATGTAAGGAAAAGCTCCGTTATTTGCAAAGCGAAAGCATTTCTTACCGAAAGTCATAGCCAATGGATGCAATGATTGATGCATATGTTTATGAGGGCAAGGTTGAGTCATGCAAATTAATTTGAGTTGTAAATTATTTTCATGACAAGCACGGCGTCACTGGGGGGGAATAAGGGGCTGAAGTCCCTCACTTTGGTCAAGATAGGAATTTTTCATCATTTTTTCTATTACTTTTTAACAGTGCATGAACCAAAAAACATAATAAATCGTTAAGATACCGATTTTGTTTCATCTAATTGCTAACTTTTTCACGTATATTTTTATTATTTTTCTTTTATTTGCATTAATTCAGTAAATCATTTTCTGTATCATTGCAATGTTTTAATTTTGGGTGTGTAAACATGGCCTTCTTGATACAAGAAACTACACATTTCTGTTCAGGAAAAAATATTCTCCCAATCAAAACAACATCTTCCTCTGTCATTCACAACTACGTGCAATCTGAAACGAAAGGTTGCCGTTTCTTTCCTTCCCCAACGTCTAACACTAGAGTTTTAGCATGACATCCCCCTCCCTTTTTTCCAATAAACAATAATATTTTCAATAAACAATCACTTCTTTTAGCACAATAGTAATTTGGTAAATTTTTGCCTCAAAGATGCTTTTTAGCCCTTTTACAACATATAATTTCAAAAAATTTCTTCACGTCGGACCCAACCATGGTGGGTCCTCCTACCTCGACTCTTAGCCCCACTGGGCTAAATTTCGTTGCGCTGTCTACATCATGTACCCCCCCACAACCCCCAATTAGCTGTTTATTAGCTTAATTTTGCAAACCAACATTAAATGAAGTGAATATAAAAAAACAATTTACGCTCACGTAGAGAAATAAAAATTTCATAGGCAATGAAGTTTCAAGTTTGTTTTTATTGCTTGGAAGTTTGTCCTTGGTAAAGACCAGTGTACAGTGGTAAAGCTTTCACTAGTAACCTATAGACAAACCGTTGCTACGAGGTCTGCAGGGCACCACTCATTTTTGCAGAGCAGAAACCCTTTTCACCCCCCCCCCCCAAAACTATTGGCCAAGTTACGCCCCTGCTTCAACAACTCTGTATTGTATAGTGGGCTCGAGTCTACTTTTGCCACATCTGCAATACTTTTGGCCGAGGGGCGATTCACTCTTGCAAATAGCGTACAAGATTTTCCCTGAAACAAAAGGATATCCTGGGATTTTCATTCAACATAATAAGATTTTCACAAAAGGTGTACGATATTTTCTTGGAGTGATTTGCCCCTCGCTTTTGGGATATCTGCGATGAAGGTACCCTAAGTTATAACGTTCAAAAAATTACCTTTCCAACAGAAATCAATCCAGATACCACTACATTTTAAGAGATTCCTTCATTTTTCCGTAAAAAAATTAACATTACAGAAACGATGGTTGAGTGGCAAAGGAAAATTGAATTATGCCATCGTAACAAAATTAATCTTGAGTTTATTGACATTTAATAACAGAACGTAAGTCTTTTTAGTGCATTGTTTCGGAAGACATTTTAAGTGGGAAATAGCATATGGTATTTATGTCGATGCATGTTTGATGTGTTTTGTTCAAAGTAAATATTAGCTGATGGATGTTTTTTAACTTTTTCAAATATTGTTCTGCCACTAAAACATAATAACAAGTGGTGAACGGAAGTCTAAAATAGATTTTCATTAAATAGATAATATTTGAAGAAAGATAGAAGCAATTAGAAAACAGCGGGTAATACAAGTAAAACTTTGAAAGGCAAAACAAAGACCATTTTTGTAGGGGGGTGGGAGGTTGTAGAAAAGGTTCTGGTGGAAACTCTAGAAAAAAGGAAAAGTGTAGCAAGGAGGAGGGTGTAACAAAGCAGAGGGTTTAGTAAAGGAAGGGGGTGTTTCAAAGGAGGAGAGTGTCACAAGGGGAAGAGTGCAGCGAGGAAGGGTTTAGCAAAGGGGAGGGTGAAGCAGGGGGAAGGGTGTAGCAAATTTTTTTCCTTACTTTTGCCCTTAGCAATAGTGTAAAAGGATAAATCTGGATTCACACAAATGCTGGTGAAGCATTCTGGTGCACAACATTTAAAACCATTTTTGCCAACGGGGCGTTTTTTAAAACCGACTCTCTGTGTCAACAGGCCTAGCAATGCTTCCATTATTTTTCTTCTGTTCTCGCTCCATTGACAGCACTGTCAGTAGAACGAGTCCCCGGGCAAGTGAATTGAAAAAACTAGGGATGATCTTTTTCGTCAAACTGTGATTTTCAGTACTTCTGTTCATTATTTCGGTATGAAAAACTGTAACAATGCAACGCTTCAGTGAGAAACACAGTGAACGCATAGGATAACAATGGCGCGCGTGCATACAACTACCAGAATGCATTGCGTGTGGCAACAAAGTAACGCATTAATGGGATTGTTAATAATGGAGCACATTTTCACCAACCCCTGAGATCTTTTAAACCTTGCCACTGAGGATACCTACTTTGATACGAATAGAAAGGGAACTATTTCTGTCGTGAAAACAATTAAACCGCCTAAATAAATTAACATTTGACCAAAGTTTTGTCTCCGTTCATCAAAAAGCCATCGAAAAGTGTGAACTTTCGAGGTCTTTCTAATTTTGCGAGACAAAGAATTGTTCTTCATACGCACCCCTAAGAGAATAGTGTACCCCTTGAGACTATACTCATTATTCGTTATTGAAGCAGTAGTCACTTTTCCAGTGGGTTATTCACAAACCTACATTGTCCAAATACATTTGTTGTGTTTTTATCCACATGGAAATAAACTATTGAAAAATACTAAGCTGGGCCCACTTTCAAGACTGCTGAGTATTGTCTTATATTTGGCATCCGTCAATTTCATATCAACAAAGGATTAAGTTAGCGAAATCAAATAACACAAGTTTGTATCCTAGTACTAGGGTGAAGTTTTCAACTACAGTTTTATTCTTATAAGAACAATTTCGTAAGAACACGAGCCTCAAAATTGGTCAAAGTTAAGAACCTCAACTTCAATTTATTGGTTCTTTCTTATAAAAAAGGCGTAGCGTAGGATTTGGTCCGGGGATGCTGCAAGGAAGGTTGTGAGCGTGTCAATATCTACCTCAAATATAAATGGGTTCTTTCTAACCAAATAGTCCGTGATTTCATAATGCCACCATGTTCCACGATAACGATTAAGCGCAAGTGTTTGAATATCCTTATATCTATTTAATTTGCCATTTAAATTGCAAATATAGGATGGGGAACGTTTAAAAGCTGTCCGTAATCCTAAAGCCTTTTTTTATCTATCCTTTGACAAATTTACTTCCTTTTTATCATAGTTTCAACAGTTTCAACGTGGGTAGTATTAGTCAGTTTCATACAAGGTTTAAAATGCCGTGGCAATCTTCACTACAATTTAGCCATATCAAAAACTTTAGACTTTTATTGAACACCTGTTACGTGGAAAAACAGGAAATTTTGAGACCTGTGTGATAAAGTAAGGTAATGCCATTATGTAAGTTGCTCTTTTGATTCGCGACATAGAATGAGGAATAAGTAAATGTTTGTTGAGGGGAGGGAATGGGGGAGGAGATTTGACTGCAGGATAGAGGCTATCCAAACTTTCGTGGGCTATCCAAACTTTCGTGGGGAAATTTGGTTGTGCAACACAATCTTCAATAGGTAAGCGGCACTGATTGGGCAGCATTAACATTCTTGTGCACGTGCTTCTTATTCGCCGAATTCGATCCACAACTGGGTATATATATTTCCTGAGAGCTTTCGGTCTATGTTCTGACGCTTTATACTCTAAAAATGTCAGACGAAAAGTATGTTCTAAAACGTAAAGCCATTTTCAAATTCTGTGCCGCAAAATTATTGCTTGCAAAGGAGAAAGTGGAGGAAGAGACTCCATTCCATTGTAACCATCCCCTGGTGTGTAAAATTTTAAAGCCGCTAAATGATAAAAACGATGTTTAACAGTTTAAAATTGATTTGTATCATTCAATATTTCAAGCGTGAATGGCTAAATGTTTCAAATAAAATAGACAGGTTAATAGAGCAATTTTTGCAGGTCGATAGCATTTTCTCGTGTTGGTTGATACCATCAAGATATTGATCATCCTCTGTCAGAAGTTAAGGACCGAGCAAACGGGGGTGGGGGAGAGTAGGAGGTCATGTCCTGTCAGCGCATTTTTGTGAGATATATTATTGCGGTGTATTCAAAGCGCCACCAGTGAAAATTGCCATTTTTTGCCTATTTTAATTCTCATAAGGCCTTCTATGGAAGTTGAACTGGAACTTGTCAAAAGTCTGCGCTGATGGAATCTCAAATCTTTGTGTTTTGCAACAAAATATCTGCACTGGCATTTATATTAAACAGATGACAGTAGCTATGAAAAGGAATCACATTGTCCACTGTCAGCAAATGCAAACGTGACCTTTTTTTATCGGTGGTTTGATTGTATACTAACTATTACAATATAGGCTGAATTAAATGCATAGAAACGGATACAGTTGGTTGTGCAACACTATTTCAAACAATATAAAGCTTTTAAGCGTGGATAAAGGAGTTCAATCGAACGTAAATTTTTGGACACGACAATTGCAAAACAAACTTTAAGATACGAAAACACGTTGGGAAAGCTAAACTATGATGTGCAAATAGCACTTAAAACAATATGGCACAATACTAAAGAAAAAAGGTAACATAGTTTTCTGTAACTGTTTTTAAGAAATGAAAAAAAATTGAGTTAAATGGATAAGGGGGAAAGAGAAAACCTTTAAATACAACGGTTTCGTTCAAGCCCGACAAAAACTCCGCTAGAAGTCACACTTCTGGTTACTGTCACATAACGACAATCTGTTCAATTAAGCTCCGTTTACAGTCATACACCCTTTGCAGTCCCAAGACTTCAAGCGACTGAGAAATTAGGTGTAACTGTAACCCGAGTCTACTGTTTGAACAAAATTACACATTAAATAAAACAAATTTCATCCAAATTGTGGGGTACCTGGCTTGAACCTGGGTACAACACTGTTGCGAACACACCTTGTCCTTTAAAAACTCGTAAGCCAAGCTTCCTACATTTATGCATTGTATTCAAACGCTCACCTTGTCTTTCGATAGCAGCACTGTTTGCTGACGAAGCGAATAATACTGCAATGCCGAGAAAAGCGAGAATGATAGTTGTCTTGTCCATGTTACCTTTGGCAAGAGTCGAGCTGTCTTTCGTTTTAGTAATGACCCCAGTTGAGGCTGACAGCAAATGCAATCCCTGTGTGCTTCTCCCTCTTTTTATTCACAGAAAAAACGAACAAGGTCCGTGTATTGAAATGCACAGTGCCAATGAACTCTTTTCAATATATGTAAATTATTTGTGCAGTGTATCACTGTAGACGCCCTCGCACCAAGCCCTAGTTCTGTTTTATTTCTATGGTTGGTAAGGGCGAGGAACTGTGGACTAGCGGCGTGGAGTCAAAAACAGCTCTAGATACGGTTAACGGAATCAAGGACACGGGATTCTTCTAAACTTTGAAGTTTGAACTGTTGGCAAGGGATAACACATTTCGTTGAATTCATGTCTGCATGGTAGTGGCTTTAATTTAATAATACGATTCTAGACACGAACGAAAATACAGGAAATAAAAAAGGTTATTCTAGAAACATGACATTCAGGATTCGAACAATTATTAAAATGTGTAAATAAAGGAAAGGTCAAGATAGCAATCTGCTCGACGGACTCCGAACGATGGAATTCTTGCGGCCAAAAGTAGATAGGATTGTAGCAAAAAAGGAACACCGCAACGCGTCGAGAACAAACAACAATAAACACACGTAAATAAATTGTTGCTTGGTAATTGTTAATATAACTACTAAAAGTGAAGGAAAACAAAATGTCATTTGAAGAAACTGGATAGATCTACCCATGCATTGTATTGTCTTTAAACACCATCTTTGGTCTTGAACGGATAAGTAGGAACTATTTGACTCAACGTGGAAAAGGGTTGTCACCCAAAAGGGTTGACATGTTGGGGTGGATCTGCAGTAAGAGGGAACGTTGGGTGCAGATGGCCCTTTGGCAGGGGCCACACCAAGGATACCAGGGCCCCACGGGATACATTGTTATTAAGTCAAACTATGACAAAACTCTCAATTAACTGACCCCTCTGATTTCTCACGAAAAGCCTATTAATATGGCGAACACAAATTCATATGACATTATTGTTGATGAGATTAAATGCTCTTTCTACCAAGATGACTCAACCCTGCTATCCATGGAAATCCTGGCAAATGGCCAGTTGAAGAGCAAGGAATATATTAAGTGTTTACCGGCACTCCATTACAGAGTACAGAATTAAAATTCAACCGCTGCTAGATCATCAAAACAATAAAATCTCCGCCAAAACCAATGGCGTGAAAAAAATTTGATGGTTCTCTCCGGCGGGAGGCGGAATTCTCCGGCGGGAGGCAGAATTCTCCGGCGGGAGGCGGAATTCTCCGGCGGGAGGCGGAATTCTCCGGCGGGAGGGCCTCGGGGTGCACTGCGGCATAAAATGCCACAGTCTGACTTTTAAACATGCCATTTAGTATGTTATTGTATTCTTTAGAAATTGAAAACGAAAATCGGATAACCTGCGTGCAACATTGTATTGTCCGCAACGACCAAGAGTTAAACAAATCTGTACATAATACGAAAGCATGAAATCACAGCACATGAACTATGGCAAACGGGAACAATGCAATGTTGCTCTGGGTGCAACTGCGATCTTCAATGCCCCTGGCAATAGTTTGCCAAAAATATGCTCTTGGATACTCAAGTAACATGGGTTTCTTTGAAGAGACCTTTCTATACTCTAAACAAATGCACTGTTGAGAACGTTGCTCATTCTTTCTGCTCTTAAGAAAAAATATTTCTTAAAGGCTCTTGCGCAACCAGCATTCTTGGATCGTACTGCATTAAAATACACAACACAATCATATTCTCAAGATAGCAGCCGCTAAGCATGCCGGTTGCGCAAGAGCCTTTAAAAAGCAGTGAAAAGGGGGTATGAAAAGGGTAGCCTAGGTGCAAACCCTGACCTTCAAGAAACCACTTGAAAATAGTTTTGTTTAAGATCGGATGGAAATGATTCGAAGCATTACAATATTTAGCTTTTAAGACCCCTTTAAAAAACGCTTGATACATTAATGAGCAAAAGATTGAGAAACTGAGCACTAATCCTGAGTTTGTTTTTTAAAATAGAAAGTTTCTGTCCAGCATTGAATCTTATTGTCAAATCAAGCATATCACTATTGACTTCATCATCAAAATCATTCAATATATACTCATGTAAATTTTGTTGCATGCGTGCAACTGGGAGGAAGAATCATGGCCCTGCTTTTAGGAAATATTGTTTGAGCTTTATTTGTAATCTTTTTCCACTTATTTTTTAGCCTTTTGTCATGCAATTCTAACTATTTGTCTGCCATGAAATCATTTCAAAAATAGTTCCCAACCGGGGCGTAACAAAGGCAACTGGGACCCTTAATAATAAACTGAAACGGGACCACTGTCTACGGACTTCACGATCAATCCAATCAAATGATGTCATGGACGTGATTTCCAGCATGTTAAACATAAAAGCAAGATGAGAATGATAATTTTCCTCATAAACTAGGGAACGCTTAATCATATGCTTCAGTTAAAGATGTTTCAAAGTGGTCTTGGGCGATGTCATAAAAACATGGATGTAAGAATATCTTGGGGGTCCTTTTGATTAGGGGCCCTAAGTTATCGAGCTAAGGAGCCCTTGAATATGTTACGCCACAGATTCCCACCCTGCTCTCCTATTTTAGCTTCAGTGAATCATCAAGATCAGCCCTACAATGGAAGAAGGCACAAAAGTGGAGTGGGCACTGTCGCTTCTTTCATACGCCTGCTTCCACCGAACACCCACTCCATCCTATGCCTATATCCAACCTCTACTGAAAGAGTGTTAGTCATCACTATTGGATCTACCTCCAAGTGAAAATAACATGAAATGTTTCCTTGAGTTGAATTGCTAATACTCGTCATGTTTTAAACTTTTAGCTCTATAATACTTTTAGATATTCTGAGTACATATAAGATGTACTGGCGTTACTCCGAAATCACTATTTGAAAATAAAAAACAGAGTTCTCAACTTCTAACCAACCATCAAAGTCAGACCAATACAGTACTGACCCCAATGCGACTTGGATAAAGAAGGGCATATTGCCTTTTGGGGACCCGTCAAGAAAGGTACCCTCCAAAACATTACACGTCACGGTTTTTTTTGAGTTTGAGGTTTTCCTTTGTTAAGGCTTTGTATGAAATTTCGTAAAATTGTATGTAATTGTGACCTAATAATGGCGGCCTCGTCCTCAAAATCACTCTTCCGATATATTACGACTAAAGCTTGTTGAACTTTAGAATTTAAACCGTAGACAAAAGTTTCGTATTATCTTACGTATAGGAATACAATTGACATACGACGAGGGTGCTAACAAATGTTCTATAATTTTTCGAAATCAGATTTCAAGAATTCTTAACGGAGTGAGTTCTATAATATCGCACCCTTTAAATGAAAACATTTCAGCATCGGTCTCGAAGTTCAATTAAAGAGACACCCTGCCTGTTGGAGGGCCTTAGGTAGTAGAGAGTACAGCCGTGGATGTTTTGAGCAAAACTGAATACATACTAAGGGTTCTAAAGATACAATAATAACAGTGTAGGGGAAGTAAAGCAAAAAAAGTGAATATCTTCTTCTCCGTGTTTCTTTTCTACAGTAAATGCTAAAAAAGGCCTGTAAATACTCTCTAGACTTATTTGTGACGTTTCAAGAGGGACTCAAACGTGACTGGGAGCTTAAGAATTTCTTTAAAATTTCCATACAAAAGGCTATTTTTCAAAGCTTTTCACATTTTTCAAATTCAATGTTAATCCACTTTTTACTTTTGTTGTTGAATATGTATTTATGATGAATTAAAATTGTATATTGCAAAATCTGGCACTACAGAGTGGGGCTCCTGTTAGGGTGGAGAATTGTTAAATCTTTGGTATCCCAGAGTAAGGGGGTATATAAGGGGGTTTAAACAAAGGGGAAAGTTGGGGGATGTATGGTATCACTTACAGCCCTTCCTACCTATCAAGCAATGACCGAAATTGAACTTTTTTGCGTGGAAAGGTAAGGGCAGTGAATTTTTCGCGTTTCATATCTGAGTGGCCATTTTCATTTTATTTCGGAAACCGATAAATTCAATCTTCAAGGTACATTTTCTGAATCATATCGAATAGAGGGGTGGAAAGTTATCCCCAATCCCCACAGTTTCCCTCCATGGTATCGAGATTCAGTAACAAACAACAGTCCTGCATTATCATTTTCAATAGCATTTGTTTCCAAAAACACTGGTTTAATTTGCTGTAAAAAGCGTCTAATTTCCTTGAAAAAGCGTATAGCTTTCTGGAAAAAGCGTCTAATTTCCTGGAAAAAGCGTCTAATTTCCTGGAAAAAGGATAAACCGTTACCTTTAGAAGAATTTCACCCCAGTCGAGATTCACTCTGGTGGAGAAACCTTTGTTTCAGTAATGTATAACTTCTAAGTGCCCCCTTGGGTGAATATCACTTAAACTGGAAATACCATATAGACATCAACTAGATATAGATCAATTTTTCATGAGAAAATTGCAAAACAAATTCCACCCATAAGGTGACAAAAATAAAAAACATGTTCTTATTATCCTCCAGTTTATTAACTCTTATTAACGAATATTTTCAAGATGGGATAGCAATGTCTTTAATTTGGTTGATACTTTCTTTATTGCAAGACCCCTGGTAAATCAGTTTTTCTCTAATTGACTGGCTACCATGTCTATAAAATTGGAAATGAAAATGATTATTTTAGACGAGTAGGCACCTACTTCTGGTTTAACTAGCATAGATAAAAGAAATAAGATCTACTTGCGACTTATCAGGTGTTCCTTCTTATGCTGTCTTATGACTCGAGCCTTTGTATCTATGAAAAACTATCAAAGTTAATCCTAAAGTCGTGAATATCGTTCTGGTCACTTGATAAATGATTAAATAAGATTTAGAACCATCTTGTAAAAGGAGATGCTTTCTCCTAGATTAGTTTATCTATTGAGGGAGCTCCTCCTCAAGAAATCCCCCTGCATGCAACATCTTAGCTACATAATTGTTTTTTATTGTATTTTATTATAAGGATGTTTATGTAATTAGTGTTTTAGTAAGATAAGATATTATATATAGAGAAATTTTAAAATAACTGAACTGAACTGAACTGAACTGAACTGAACTGAACTGAACTGAACTGAACTGAACTGAACTGAACTGAACTGAACTGAACTGAACTGAA